TGATTCAAAACTTATACTTCACCATTTGCCAGGATGTTTGATAGAAACATGAATATTCCATTGAGAGTATGAAAGATCTAAGTTAAGAGTATCTGAGATTATGTTGAGTCATCATAATCTAATGACGTGTCACTCGTTATCGTGGTGGGGATCTTTTGCATTCCAGCACAATTACAGTAATTGGCCAGCTACTGGTCATAGGGTACAGTAATTAGCCAGTTACTGGTCATAGGGTACAGTAATTAGTAAGGACAAGGATGTATATCACCTGAGGATTGCATATGTAGATATGGAGACTGAGGGTGGAGTGCATATGTAGATACAGAGACTGAGGGTGGAGTGCATATGTAGATATGGAGACTGAGGGTGGAGTGCATATGTAGATATGGAGACTGAGGGTGGAGTGCATATGTAGATACAGAGACTGAGGGTGGAGTGCATATGTAGATATGGAGACTGAGGGTGGAGTCTAATGTAGATACGGAGACTGAGGGCGGAGTGCATATGTAGATACAGAGACTGAGGGTGGAGTGCATATGTAGATACAGAGACTGAGGGTGGAGTGCACAGGTAGATACAGAGACTGAGGGTAAAGTGCACAGGTAGATGCAGAGACTGAGGGTAAAGTGCACAGGTAGATACAGAGACTGAGGGTAGAGTGCATATTACATACAGAGACTGAAGGTAGAGTGCACTGATAGATACAGAGACTGAGGGTGAAGTGCACAGGTAGATGCAGAGACTGAAGGTAGAGTGCACAGGTAGATACAGAGACTGAGGGTAGAGTGTACTGGTAGATACAGAGACTGAGAGTGGAGTGCACAGGTAGATGCAGAGACTGAGGGTAGAGTGCACAGGTAGATACAGAGACTGAGGGTAGAGTGTACTGGTAGAGACTGAGAGTGGAGTGCACAGGTAGATGCAGAGACTGAGGGTAGAGTGCACAGGTAGATACAGAGACTGAGGGTGGAGTGTACTGGTAGATACAGAGACTGAGGGTAGAGTACAGAGGTAGATACAGAGACTGAGGGTAGAGTGCACAGGTAGATACAGAGACTGAGGGTCGAGTGCACTGGTAGATACAGAGACTGAGGTTGAGTGCAGTGGAAGATACAGGGACTGCGGGTGGAGTGCACAGGTAGATACAGAGACTGAGGGTGGAGTGCACTGTTAGATACAGCGTCTAAGGGTGGAGCACACAGGTAGGTACAGAGACTGAGGGTTGAGTGCACTGGAAGATACAGAGACTGAGGGTGGAGTACGCAGGTAGATACAGAGACTGAGGGTTGAGTGCAGTGGAAGATACAGGGACTGCGGGTGGAGAGCACAGGTAGATACAGAGACTGAGGGTGGAGTGCACTGTTAGATACAGCGTCTAAGGGTGGAGCACACAGGTAGATACAGAGACTGAGGGTGGAGTGCACTGGAAGATACAGAGACTGAGGGTGGAGTACGCAGGTAGATGCAGAGACTGAGGGTGGAGTGCACAGGTAGATGCAGAGACTAAGGGTGGAGTACACAGGTAGATACAGAGACTGAGGGTGGAGTGCACAGGTAGATGCAGAGACTGAGGGTGGAGTACACAGGTAGATACAGAGACTGAGGGTGCAGTGCACAGGTAGATACAGAAACTGAGGGTGGAGTGCACTGGTAGATACGGAGTCTTAGGGTGGAGTACATAGGTAGTTATAAGTATTTGTTTTCATTTTAAAGAGTAATTCAACCCATATGTAAATGTGAATCAATATGTAAGAGATAATTTCCTGTGGTGATTCCATTCAATCGGAGATATTCTGACATGATGTTCCTGTTTATCAATGGAGAACCGATGTACATAGCGTCAGCATAGTTTATCATGTATCTATACTCAGATCATCAACTCATCATGATCTAGTTAACACCACAAACACAACTGACAGAATTATAAAGACAGTTGGTGTACATTATCACAGGAGATAAAGCTATCAGAGGTTGATGACATTAATACACTGTAGTCATACCGCTGAGTTGAAGGTCAGGTTACAAGGTGCTGTTTAGTCATCAGCATGAAGATTAAGCCCTGACTGTCATGTGATGTGAGGAGTTTAATATCTTCCTTGTTGTAAACATCTATATTTTAGTTGGTTCATTGGTTGTAATGATTCCCATGATCACCAAAGAATCGTGGAATCAGTGCTTGTTACATTTATTGACCTTCTACATGTGAAGATAAGAAGTGTTGAATTAAGCATGATAACAACAATGCTAAAGAAAAGATTGGATAAAAAAGCCATGATTAACTGATAGTGGAGATATAATGTAAATAAAACCTGTTGACACTCAGACAAATGAAAGATAATGCTGTTGACAATTGGAGGTGAAATCGCTTATGTAACTGTTGAAAGTAACCTGTGTACACATGGACTCTGGATTATGTTAGTGTGATGACTATATACTCATTATGCTGTGCTGTTCACATATCATTAGGTGCAATACAACTCTATTGTAGGTTCTGTTTGTATCATCATCATCATCATCATGAAGACATACGAAGTGTAATCTGTCAGTGGTTTTAGCAATGAAGGAAGCATGTTAAGATCCAGACACAGTTGAGTTAGTTCGGCATATAGAACTGAAAGTACTTGTATATGAGTGACCCCTGAAGCCATTTAAGTGGTATATTCAACTTCTCCCAGTGTTTAGCCATGTAATACAGAGTCACATTGTCCTTGTGTAATTATATTTTGTTCAGTCCTTATCTACAGCATTTTGGTTTTTCATTTCCACAAGTTTAACTTTCACTGAATAACATGGATGTGTTTTCCTCAGCAAATCTTCAAAACTACCAGTTTGGTTTTCTTCAGGACACTCACAATGATCAGATTGTAAATTGGACACAATTTCAGTTAGCATGTGACATCCTCAAAAATCCTTGCAAAAAGGACAAATTCAAAGTTCTGAATCCCAATTCAGTGGTATGGTTTTGAAAGTTCAATGATTTCTCTGACAGATAAATTAGATGAGAAAACAAATTAGAGTGAAAGTACGACCTGACATGACTTAGTGTGGAAATGTTTGTCCCTGATATCCCATATGGTAGTTACCATGGTTACTGACTTTCAGATTTCATCAGATCAATCAGAATCTGACTCACAAATAGATGACTTTTCTTAAATATTTGCAGTGTGCAGGGTGTTACATTTTAATCAATGTGCACAATCATTATCTGTGACCACCAACTGATCATGTTGAAATAGGTCATTAAGTTTATATATCTTTATTTATATTTTAGTTTGTGTATATTTTAGTGTCCTTTTTCCACACTTACTTAGTTTCGTGTTTTGTGTATCTTGCAGTGTCTGGCTATTATAAATTGCTTTAACATGTTAGATGTAAGCAGCAGTTGTCACTGATGTGTTTGTCAGCAAGGATGAAGAACCTTTCTGTTACCATGGTAAATGCTATTGACTAGGTGTGTAATGCTTGATGGAACTGACTATGCATTGCATTTGTGCTTGTAGCACCACTGACATGCTAAAGAAAGTCAATAATTCAAATAGCCAACACAAATGTTGATGATAAGCTTTGTTTCCATACATGTTTGTCCAAATGAGCCCTGTGTGTTCAGAAGTCATTGATAACTTTGTATCAGTCTGCTCAACATAATGGTTGTCACGACAGACTACGGTAGGCAATCTAAGAATGGTGGATATTTGTAGGCTTTGGCATCTTGTCAAATAAAGTAGAGAATTTGGTTTTGTGGAATGACAGGACACACGTAAACAATCACCGTAGTGTCTTGTACATGTGAAAGTCTTGTCAACCATTTGTATTTTGTATTTCAGGTTTATGGAAGTTTAGATGTAACCCATTACCAAATTTGATTTTGATCTTTTGGACCCGTGAAAGATGGTCAATTGTCTGAAGTGAAACATCAATCCAAATTATATTTTTGAATAGTAATAATAATGAGAATATTTATAAAGTGCCTTTTCTAGGCTAGATATCCTGCTCAAAGCGCACAATCTGATCATTATTACCCCGGGTAACCTAAGCTGTCTGTGAGGTGTTAGAAGGTTCAGTCTACGTAAACTAAGGCTCATTATTATTTGTTACCTACTATACTGAGTTTAACAAACCCTTGAATTGACCAATCAGAACACAGCTTACCAAATCACGAAAGTTGATATGCCATTTTCCTCACGATGGCTTCTGAATGATACACACGGAGGACACCATTATTCCCAACAGTAAGTAAAACAGTCACTAAAAAAAAGTGAAATATAAGCTAATAGTAACCATGTTATCAGAAACCCCTAAGCGCATAGACTACAGGTCAAATATGTGTGCTTTATACAGATTTTCATTTGTTGAAAGATCAGTGTCAGCTACCGAGGAAGAGAAAATCCAAAAACCATTTTGTAAGTCCCGACGAACCCTAAATAGTAGCCGTTGTCTGATTGGTTAAATCCGTTAAGCCGTCTTGCGTTGGATTGGACGGTCTAGGGTTTGTTAACAGTATAGCAGTGTAACGAATAATACTGAGCCTAGGTTAACTTAGACTGTAGAAGGTTAATAGTCTCAAGACTTATTTCACCCGGGAACCCGATTTCTGCTGGGTGAACAAACAGAGGCAATTTTGAACAAACTCATTTGCGTAAGGTGAGACCACATGTATCACATGTACTTTGTTGTGGGGCAGGTCTGAAGTCCTAGAAACTCTCAGGAGTCCTGCTGTCACACACGGTCACTCGTCCATGGACTCACCATGCCCAATGTTGCTTAACTTCAACTGATTTGTGACCTGAGTGACCACACGCTACAATTATGATTTATGAAGAACTGCTCGTGTTGAAGTTAAGCTGTGTGGTTGACAAGCATTTGATTTTTCCTCCTGGACCATTGACAGATTTGAGTAGGTGTCATACCATGCCTTCTGCATGTACAGTGCTCATCAAATATGAGTATCTTGTGTACAGTGTGGTTATTCAATATGTTTATGCTGTTATTCCATGTTTCAGGTTTTGTGGTTGGTCAAGCGGGCATCCTTGAGACAGTCGCCCAACTGATCCTGGCCTACATGATCCTGGTGCTGACCGTACTGTCCATATGTGCTATCTCAACCAATGGTGCAGTGGAAGGGGGTGGAGCTTACTGTATCCTTTTTACTGATTGGTCACTTTGTTGTCCAACTGGAATCAGCTACGATTGATAATTCAGTTAACATTAGTCAAAAGTTAGATAATTTTACTGCCATGTCAGAATGTTGAGATGTAAAATGTTCACATGACCTTGATAAAATACTAGATATCCTCCTGGATCAGGAAAATGTTTGAGTCGGTACTGAGCACAAGTTAACCCTCAGCTCAATTGAAGTTGAACTTTGACTAGAAGAATTTTATGTGCATAGCTGTGATACTAGTGACTGGTACCAGAGAACCTGAGACTTGTGTACATGTGTGATATGGTTTTATACGAGCCTTAACCCTCTGCCAGACATGATAAGTCGTGCCCTTGGACCCGAGTTTGGCGGTAGTATTGGATTCCTGTTTTTCGTAGCTAATGTGATGGCATGTGCTCTCTACATCAGTGGTTTTGTGGAAGGAATACTCCAGAACTTTGGCCCAGGAGGTTAGTTCAAGTGTCCATCTGAAACTGAGAACATATGGGTACAAGCATCCTACCTCATTGCTTCATAACAATGACAATTGTTTGAGGACTATACCAGGAAGTTTTGAATGTACAGGATGTAGGTAAAGCTCAAGTGAAACTACAGTGTCATTCGTATCAGGAATGTTGTAATGAAGAATAAAGTCCAGTACAGGACTTCGAGTTTTTTACCATATACAGTCAAACCCCGATGAGTCGAATCGCTGGGGACCAAGTAATAAATTCGACTTATCCATGTATTCGAGACATAGGTATGTCTATGAGTGTAGAATAAAAAGATGATTGAATATTAAACAATTTTACCCAATCCACAAATAAAACAGACGTCATCCAAGCAGACTTCTTGTGACAGTATGAAGTCGGCAGAGATTTGACGTTCTTACAGCAACGTGGCTAGGGAAAGGTGTGAGCCACGCTGGTTTGTTAATTGGATCAGTTAGCTACACCAATTAACTTCTCATTGACTGACTTCGGCTTATTTATACAAGATTGCTGTTGTTTGAATCTCATGGGACCAAATTTCCTACTCGAGTCATCGTGTGTATTTATGAGACGAATTCGTGTAACTGGAAATCAAATGATGACAACTATAACAGGGAATGGTCGGGACCGACAGGTACTTCGAGTTATGCATAATATTCGAGACACCGGCATTCGACTCATTGGGATTTGACTGTATCACTGCTAAACAAAGATCTGAGGACAACTTGTCACAGCACCTGTCAAAACAACCTTTCATCTTTTCACATTATTTCATCGATCATTCAAAGTTCGCAAAAGTCATTCTGACATGATTTATAATCTAATGTTCCCAGATCCTTGTATAGCGGTGTGAGCACTGAGATTTTGATGATAATGAGTTATTTTCTTAATTTGTGGTGAAAGAAAAGATAATACTTGGTCCGAATTCATCTAAGAATTGTTAGGAAATATTCTCACCTTAGTTGTTTTTCATATTGAGGACTGTACTGGCACAGTTTCGGCAGTTAGAATATATTTAAAACAAAAGCTTGTGTACGTCATTTGCTGAGTGGAAGGAATCAGATGATTGCTTTGGTCATGTTCATACCATCAGGTATTGGTCTTTGTAACCTGATTGTACACACTTGTCCCACTGTGCTGTATATATACGTCCTGTGTGTACAGGGTCTCTGATAGGGAAGGATGGTACTGGGCTGCCGGATGATAACGACTGGTGGAAGTACCTATATGCCACCATCGTCTCCATCGTCTGTCTCCTCGTCTGCCTCGTTGGTGGTGCCATGTTTGCCAGGACTTCGGCTTTCATCCTGATGGTGAGTAGTTTGTCCGTTCTCTCTGCTATAAACAGTTTGAAACTATGGAGGAAAAATTGTACATCAGCAAAACTCTCTTATATCCTCTGTTGACTATTTTGGGATTGATAGTGTACTCAAACATGATTTTCATGTGATTTTGCTTCTTCCCAAGTCAGTGGAGTTAACAGTCTGTAAAAGTCCAGTTTCCAACCACGTTGAAAACGATTATGGAATTCCATGGACTGATAGTTGTGCCACAAGTGACCATTAATTAGTTATGCCTGTTATATATCAAACTTGCTGACCAATCAGATTCCACCTGTGACATCAGTACAGTTTGCTTCATACAAGGTTGTGGTGAGAACCCTCTGATCGATAATTACCGTATATTACCGTAGATAAGCCAAATTTGAGGACCAAAAAAATGCAGTCTGTAGAAGGGGGTCGGCTTATCTATGGGTTAAGCTTTCGTCAAACCTTTTTCAGTAAAGACGTCAATTTTGCAATTAAACATCACTAGACAAGGTTATTTACCTTTTAAGTTCTAAGTTGTTTTTGCTTGGCATTGTATTATTTGCAGGGATTAAGATTACTGTGTGTATATGAGCCTGAAATAGCAATCAGCTGTGCACATGTTTCCCGGCGAACAAGTTCAAACATGCACAATAATATAACGGGACGAATTCTGACGCAGTCATCAGTAAAATATAATACAAAGTACTATTATTTAACCCAAAGAAATATAACCTAGCCATATAGCCATTTAAATTCACACATTTTTACCGATGTTACTGTAAACTAGCAGTCCATGGAAAACGAGGCAGTAATCAGTTCGTGATTGTTGATAATATGATGTGAAATTGGCTATCGCGGTTGGAGCAAAAAACATACCCTCACGAACGTGGTAAGCGGAAGTTGTACGCACATGGAATGGGGTAAAATATGCAAGCCAGTTTGTTTACATGTGATCGTCCAGCTACAATAAGTATGATCTTTAGCGAAACAAAATATATGAATCATTTTCTGTCAACTACACTTCATTTCGATGCGTAAGTAAATGCAATATGATTGTGAGTTCTTTGAGTAATGTGGACCAAAGTTATAATTATCGACAACTGCCAGTTGTCTGTGGTCTGTGTTTGCCGCAATTAGGACCCCATCGCGGGGGATTGGCTTATGTACGAAACATACCATTCTGACACTGATTTTAAGGGTCCAGTTTAGGGGTCAGCTTATCTATGGGGTTGGCTTATCTACCTTAATATACGGTAGATCTCTATTGCATTAAAACAAGTGTTTTCTTTTGCTCACTTGAGCACCTTAACAACATTAAGATTTTGAAAATATCTATTGACACCCAGTAGACGGTACACATGACCTAGAAATGCTGCAAATGCTCTTCATTGAGTCAAGCTAGGTAGGGTAACCTAGTGGTTAAAGTGTTTGCTCATCACACCAATGACCTGCGCGCTAGAATCCCTGCTGTGATATGGCTGAAATATTGCTAAAAGCTTGTAAAACCTAACTCACTCACTCACTCACTCACTCACTCACTTTAATGTGTCCCCATATCTTCACATGATGCGTCTGTCATCAGATTGTGGTGATATGCCTACTGTCAGTCATCATCAGCATCTTCGCCATCAACCACAACATCGACGTCCGCGCATCCCTTTTACCAATAAAGTGGTGTACACCAACATGTCGGAGGACCAGGCCAACATCACAGGAAAGTACACAGGCCTGAATGCAGCAACATTCAGGGAAAACCTCTTTGGTGAGTTCAGTAATATAGAGTGATGTGACATCTACTGTCCCACTCATTTCAGAATATAGGATCTGACATTTTAGCCCTAGACCAAATAAATGTTATTTATTTATTTCTTGTTACTATATGTGACTATATATCTTAACTCACTCACTCGCCAAATGTACATATTCACGATCTGTAACACTGTGACATATTAGGTCCTTGACATCAGATGTTTAATGGAAGTTAAGCTCCAGAATGTTATTCCCTTATTTCTAGTTGTCCATGTGTACATATTCACGATCTGTAAGACTGACATCTAAGGAGGACAGGACAGTGGTTCAGCATAGACTCTGGTTGTTTTGCAGCCAACTACACTGTTGATTACAACACAGGAGATACCATGCAGTTTGCCACTGTGTTTGCCATCCTCTTCAGCAGCGTCACAGGCATCCTGAATGGGGCCAACATGTCGGGTGAGTCGGTCGTAACAAGCTTACACAATACAGACGTGTAAAACTAGCAAATTTTAGGATTTTCGTCAATTTCACGGCATTTGAATTGGTATATGAAATAAGATAAGAATTTTGCTTAAAATACGCTTTCAGAGCAAATGAATACATGGAAGGGCATCTTCCCCAATTTTGTTAAACATTTTTTTAATATTTGTTGATTCACACACTTCCAAAGAATGGCTGATTAGGGGATATTTGTTAATTCATTTATCACTGTTTCGGTTTTGTTTTTAACTGTCATAAACACAAGAGGATTTCATCTGCAAGGTAATTATATAGGAGGGACCTGTCAACTGTCACCTATGAATCATGTTAATTACCAACACCTGTGATACCTAACACTGTACTAACTTATGTCATAGCCACAATACAAGTAACAGGTTGCATTATGGATGACCAACAACAGATTACAACAAAATGAAACAGTTATACTGTTGTTTTCTGGTCACCATTGATGGTAAAAGTGTTATATTTACCATCCTTTTTCCTTAGCCGAAAGGGTATGCTGATGACTCAGTTGTCTCTGCAATTTATTGTCTAGAATTGCATCTGTTTCTACATCACGAAATAGTAGATTGTGGGTTCATCCTGATAATCTTTCTAGGATTCTTACCAGGAAAGCTGTAGATTTATCCAATGTACTTAACATCTGAGAAGACCTGCATCACATTATGTTTTAATAATGATAATAATATTAATAAGGGCAGTTATACCAGGCAATACTCCACACCACAAGGGGGCGTGCTCCCTTCTGAACCTGACATTCCCAGTCATCACTTAATCCCTACTTAAACTCCAACAAACTACCACAGTTAAGTCACAGATATCTTCTTGTAGATGAGTCATGTTTTTGAGTCAAGTATAAGAAGAACTGTTGCAAAGAAAACAAAGAGATGGCCATTCTTAATTCTCTTTTTACCACATGTATTTTTATATTAAACTGTGTCTTAATCTTTCCCTCCACAATCCCTGGTTGAAAGTGGTCCCCGCATACACCTGACACTAGCCTGGCTGTAGATGGCTGAGGTTGGGCGCTGCCTCTCTCTGTCCACTGCTTGCGTACAGTGACAGCTGTTGCCATGTGTCTCTGACTGGTCTGCTCCCAGTGTGGGGACTATTGATTGCAGCAGCTGGGTAAACAGGTTCATACCAGTGGAGGGAGTTGTCAATAAACCTGTCCCACTCCTTATTAACAGTGTTAGCTGTGTCAAAACGTTATTGTTAGGTGGGAGTCTATTGGCAGGTGGGCCCGTGATTAGTGCACAGGTGACAAATCACATGTAGAAATGTTGATCGAGGAGGGTAGTTGGAATGATGGAGTCCGACAGATTGACTCGTGAGGTTTTAGGGCTTCAGTCCTGTCCAAAACTAATGCACGTATAGTACATGTGGTGTTGCCTCAGTCAAGTGACTTTGCTCAACATATGCCTCTGTTCATTTAGCAGTGAACGTTGGTTGGTTGGTTGGTTGGTTGGTTGAATGTTTAATGCCACACTTGGCAATATTCCACTTCCAGCTATATGGCGGCAGTCTGTAAACAATCAAGTCTGGACCAGACAATCCTGTGATCAACATCATGAGCATCAATCTGTGCAATTGCGACACGATGACATGTGTCAACCAAGTCAGCGAGCCTGACGACCCGATCCTGTTTGTCGCCTCTTACGACAAGCATGGGTTACTGAAGATCAGTTCTAACCCAGATCTTCATGGGTTCGGCAGTGAACCCAAGCCAGTTTGGTTAACTGTGACACCCTACTCAGCAGTAAACGTGTGCCAAGTAGGGTGTCACTAAACGTGTGCCAAGTAGGGTGTCACTAAACGTGTGCCAAGTAGGGTGTCACTAAACGTGTGCCAAGTAGGGTGTCACTGAACGTGTTATATTTGGGAGAACACTTTCTTAGTAAAGTACAGATTTGTACTTTTTGGGTTGAATCCCATCCGGGATTCGAACCCACACACTCAGAGTCAGGCACCTAATCGCCAGCACACAGTCAGACGCCTAGACCGCTCCGCCACCGCGAATTCCACAAAAATGGAAGTCGGACAACTGGTAGTCTAGACTGCGGACTTTGTGTACCCCTCTGATAAGTGTTAATTGGCACGGCTCCCACGGACGAAAGCTATGAAAATACACAATGCCATTTTAGTAAGTGATCAAATGTAACATAGGTTATATTTGGGATTACACTTTCATAGTAAAGTACAGATTCTAGTACTTTTGGGGTTGAGTCCCATCCAGGATTCGAACCCACACCCTCAAAATCAGGCACCTAATCGCTCAGGCACCGCAACTTCCACAAAAATGGAAGGGTGTCACTGTTAACCGCACCGGCTGGGGTTGTATACTTCCTGGGGATGTCAGAATGAAATTGACTGTACAGTGATCCATGTCTGGAGGTATAATGTAGCACTTTGAGTGTGCTTAGTCTAGACAGGCTTCATTAGTAAAATGCTTATTAAGGGATTTTTGGACCATGCCCTTTTACATTCAGTGTTTACCATGTTTTTTTAGTAAGTACTTTGAAGTACATATGTATGAAATGTTTCAGTATTTTTTGTCTCACAGTTTCAGCCTTAACTGATATTTAAATCAGTGATGGTTTTCAATAATTCTTTGGCATATTAAAGTCAGTCCAACAAGAACTGTATGTTATTATGTGTTTGTTTTTGGTTTATCATGTGTTTATTGCTTTATTTATATTTTGTTGTTAATAGCTTGATAACAAAATTGGTCCCCAGAGAAAACAAATTACAGGTCCATCCTTTGTGTTCCCCATGTCTATAATGGTTTACATAAATCTTATTGAGAACTTGTCATAGTTAACAGTCTGTATCCCCTCATCTGTGGTGTCTATGAGATCCTGAAATTTGGGAAGTGTGTTTGATCCAAATTGGCATTTAGATAAACAATCTGTGTGTACTTTAGATGAGTCCTCACTAGTGGCAAACACTAGTACAAAGGTAGCTAGAGTTACCTCCCTTCCACCACTCATGGCCAACTAAGGCCTGATCTAATGTATGATACCTACTGATGGAGAGTGATTTATGTGGAAGTCCAATTTCATTCTTCATTCATCTGTTCATTCCGATATTTGGTGCAGCAACTTACTGTACCACAGTGTGAATTGGGAATATAGATAATTAAGCATGTGGCATACAAAGCATGGTACATTCAGTTGTTTTAGAATGCTTCGTTACTGATGTTGATGAAGGCCCTGATTGCAATCTAAGGATATTTCAGTGCAGGTTGATGTGGAATCAGACAGTGGTGACTACTGTGCTATACCTAATACCTTCCATACTTTAGGTGAGCTGAAGGACCCCAGTAAATCCATCCCGAAGGGGACTCTGTCCGCTGTGGGCTTCACCTTCTTTGCATACCTATTCCTCTCCATCCTCATCGGCGGATCCTGCTCCAGGTGAGTACCCCAAGGCAGTGTTAACACTACGTTCACTAACTTTCAGCTCACATTCAGTTCTAAAACTGTCTATTGACCTAAAGTCTTCACATTCAGTTCTAAAACTGTCAATTGACCTAAAGTCTTCACATTCAGTTCTAAAACTGCCAATTGACCTAAAGTCTTCACATTCAGTTCTAAAACTGCCTATTGATCTAAAGTCTTCACATTCAGTTCTAAAACTGTCTATTGACCTAAAGTCATCACATTCACTTCTAAAACTGTCTAGTGACCTAAAGTCCTTTTACAAGGAAATATCAGCAGTGATCGTTTTCAAATATCCATTGTCTCCCAAGTATTTCAGTGTTCCATGTATTATTGTTGACAGTTATACCAAGGAAGCAGTGTATTTGATTGCCAATATACTTCCAGGTTCCTTCTGAAAAATGACTATGTGTTCCTGCAACAAGTCAACGGATGGCCTCCGTTCGTGGTGATTGGTATTTTTGCTGCCACTCTGTCTGCAGCTCTAGGAAACCTTATAGGTGCTTCTCGTATATTGGAGGCTCTTGGCGTGGATCAGCTGTTTTGTAAGTTACACTTTAGGAACACATTGAATACTCCCCATGGAGTTGAGTTGGTTAAAAGAATGCCAGAAAAAAAGACATCTGTTGATCCAGGGAACACTCCAGCGCCTTGAGCATTTACTAGTTGCGTGGATATCTGTGCTATATAAATAAATTATAATTAAACAGATAATTTGGTGTATAAGAAGTAACACTACAGCCGCTATTGTATCAGGGATTTATTTTTGATTCCAAAGTGCCCTTGGCAGGAAAATTAGGAAACCTCGTTATTATCTTATAAATTTGTTCTTTTTGAAGTCAGTTTGTCTCAATTGTGCACTATGATATAAGGCACCATAAGTGTTTCTGAAGCTATCAGCACTGTCGAATTTAATAATACTGCTTCCATTATTGGTCAACCCTGAAAACAAATATCTATTTTTCCAGGGATTTTCCTGAAACCAGCAACAATCACCACAAGGGGAGGTAACCCTATCATGGCAGTCGTCATTACATGGGTTTTAGTGCAGGTATGTTCAGTTAACATATACAGACATAAGGTATAAATATTTTCATGGAATACGTTGATAAGTCCAATGTCATCTTGTTCCATGCATTTTAATATGGTGCTTGTTCCTTGTGTGCATAAGCAATGAAAGCTACCGTATATTACCGTCTATAAGACGACCCCATGGATAAGACGACCCCCAAACTTGACCCTTAAACTCAGTGTCAAAACTGTATGTTTCGTGCATAAGTCGATCCCCCGCGATGGGGTCCACGGCAAACAGAGACAACTGGCAGTTACCAATAATTATAACTTTGGTCCACATTATTCAAAGAATTCACAATCATATATATTGCGTCTACTCACGGATCGAAACGAAGTGTAGTTGACAGAAAATTGCATAATATATTTTGTTTCTCTAAATATCATATTTATTGTAGCAACAAACTGGCTTGCTTATTTAACCCCATTCAACAATCACGAACTGATTACCGCCTCGTTTTCCATTGACTGCTAGTTTACAGTAACATCGGTAAAATGTGTGAATTTAAATGGCTTCCGATATTTTACCCCATTCCATGTGCATTACAACTTCTGCTTACCACGTTCATGAGGGTCTGTATAACCTTAGTGTTGATTTTATATATTTTACATAAAACTGTATTTAAAATTACACAATGCTAGGTTATATTTCTTTGGGTTAAATAATGTACTTTGTATTATATTTTACTGACGACTCGTCAGAATTAGCCCCGCTATATTATTGTGCATGTTTGAACTTGTTCGGCTGCTGATTGCCATTTCCGTCTCAAATACACACGGTAATCTTAATCTTAATTAATTTATAGAGCAAAACTGTAATTAAAATTACACAATGCTAGGATATATTTCTTTGGGTTAAATAATAGTATTCTGTATTATATTTTACTGATGACTGCGTCAGAATTCGTCCCGTTATATTATTGTGCATGTTTGAACTTGTTCGCCGGGAAACGTGTGCACAGCTGATTGCTATTTCCGGCTCAGATACACACAGTAATCTTAATCCCTGCAAATAATACAATGTCCAGCAAAAACAACTTAGAACTTAAAAGGTAAATAATCTTGTCTAGTGATGTTTAATTGCAACAAAGTCGTCTTCTGTTGTTTGTTCACGCGAAGTGATATGATGTTGTTTTCTTACCCCTGGAAAAAAGTTTGATGAAAGCGTAACCCATGGATAAGACGACCACCTTCTACAGACTGCTTTTGTTGGTCCTCAAAATTCGGCTTATAGACGGTCATATACGGTAGTCTGAATAACATGGAATGGTCTTGTTTCAGTGCATCCTGTTGATCGGCTCCTTGAACGCTATCGCCCCGGTAACTTCAGTGTTCTTCTTGTTGTCGTACGCTGCTACCAATCTTGCCTGTCTGGCTCTTGAACTGGCGTCTGCCCCCAACTTCAGGTAGGAACTACTGACATCACCTGAATGTGATTCCTTGCAGGAGTCCTAGTTCGGAGAGGCAACAATGTTTTATGTGTTTTGAACATTATAGACAGTTGAGAATGACTTACATAAGGGGTTATGATACTCTAGTACATCTGCTGGACAGGTGCAGCATAGACTCGTGACAACCATTGTGTTTCCTGGCCTATAGGTCACTCAGCTGGAATATAGCTGTCTGCTGTGTAAATATAGAGGATACTAAACGACCTTCCAAGTAATACCATATTTATTAAATGGTTTAATGCTTTGGTATCAAACAAGTGAAAGCGGGTTTAATTCTAAATCTTTCACGAGTTCAATAAATACGGTATTTTATGGCAGCAAGTTTAGTATTCTGTTTATTACTCTCCAGCATAAGCTGATAGAAACTACCTACAGTGTGATGACTCTCAGCTCTCTGCGAGTCAAGCAAGGTCTAATACCATTGTGACGGAGGTATAAGCATTGTAACATCATAACTGTAAGCCATTATGACATCATACATCTAGCAGTATTAGTCTAGCGTAGTAATATCATAATAATATTACACTGCAGTATGTTCCACGGGTGAGTAATAAAGACATTTACTCACTCTTTCTTTCCTTTTCCACCCCATGTGCTGTTTGTCTAACATCAGTACAGAAGTTATACCGAATTGCCTGTGACTGCAGCCTTACATGTAGGTGTTCTTTGTCCACAGACCTACGTTCCGCTACTTCACGTGGTACACGTGTGGCCTGGGCCTGGTGGGCTGCATGGTGATGTGTTTCCTCATCAGCCCCATCTACACATCCATCGCTCTGGTCATCATGCTGTTGCTGGTCATCCTGCTGCACTTCCGCTCTCTGCCCACGTCGTGGGGCTCCATCAGCCAGGCTCTCATCTTCCACCAAGTCCGCAAGTACCTCCTCATGCTGGATTCGCGCAAGTCCCATGTCAAGTACTGGAGACCGCAGATTCTACTCATGGTGGCCAATCCAAGACAATGCTGTGAACTCATGGACTTCATCAACGACATTAAGAAGAGTGGGCTGTATGTCATCGGTCATGTAAAAGTTGGCCGACTCGAAGATTACCCCATGGACCCCATCCTTGACACACAGCCTCACTGGCTCAGTCTCATTGATCATCTCAAGATTAAGGCATTTGCAGAGCTCACCCTTGCAAACAGTGTTAGAGAAGGACTGCAGCATCTTATCCGAGTATCTGGACTTGGTGGAATGAAACCTAACACAGTGTGTCTCGGCTTCTATGATTCTTCTGAACCCCAAGATACATTACTAAAAACAAAAGTTCGTCGGAGAAGATTCTTCGGAAATGTGGAAGTTGAAAGTTTTTCTCAGATTGAGGGATACTTTGGTGGACCTCGCGACGGGACAAGTCCAAAAAAATATATTATCGGAGACAGAGTACGTCAACATGATTAAAGATTGCCTCAAACTGGGAAAGAACCTCTGTCTTTGCCGCCATTTTAACCTGCTGAATAAAACAGAAGTCCTTCAGTCTGACCTGGACTCCTATATTGATGTGTGGCCTGTGAATCTGTTCCGTCCCGAGACCGCGAGCTACTTCGACAACACCTGCCTCTTCCTCCTTCAGCTGGCCTGCATTCTTAACATGGTGCCCCGTTGGAAATCTAAAACCACTCTACGGGTGTTCCTCATGGTGAATGCGTAAACGGATAACACGATTCAGAAGGAACAAAAACTGGACATGTTCTTGCGTCAGCTTCGGATCATTGCCAAGATTCAGGTGATATCCTGGGACCATCTCCAGCCATACATGCGAAGCCCGTACATAGAAATGGACTATGACGGATTGCACATGCAGGATTATTATGAAGCACCAGATGATTTTGTGAAAGCAATGAATGAACTTATAATTGCCAATTCCAGTCGAACAGCTGCCAGTTTTCTGTATCTACCCAAACCACCAACGGATTCAGCTCTGTATGGGAAGTATTTATACCATCTGGACATGCTGACTGCCAATTTGAAACCAACAATTATGGTCCAAGGTCTACATCCTGTTACATCTACTACGCTATGATCAGTATGATGTTTGTTATTGAGATGTTTACAATGTCTGATAACATTATTACTAGTTCATCTGACGTTATGATGATATGTTCATTTTGTGGGTCATTATAGTTGGTTTGTGTCCATCCATGACTACAACTGGTGTTTGTCAGGAATGTAATTTTGGTTTGTGAAGATGGTCAGTTTACTGCCAATAATTGTGAAATGGGTGTCATTTATATTGAACCATTTGCTAAATGATTCTGTAATCATGTTAATCACATCAGCATCTTCTCAGAACGGGAGATCATGGGGACCTTACACTATTACAGATAACTGTGTTGCCATGGAAACACAGAAGAACGAAGCACCTAGTGGTGCTTGAGAATATAGTGGTGAGACTACAGTATTAGATTGATCATGTAGGGGAGCCCAGTATTGTCCCGTGTTTGAGGGGTATATATACTAGTCTTTCTGTGCACCATCTTGAGAGTGAGACTGCTGGTCAGTGATAACCTGAACCTAGCAGCAGCTTCTTGTTCCATGGCAGACTCCTCTTCAGTAGTCACAAATATCCTGATATTTCATGAATGTAAGAGATGAAAGCTTCTAATAATACTGGTGTGATATCGAGGCGAACCAGTAGTAAAGTATGACTGCCAGCGATGTTGGAGATTGGAAATTTCAAAGTTGATGTTTTGGGAATGGGTGTGGCAATGCATAATACTGCCACAGATTGTTGAACAGGCATTCACTCAATGGGGCATTCTGTGTGTGGGTCACCCAATGGGGCATCATGTGTGTGGGTCGCCCAATGGGGCATTCTGTGTGTGGGTCACCCAATGGGGCATTCTGTGTGTGGGTCACCCAATGGCCAGCTCAGGAAAACTGTCACTCTTGTCTTGTCATTCCTGGCCAAGCTGTGATTGTGACCAATGTTGACACAGGTATCTCCTTGTCATGTCCCTGTTAATAGGGGAAAGATCTAGGCTGATTGCTGCCATGTTATTCTGTGACTGTTATACTGCCTTGATGGTGAGCACAGCCTTGATGGTGAGCACAGCCGTTGTTGTCCAAGATGTCGACCCATGAGAAGACCGTGTGTCTGTATGTTGACACCATCAATTGGCTACCTTCAGAGCAGTTTACTCTCTTATCAATGAGCAATATCAAACTATACACCATTAATGGATAACTATCGCAGTGTTTTAACATCAATCCTTATCTTAGCCTTTAAGCATTATTAACATGATTAATGAGGAAAATACAAAATTAAGGGCTTGGCATTGACAGCATGTGTTCACATATAATTTGTAGTCCCTCTTAGCTCGGTTATTCTCTGTTAAAGATGCAAGTAGGAGTTGAACAGGGGAGACAATAATGACAATTATGATCAAAAGAGAACAGACATAATCAGTTTGTGGATGAGATTGATATTTTCACTTTTTTGACACTCATTTTGATGTCAGAATATCTTGTGATATGTTATCAGGAAAAAAGGTTCTTTTCTCCCCTCGATGTGCAATACGTACAGTTGTTTTAAGGGCACTTCTAAGAAGTTGATGGATGTCGAAGAAGACACAATTCATGGATACCAACTTCTTCAATATCATCTTCTAGTGTACTTTTGTAACAATGTTTTGATACAGATGCCACGGTGACAATTTATTGAAGAATTTGTTGTCAGTTTTGACAGTATTGTCAGCTAATCCCATATTTGTAGGCTGGGTAAGTATGGAGGGGTGGGGTGGGGTGGGGACAATATAGGACAATCAGTTTTCTACTTTGCTTGTGAGCTGTTGGTGTGAGCTGATGTCCATGTGTCAAGCAGTTGGCCACCATGGGGCATACGTTCCCACTAATCAGAACATGAAAGTTTTTTGTAAATGTTCCTGTGTCGTCATTTTGTATGAAATTACAATTGAAATTGATATTTTAAATACCTCAGGTTAATCATGATCATAAAAGGTTGAGTGCAGATAGTTAATTGATCAGTACAATTTCAAAATTCTTGTTTGCCATAAATGTCTTTTTCTCAGTAACTGACCGACCATAATGTGCTGAAATTTGATATGAATGTTGTCTCCATATATTTATTTTAGCATTGTTAAACAGTTTGTACAAAGTTGTATTTGTTGTTTCTTAAAATGCCCAAAGGATACAGTCAGCTAATTCATAAAACTAATATTCTGTTTAATTGTTCTTAGGGTAACCTTTTGAAAATCTCACAGAACACCTGATATCTGGTAATAACAGCCTTTATGACGATTTTATATGACTAGTCTCTGTAACCAACAGCAAGCAGAACATTAGGCAGGCATGATCTTAGTAATCTGTAATGCAGTGGCCCCTTTGTCAACTTCAGTTTCTTTCAAACAGGCACAGGGGCGGTGGGGTAGCCTAGTGGTTTAAGCGTTCGCTCGTCAGGCCGAAGACCCCGGTTCGATTCCCCACATGGGTACAATGTGTGAAGCTCATTTCTGGTATTCCCCGCTGTGATGTTGCTAAAAGTGGCGTTAAACTGAACTCAATCAGTCAAACAGGCACAGATAAACAAGCAGAGGTTCCCGTTCCTGACTATAGCTACCTCAAAACCATATTTGGCAGCCACTCCGTGGCCCTGACCTTTTTACATCGATATTAACCACAATGGCTTGAAAAACTCTTGGCCCATAATTGAGTTTCTGTGAACTGTTGTTGAGATATGTCAGTGTTGTCACCTTCCTGCCACGACTGACTGATGAAATAGGTGCTGGGTAGCTAGCTTATTTTGATGACATAATCTGGGTTTTGTACAAGGCTTGTATTTTTGTAATGAAGCAAAGAACTAAGTTAATATTGACATTGCAGGTTCTTCCCCGTTGTCAGCCTTGTCCATTGTGTGTGATGCACAAAGTTATACCTCTCTGGGATCATTGTCCTTGGTGTGTGACGTACAAGGTTATGTCCCTTTGTGATGGTTCTTCAGTGTTGGACCGACAGGGTTATGTCCCTTTGTCATCATCGTGTTGGGATGGAGGTGTAGCGGGGATAATTTTCCTTGGTGTGTGATGTGCAAGGTTACATCCCTTTGTGATGGTTCTTCAGTGTTGGACTGACAGGGTTATACTCCTTTGTGATCATCGTCCTTGTGTTGGGATGCTAGGTGTAGCAAATGCTACTTTGGTCAAATGTAAATGTGCAAGATATTGTTATATTTTTTCAAGCATGGGAATTCCAAGATTATTATTAGTGAGATGTGCCATGTGATAATGTGGGCAAACAATATATGCTATCATATAGTTTTGTATCTAGTTTGCCTGCTTGTGGAAGTATGGAGATTAACAGAGCATGTTCGTTATTTGTAACAAATACTTTATAAGTGTCCCAAAATCAAAGCTGTTAAGTACCTTAGATGTTGATTGTCTTATGTCTTCTCACAAATTCTTGTATAAAGTGCTATTTCTGTGTTGTGTAATGACTAAATATTGCTTACATCTTCCAAATATATCTTTGCTAAGCACTATGTTATTTCAATCACTACTTAATATGAATCATTGTGAATCAAATCTGATGAAGAAGCATACTTGTAAAACTATAATTTGTATATTTGAAGTAGCAGTAGTATAACTAACCTAATAAAATCAACCAGGAGATTGTGTAGATCAATGCTCATGTTGATTACTGGATCGTCTGGTCCAGACTTGATTATTTACAGACTGCTGCCGTATTGCTGAGAGTGGCGTAAAACTAAACTCACTCACTCTCATAAAATCATTGTTCAAAGCAAATTTCTTGAAGGAAAGTCATTCTGGCAAGATGTTGAACCTCTGTGTGAGAGCATGCTCCAGCCCATTATGTCCAGCTCTCTATGATGGCAAACCCTGGACAGTTGTTATTGGTTATAAATTATGTTGATGGTGACATATATTTGTTAAGCTTGTGTCCTGAGATGATATCTGCAATAGACAAAAGTGTCCTCCAACTGAATCTCAAACCTGAGGTAAAGAACCTTGCTTGTTTGGCGATTACAGGTCCCTCCCAACTAAACCTTATTGTGAAAATGATGAATGGTTGTGCTACAAATATCTTGTAAGGTTATGACTCGCTGTTGCCTGCAAAGTCTGTGTGTAAGTGTTTAGAAACTGACCTGTGTAAGTGGGTCCTCCTTCTTGTCTGCTACTGTCACGGGACCAGCCACTTGTATGGGTACAGTTGTTTTAGTTGTTACTTTGTCACACATACAGTTTGTTAAACCACACTATTTATGTATAACTTATTTCACCTTATCCTTATTTCAAGTTTATTTGTATATAAATTGTATTATTTGTTTTCTGCAATAGTGGTCACACACAAATCTTTGAACATAAGCTGATGAATAAATGAGTATCGTATAATCTTGTGTTTTTATTACAGTTGGCCATGTTGGTCAACAGGGAAAGAAATCTTTCAAAATTGACCACAGGACCAAGTGGACAATAATTACAGTTCAAATGATAATGATGAAATATTAAATAACTCAAAATAGGGATAATGCACAAAACATGATCCTGAACCCTCTGTACACAACAGGATCTGAAATCTGACGTTTTATGATCGATCATCACGGAAAAAGTTGTTTAAGAAACTATCATGTAATATTGTCCGTTTTTCTCACTTCACACCAAGGGGTGACAAACGGCTGGTGGAACAGCACTGGTTGTTTCCTGACAAGTATGGGGCTGTGCTGAGTTCCACCTGAAGTGCATGCGTGGGGTTGTGACAGTAATGCTCCACTAAAGTTTAATGTTTTATTTTTCTCTCAACAAGGATTACAGTCTCTGACTGTTACATCAACATAACAGAAGCCTGTGATACATTTGTCTGTCACCAAGTCAGTGTTCATATTATTCCAACTTGAATGGCATTTTACATAATGTCACAGATCTTTGTGAGATACAGTGTTAACTTGTAAATCATGATTCTGATTTTGGCACCTGGTTTGAAATTACCATTTCAAAATACCACATTTGATTTCTTGGAAATCTGATCACGTCTGTGTGATGGAATTCTTAAAACTTACTTTCTTAATATGAAAAGTAGAGTTACTTGCACATTTAGCTGGAAGGCCATCAGTTGCATTAATTCATTTCTAGTGAGCTGCAAATATGCCTATTCATTTTACCTTTCTTTTCTAATTCAGAAACCTTTCTGCAAAATATAAAATGTGACTAGTGACATTTACCAAGATGAAAGACTTAATAAGCAATGAACAGGTTGTTGATACTGGGACACATGACACTATGTATAAAACAAAGTTTCGTTTATAACTGAATGGCTTCTAAAATCACCTTACAATCATTGCTGGACACAGTAGAGCCAATAGCAGTATTTTGACCTGATATACTCAACTATTAATTGATTGCATGATAAACAAAAACAGACTCCATTAAGTGACAAAATATTTGAGGGCTTGTACACATATTAAGGGAGACGCATTCAAATGTGACCAAGCCTTTGTCAGTGCATGATTCATTATTATTTCATTTATCAACAAGTTACATCAACAAATCAACATGAAAACATAGAATTTCATGATTTAGCAATTGTGTAATTAAAGACAATTTCATTCTGAGAAGAATAATGGCCAATGACCCTATAAGACTTTTCGATATATACTACTCACACTTTACTTCAACGTAGATTCATAATTTGAAATTGTATCCATTTAAAACTGGATCAATATGGTAACCCCTCTCTAGGCAAACAGTCACATTAATCTAACCTTATGCACTTGATACATGAGTAACCATAAAATTGGTGTTCATGGCACCAATCAAACATTTTGAAATCATGGAACGAGTCATTGACAAGTACACAACACCTGCCAATAGCAGGTATGGGATCCACAAAATTAAAATGACACACTGAAACCAAGGATCCATGCTTACAATAAGCTTAGACATTTAAATCCAATTTGACCCCACATCATAGTTTTCTGTTGAATCCATGATTTGATCCTTACCAAAGTGTGAATAGTATATGTCCCAAACTAACAAGATAGTCCTGATGTCGAGGTCAAAAGTAGTCCAGTTACAGGAATGTTTTTCTTTCATTTTTCAAGAAAATGAGGGCCCATTTAAGGAAGTTGCACCCTGGTCCCCAAAAATGATCCAACTTGAAACAGACTGGTCTGCTGCCACAAATGTAATTACTGTTGCTGTAAACCATAATAGGAACATATCTATCATCTCTAGTACCATCATCTCTAGTACCATCATCTCTAGTACCATCGTCTCTAGTACCATCGTCTCTAGTACCATCATCTCTAGTACCATCATCTCTAGTACCATCGCCTCTAGTACCATCGTCTCTAGTACCATCATCTCTAGTACCATCGTCTCTAGTACCATCGTCTCTAGTACCATCATCTCTAGTACCATCATCTCTAGTACCATCATCTCTAGTACCATCATCAAGCACAGGGAAGCATGACACAAGGGTGTTCAATGACTGAAGTTGTCAAACATTTGTGGATGGCTAACCCTTACAAGTTTACATAATAATAAGAGTTCATTTTTCAAAAACATGTTGCAATGGAAAGACAAATCATCCTGACAAACATTTATTATGTACTTCATACTGTTGCAAAATGCACTAATTCATTATCTCAAGGACTTGATCTAGACAGTGCAATTATAGCTGGGTCAAAAGACACAACCATAAGATACATTTCATATAGGAAATTCAACCATGTACTTCATTAAAGCTCCACAATGCCCTTTGTTAACTTTTTGCTACCTTGGTAAACAGCTGTCTTTATGGCACTTTCCTTGGTTTAAATACTGAGTAATATTTCCCAACCATAATTACACAACACAAACACAAACAGGAATCTGAATACCATGGAAACCTGATCCAGCCATTTCCTGACTTATCAGATTTTCACCACACAGGAGCAACTAAAAGTAGTTCTGAGTTTCAAGCATTCTTGTATATTCCTAAATTATTGGAATTAGCCAGTCTTGTTTGAAGCCGGGACTAAAATAGGAAACAAGTGTTCACTCAAGATTAAGGATAATCTCTATAGGCCCCTTAGCTGCCGGAGGGACACTTGCAGATGTCGTTGTGATGACAACAGAGCAAACCATACCTCCCTTTCTCATGCATTTGCTTGTTTGTAATGTATTGCGTTATCAATGCACAGGATATTTTGTAAGAAATAAATGTCAACAAAACTGTTTTTGGAGTCCAAATGAAACTCTTCCCGTGTTGTTTAGAGAGTCACACACCACAGTGCCAGGGTCATGTGAAACAAATGATTTGGTTGACTAAATGTGTGAAATGAATCGTTTGCCAATACAGCATGATAATGTGAGTGTTGCAAGAAGGGAACTACTTGGCCACTGGACATCCTATTGTTATTCAAACTGCAACTCAGTTTCACAATGTAGCAAGTCTTATATACATGGTCGCTGTAGTTCTCTCTCTTCAACATTATTTACATATAAATAATGTACATCTTCATAACTTGATTAAAGTGGTCCCTCCAGATCACCAGAATGGACACCTGAAAAATACCCCGAATTTGATAAATAGCATACACAGAGGGGATGAAATGATACAGCAGAGTAATGATACATGTGATACATTGGTCATGATATGATACGTATCACAAAACATGGGTCATGATACAATATGTATCACAATACATGGGTCATGATACGATATGTATCACAATACATGGGTCATGATACGATATGTATCACAATACATGGGTCATGATACGATATGTATCACAATACATGGGACATGATAAGATACGTATCACAATACTTGGGTCACAATACAATATGTATCACAATACATGGGTCATGATATGATATGTATCACAATACATGGGTCACGATACGATATGTATCAAAATACATGGGTCATGATACGATATGTATCACAATACATGGGTCATGAAACGATATGTATCACAATACATGGGACATGATACGATATGTATCACAATACATGGGTCACGATACGATATGTATCACAATACATGGGTCATGATACGATATGTATCACAATACATGGGTCACAATATGATATGTATCACAATACATGGGTCATGATATATGTATCACAATACATGGGTCATGATATGATATGTATCACAATACATGGGTCATGATATGATATGTATCACAATACATGGGTCATGATATGATATGTATCACAATACATGGGTCACGATACGATATGTATCACAATACATGGGTCATGATATGATATGTATCACAATACATGGGTCATGATATGATATGTATCACAATGCATGGGTCACAATATGATTTGTATCACTATGCATGGGTCATGATATGATTTGTATCACTATGCATGGGTCATGATATGATATGTATCACAATGCATGGGTCACGATATGATTTGTATCACTATGCATGGGTCATGATATGATATGTATCACAATACATGGGTAACGATATGATTTGTATCACAATACATGGGTCATGATATGATATGTATCACAATACATGGGTCATGATACGATATGTATCACAATACATGGGTCATCATACGATATGTATCACAATACATGGGACATGATACGATACGTATCACAATACATGGGTCATGATACGATATGTATCAAAATACTTGGGTCACGATACGATATGTATCACAATACATGGGTCACGATACGATATGTATCAAAATACATGGGTCATGATACGATATGTATCACAATACATGGGTCATGAAACAATATGTATCACAATACATGGGACATGATACGATATGTATCACAATACATGGGTCACGATACGATATGTATCACAATACATGGGTCATGATACGATATGTATCACAATACATGGGTCACAATATGATATGTATCACAATACATGGGTCATGATATATGTATCACAATACATGGGTCATGATATGATATGTATATCATGGGTCAATACATGGGTCATGATATGATATGTATCACAATACATGGGTCATGATATGATATGTATCACAATACATACATGGAGTCACGATATGATATGTATCACAATACATGGGTCATGATATGATATGTATCACAATACATGGGTCATGATATGATATGTATCACAATGCATGGGTCACGATATGATTTGTATCACTATGCATGGGTCATGATATGATTTGTATCACTATGCATGGGTCATGATATGATATGTATGACAATGCATGGGTCACGATATGATTTGTATCACTATGCATGGGTCATGATATGATATGTATCACAATACATGGGTCATGATACGATATGTATCACAATACATGGGTCATGATACGATATGTATCACAATACATGGGACATGATATGATACGTATCACAATACATGGGTCATGATATGATATGTATCACAATACATGGGTCATGATATGATATGTATCACAATACATGGGTCACGATACGATATGTATCACAATACATGGGTCATGATATGATATGTATCACAATACATGGGTCATGATATGATATGTATCACAATGCATGGGTCACGATATGATTTGTATCACTATGCATGGGTCATGATATGATTTGTATCACTATGCATGGGTCATGATATGATATGTATCACAATGCATGGGTCACGATATGATTTGTATCACTATGCATGGGTCATGATATGATATGTATCACAATACATGGGTCATGATACGATATGTATCACAATACATGGGTCATGATACGATATGTATCACAATACATGGGTCATGATATGATATGTATCACAAAACATGGGTAACAATATGTTTTGTATCACAATACATGGGTAACGATATGATTTGTATCACAATACATGAGTCATGATATGATGTGTATCACAATACATGGGTCATGATATGATATGTATCACAATACATGGGTCATGATACGATATGTATCAAAATACTTGGGTCACGATACGATATGTATCACAATACATGGGTCATGATATGATGTGTATCACAATACATGGGTCATGATATGATATGTATCACAATACATGGGTCATGATACGATATGTATCAAAATACTTGGGTCACGATACGATATGTATCACAATACATGGGTAACGATATGATTTGTATCACAATACATGGGTCATGATATGATATGTATCACAATACATGGGTCATGATATGATTTGTATCACAATACATGGGTCATGATATGATATGTATCACAATACATGGGTCACGATATGATTTGTATCACAATACATGGGTCACGATGTGATTTGTATCACAATACATGGGTCATGATACGGTAAGTATCACAATACATGGGTCATGATATGATATATATCACAATACAGCATAGAAAGGATACAATACATATTGATACATTGGTCATGATACCACACGTATGACAACAGCATAGTAACGATAGAATACAATCTACTGTATTTACTTCAAATGTGTGGAAATGTCTTGACTAAATATTTCAACACGTTCAGAAAGAAATACTAGCTCTAGAATCATGTTTTCAATGGGTATTTTTAGTAGTCAACATGAAACACTAATTACAACACATCTTTCAATATTTGATTGAAAAGAATCAGAGTACCAATTTATCATTTCAGCCCTAATATGGGGCCAACCGACATCTCAGATAAACATAAGTTACTCCAGAACAAGAATGGATACAGTGGAGCAAAAGCAAAAAGCAGAGATTGCATATGGCATAAATTCTAAAAGGAGTTCCTCATTCCAAAGGATTTTGTGTTATTTGTATCTACTGCAAGCATCCTATATGATTCCAAACATTCCACTGTTCCTGTTGTTTCCATAAATATCTTATTATATTGTTTAGTTGTTAAAAATAATTTTAAGTGTGATGTTTCAGTTCACCAATAGTCAGTCTCTGCAGAGTTACCTCCCTGTATTGTCCAAGGGAGACTACTCACCAGCCTATGTAGCACTGACAGAGATTCTCGTGCGATGTAGCCTGGTGTATCAGCAGCTCCACCTGCTTCCTCACATCAATGGCATCCTCTGTGCTGAAGTCACGACCTGAAATATGAATATGTTCCTTCATCTGCATCAAGCAAACTAGAGAGAATCATATTTGGCCACAAATATTCCAACCATCCATTTGATCATGTTTGTGATTATAAAAATCACAAAATTTGAAAGAACAAACAATCTGACAGTTACTTAAAGTCCAACATGTAGAGAGAATTTCTGTTTAAGAAAGAGTAGTCACTGAACTATTAAAACAACATGGAATTGGGATTTGCAGCTTTCAAAAATCCCTTATAGCAAATGACAGCAGTTGATTACCTAGTCTTTGTGTGTGCAGATTCATGAAAGAATACTTATTACTTCTAGAAACAGACAGATGAGGTGTTGACTATATGCTGGGAGGATAATAATAGCTCAAAATCTATAGACATGTAATGCTAAAGATGGACATTTTCATATTTTTATACAAATGATGTGAGAGAGGTGAGAAGATTTATAAAAAATATGTCAATACAAGTATTATAGTCTTAGGTACCTGTAAGTTTGTCCCGAACTCGGTTGACAATGGAGATTGCCTTCTTGTTCAACACTTCCGACGGCACGTTGTCATCTCCTGTTACGGCACAAAACAGACAGGTGGGAAAGTGACACCATTTACAGAATGACCTTGTACAAGTAGTTAGCCTACTCTAAACTTGTAAATGTACAGAACAAACTTGAATGTCCTACCTACCGGACATCTTACACTGAGATCTATGTACCTACCTGACCCCCCTGAAACACTACTCTCTGGTCCGATCTTCTTGCTGGACGACTGATTCAGCTCAACACTCTCTAACAGGTCACCTGATCGGAAAGAAACAATAGTGAGCCTTGTTCCATGACAGTTACACCATGCCACTCCTAGCTAGTTAAATGCAGAAACAGACAAAATGTATTCCTTATTCTCAACTTTAGTCTACTTCACAAACTCAGAAGGAGGAAAAAAATATCTCGAACTGGTAATCAGCTAAAGAAAAAAAAGAAAAATACATATCACCATGGCAAAATACATATAATCCATGTTAGAAACATTATTTGCATTAGAATGGTATTTCTTGCAATGAAGGTTATTTTGATCCCAATACAACCATGAACATTGTAGGCTATAGCTCCTGTCTCTGTCTGCTGTGTCTCCTGTGTGAGTGAGTGAGTGAGTGAGTGAGTGAGTATGGTTTTATGCCGCTTTTAGCAATATTCCAGCAATATCACGGCGGGGGAAACCAGAAATGGGCTTCACATATTGCACCCATGTGGAGAATCGAACCCAGATCTTCAGTGTGATGATCTGACACTTTAACCATTAGGCTACCCCACTGCCCCTCTCCTGTGTGGATCACATGTACCTTGTTCTTGACTTCCGGTGTAGGAGTCTGATCTGTTGGTTTTCGTCTTTGTCTTGGTTGTTGCTGAAAACAATAACAATATATAAATCAGGACATATTGTTGAAACAATCAGTGTTGTACAACTCATGGAAAGACAGAACTACTTGAGTTCCCTCACCATCAACCAGCCTCCAGTTGAGCAGTGGATCGTAGACGAAGGCTTCCAGTACAGCCATCAGACTGTCCTTGTGGTCCCTCAGTACATGCATCACGCTCTCACACGTCATGCGGTAGTTGCCGTCGATACCCGTCACCTGCAAATATATGTGGTGCTGTCACAGGGACTGAAGTCAGCAAGCTAATATACTAATATTCCTAGATGACAAACAGTGACCAAAGTGACTTGACTAGCACAGCTTTGACAGTCTATCACAACATGGCCAGTAATGCCCTTATCCCTTCTGCATGACACCATCCCAGTAATGCCTTTCACATTACTGCATGACACCATCCCAGAATGCATTTCCCCCTATTACATGACACCATACCAGTAATGCCTTTCCCCCTATTACATGACACCATACCAGTAATACCTTTTCCCCTATTACATGACACCATCCCAGTAATGCCTTTCCCCCTATTACATGACACCATACCAGTAATGCCTTTTCCCCTATTACATGACACCATCCCAGTAATGCCTTTCCATCTACTGCATGACACCATCCCAGTAATGCCTTTTCCCCTATTACATGACACCATCCCAGTAATGCCTTTCCCCCATTACATGACACCATCCCAGTAATGCCAGTAATGCCTTTTCCCCTATTACATGACACCATCCCAGTAATGCCTTTCCCCTATTACATGACACCATCCCAGTAATGCCTTTCCCCTATTACATGACACCATCCCAGTAATTGCCTTTCCCCTATTACATGACACCATCCCAGTAATGCCTTTCCATCTACTGCATGACACCATCCCAGTAATGCCTTTTCCCCTATTACATGACAACATCCCAGTAATGCCTTTTCCCTTTCCCACTACTGCATGACACCATCCCAGTAATGCCTTTCCTGTTCTACATGACACCATCCCAGTAATGCTTTTTCCCATGACACCATCCAAGTAATGCATGACACCATCCCAGGAATTGCCTTTATCCGATGCCTTTACTGCAATGACACCATCCCAGTAATGCCTTTCCCTCTATTGCATGACACCATCCCAGTAATGCCTTTCCCTCTATTGCATGACACCATCACGGGAATGCCTTTCCCATTATTGCATGACACCATCACGGGAATGCCTTTACCGATATTGCATGACACCATCACGGGAATGCCTTTACCGATATTGCAAGACACCATCACAGGAATGCCTTTACCGATATTGCAAGACACCATCACGGTAATGCATTTACCGATATTGCAAGACACCATCACGGGAATGCCTTTACCGATATTGCATGACACCATCACGGGAATGCCTTTACCGATATTGCATGACACCATCACGGGAATGCCTTTACCGATATTGCAAGACACCATCACGAGAATGCCTTTACCGATATTGCATACACCATCACAGGAATGCCTTTGCCGATATTGCATGACACCATCACGGGAATGCCTTTGCCGATATTGCATGACACCATCACGGGAATGCCTTTACCGATATTGCATGACACCATCACGGGAATGCCTTTACCGATATTGCAAGACACCATCACGGGAATGCCTTTACCGATATTGCATACACCATCACAGGAATGCCTTTGCCGATATTGCAAAACACCATCACGGGAATGCCTTTACCGATATTGCATGACACCATCACGGAAATGCCTTTACCGATATTGCAAGACACCATCACGGGAATGCCTTTACCGATATTGCAAGACACCATCACAGGAATGCCTTTGCCGATATTGCATGACACTATCACGGGAATGCCTTTACCGATATTGCATGACACCATCACGGGAATGCCTTTACCAATATTGCAAGACACTCTGCTTGACATGTCTTTCCCATTACTGTATGACAACTGCTGAGCAATGCTATGTTAGTTTACACAGTGTCTGGCTCACCTCCATGGCATTCATCAACATTCTGGTCAGTCGGAAGGGAATCTTCTCTGGGAACTTCTCCCTCACCATGGCTACCTCGAAGCAGTCACCAAAGTCAATGTGGATGATTTTGCCGCTCATACGATCTAACATCAGATTTGAAGGGTGCCTGGAAGAGAGACAGATCCAACATCAGATTGGAGAAGTGATCACTTGTCAGTCATTCTTGTCTAGATCTTGCAAACCGTCTCCGTGGTGTAGTGGTTAGAGCGTCCGCCCCGGAGAGTGGAAGGTCGCGGGTTCGATCCCCGACCGCGTCATACCAACAAGGACTGGTCGGCTCGGAGTCAGTATACAGTCAGTATAATGTGTCTGAGTGGGGTATTCATGCTTCACTGCGGCATGGTATCTCAGTGGGCTAGCCTATAAAACCAGCTTCAGTCTGGGCTGGTACAAGCAGCCGCACATACACATATACACGCATGCACGTCGTCATATGAGCAAAATATTCTCAAGCACGACATTAAACCCAATTTCACCTCACCTCACCTAGATCTTGCAGTAGACATAAAAGACAGTTGTTGCTCACCTGTCCCCAAGTCCCAGGACATACCCCACCATAGACATCACGGCCAGCGAGCGGGTGTAGTTGGTCCGACGATCAAACCATACCTGTACAAACAAGATACATATACTGTAGTGAGAAGACAGAGATAATGAATAAGAAGAATCAAGACATGTGTTCTTCATTTAGAGAACATCCCAGATTTACTGGACTTTTCCAACATCTCTCCTTCCAGCACAGGAAAATGTGATTAGTCAGTTCAGCAACACAGAACACCTACATCAGCAACTCACCTCGGAGCTTGGACTCTTGTACCACAGTATCTTGGCCAGGTCATCGCCCTGTGTGTGTTCCAGGGCATGTTCGAACACCTCCACCTTCTGCATCAGGGCCAGGTGGTCATAGTCCGGGGCCATCTGGGGGAGGAGTAAGTGGAATATATCTACTCTGCAGGTAGTGGCATAAAGGAAATACTTGCTACAGGCCAAGAAAACTAATGATACAGAGAATGTTAAACAACAGGCAGTGTGGAGATATACAAACTTGTGATGGCAGATACTTCTAAATGGAGAAACTGAAATGATTATGTTCACTGAAAAACTAACAAGAGATATAGAAGGAGCTAATGCTGATGTTTCAGTGTTTGGACAGCTGCCAAACTGCCCCATGGTCAATCCCTCACCCGCAGCATGAGCCTGTGTTCGATGTTGAGCAGGATCTTCTTCTTCTCACGGTAGTCTCGGATCAAGGAATGTAGAGTATCACAGTGCGGCACCCATCCAATCAGTCCCGAGTTGGTCGACAGAGGGATGGCCGAGAAACGTGTGATTCTGACAAAAGGAAACTCCACATGATGTATACAACATCATCTCAGTTCATTCATTCCCAGTCAGTTTCACTATATTTCTACCATTAAATAGCATGCCAGAAATACCTTCTTTACAAGTTAATATTTATCTATCATATTATGGACTTGATGTTTCAGTGTAAATAACACCACAATCAATCAAGTGAATTTTCAATATTTCATTAACATGACTATACAGACTAAACCATGAGCCAGATTGAAGAGACCTATGTTGTAGCCAGCCCATACCACTGTCTAATAACCAGAACCAGGCTGTGTCTGGTACTGGCACTTCTTGACAGGTACTTAACCAAACCTGAAGAGGTTTTCAATTCTTCGAAGAGAGTTGTCCTTGGGGTACATATTATGCATTTTCCACGCTGAAAATGTCCTGTGACAGTTGTATCAATGTTTTTGAATAAAAAGATTGTACAATAAATATGTAATTTTTTATTTATTATACGGCCCCCCCCACCTCGTGGAGTTACTCTCCGTTGTGCATGCGCACCAACTGGGTAATCACATAGGCCCGTATCATCATTCCTTCTGCTGAATCAATCAGTGAACAGAATTGCGGGAAAGTGGGAGGCCCTACCCCAAGGATCGACTCTCTTCGAAGAATTGAAAACCTCTTCAGGTTTGGTTAATTCTTCTTCATAGAGATCGCCCTTGGGGTACATATTATGCATAAACACAGACTCCCAAAGACCGGAGGCCTGGGAGGAGGGAATTCTGTCCAAGCACATACAAATAGCTATCGTTCATTGAATAATGTAACAGACGCCATAACACTCACCTGTCACATGTCCCAGTTTTCGCCTCGAGAGGCATTATGGGAGGGGAACTGACAGGGAGGATTTGTACTCTCGAAGAGCGACCTGAAAGGTTCGCGATAGTAATTCGCACATGGTGCGAAATGTAAACAAATCCCCACCCACCTTGTGTCGATTAGTGAGCACCTCAGGGGTGAATGTCAAAACGCTCACAATCGACCAAATACTCCGTAGAGGAACGAAATGAGGTTAGTTAGCTCCTATTAGCGGATATGTCAATAAAACTCAGTATTGAACAGCAGCGTCAACAAAACCAATGAACCAAGACTCACTCGGTCAGGGTGGCAGGACACTGTCCACTGGAGAGAACAGAACGGCCAGAGCTCGCACGATTACGGGATTGCGTATCGAGCTGATAATGCCGAATAAACGTGCTAGGCCGGCTCCAAATAGCGGCAGAGCAGATCTCTTCAATGGGGAGTGCCGATGCAAAAGCTTTTGATGCGGCTACTGCCCTGACCGAGTGAGCCTTCAACCCCTCAGGGGGAGGCTTGCCCTTAGCCTGATAAGCAGCACAAATACACGAAACTAGCCAGCGAGACAAAGTCTGCTTGCTCGCTTGCTCGCTTGCTCGCTGGCACACCAGCCTTCCCGCCACCGTAACAACAGAACAGCTGGGTACCAGTACGGATTCCCTGCATTCGTTTGATATAGACTTTGAGGGTCTTACGGACATCCAACGGGTGAGTGCTGCGTTGCAGAGGTCCCGATGTGGAAGGCTGGGTAAGAGTGGGAAGTTCGATAGGAGCTGTCACATGGAAAGCGTGATCGACCTCTTCGGGCGTGTAAGTATCCGGGAGGCTTAATACTGACACGATCAGTGTGAAACACAGTCAGCGCCGGTCGGACGACATAGCATGTAAATCGCCCGACCCTACGCCCAGATGTTACCGCCACCAGAAAAACAGCCTTCCAAGTTAACAACTGAATGGAAATAGCCGATAGGTGTGAGAAAGTGGGACCGGACAGCCAATCGAGCACAATTGACAAATCCCAAGGTGGACTGGTTCGCCTGACAGCAGGTCGAACCCGATCCGCGCCAGCTAAAAAGCGCTGTACGAGAGGGTGCTGCCCCAGAAGAGCACCATCGACAGGGGTGTGAAAAGTGGAAATAGCGGTGGAGTAGCAACGAATGGTCGAAGCGCCAGGCCTTCTTCCAAACGGGCTTGCAAAACTCCAATACTCGGACTAAATCCGCAGAAAAGGGATCTGCAATCCCCTATCTGAACACCACCAGCGCCGCATAGCGGGACCACCTATCCTCATACTGAACGCTTGTCTAAATCCACCGAAGCCAGAATTGTGTCTGCAACTGCTGCAGGAATTCCAGCGTGCCTCGAGGCTAGACCTGACAGAGGCCAAGCCACCCAGTGAATCCTTGGATTGGGGTGGGGCTCCGTTCTGAGTGAGAATGTCTGGTCGTAAGGTAATAGAACAGGAGGCTATACCAGAAACCTGAGAATTACCAGAAACCAGCTCTGTGGACGGCCAAAGCGGTGCCAGTAGCACAAGCAGCCGAGCTGGCTGGGTGGACAGCTGTGAAAGGACATGGGGAATGAGTGGTAACGGGCGGGACGCGCCCAGAGCACTTTGCCCGCCCAATCCAGCAGGAAGGCGCGGCAGCCAACACCCTCAGGTCCGTTATTTGAGAGCAGAACACGGGTGTCTGATGCATCCCGCCCGGACGCAAACAGATCCACCTCGAACGCAACCGCATAACTGGGAGATTACTGTGAATATCTGCCTGTCGAAAGCATCCACTCGCGGGGCCAGGATCCGCGAGAGAGAGCGTCTGCTCGCGACTTTCTCCAGCCCCGGAGATAAACAGGGAGTACCTGACAACGCGCACCGGTCGCACCAGAGGAGAAAGTCCCATGTCTCCCGGAGGAGCGCTGGGGACACCGTGCCGCCTTTGCTTCAGGATGTACAACATGGCCGCCTGGTTGTCCAACTGAAGACGAACCACCTGGCCCTGACATGCTCTTGGAAGCCGAAAACCAACCGCACAGCTCTCAGTTCCAACACGTTGATGTGAAGGTGGGCTTCGGCTTCGACCAGAGTCCGGACACCGACAGACTGCCCAGAACACCCCCAGCCCGTGAGGGACGATCGGTCTGAACTGTAAGAGCTGGCGCCGGATTTCCAAGGGGATCCCCTGGTGAGATTCCCGACATTGGTCCACCACTGAAGGTGAGGTGTCAACCACTCGGGACTGTGAGACTCGGCCCCGGTCCTCCGAAAGTGAGCCCACAGACTTCGCCAAAGCTTGCTGTATAGGGCGATCCTCAACCGCGCCCGCCACACTACAGAGATCGTCGCCGCCATATGGCCCAGTAGACGGAGCCAAGTCCGTGCTGGTGCCTGGGGCTGGGAGAGGAACGAAGACACCATCTCCCGAACTCTGGTGACCCGGTCGGGCGACAAGGAAACGAGATCCTTGTGTGTTTGGAACCTCGCCCCGAGAAAAACCAAGTCCTGGGTGGGTACCAGGTCGGATTTCTTGAGGTTGATGATCCACCCCAGTCAAACTAGAATGTCTATCACCGTGTGAGTAGAATCTAGGCTCGCTGGCTGTGTCAGTGCACCGAGCAACCAGTCGCCGAGGTAAGGGTAACAACGCCTTCCTTTTGCGGCCAGTGAGGGTAGCCGGGACTAACATGAGCTTGGTGAACACCCTTGGGGCAGTGGATATGCCAAAGGGGAGCACCGTGAATTGGTAACACATCCCGTCGTAAGAGAACCGAAGGTACTGCTTGAACGATGGATGTATGGGCACATGCAGATACGCATCCTTGAGGTCGATTGACGTGAGCCAATCGCCGGGCTGAACAGAGGAGATCACCGAGCGCAGTGTCTCCATCTTGAAGGATGGTACTTCGAGCATGCGATTCAACCCCTTGAGGTTGAGAATGGGACGGAACCCGCCGTCTTTCTTCGGGACGAGGAAGTACGTGGAGTAAAATCCCGCCTGTTCCTCTCCCGGTGGTATGCGCTCGATTGCGGACTTGTCCAGCAAAGCCTGGACTTCGTCGCGCAATATGTCCGCCCTTGCCTGACATGACGGCACCGGAGTGCGGCGTATGCCGGTGAAGTCGGGCGGACCTCGCTTCCACAGTGGTAAATGGCCGACACTGACGGTGGACAGCACCCAAGTGTTGTTTGTAGCCTTCTCCCACTCCGGCAACTGGGATGTTGGGTAAGAGCGCGTGCGTTGTCCCGAGTAGCGGAGCTGACTGGGAGTGACACACGGCTGGGTCTACAGCCTGATGGGTTAACGGGAGGTCGGGGCAGACCTCCCGCGCCCGCGAAAAGGCTGGGAGCTAGTCGAAGAGGACTGCTCTTTGCCCTTACCCTTGGCGGACCGGTTCCTCCGCCTACCCCTGCCAAGCGGCCAAAGCCAGCCAGCGGACTCGGGTGTAGGCTGCACCCCGGCGGAGGAAGGTGGAACGGGAGCGCGGGGGCGAGAAGCCCGCGGGTGCTCCAACAAGGTCCTTAGAGTCCTTGAAGGAGGTAGCTGCAGCGCAGCCTCCCGTATGACCTGCTGGGCCCCAGGAAACAGCGTGCCGCTCCCAGACGGTAGGGAAGGGCCAGCAAGGTCTGCTGTGTAGCTGCCGAGTACCGAGACGCCGACAGCCACAGCTGCGCGATCCCCATGACTCACGCACATCACCGTCGACGCAGCTGACCGCAAGGAGTCATGCCGCGAGGTGTGCCTGAACTTCGGATAACTGACGGAGTAGCATGACATGCGGAGAAACGCCTCCAGCATGCCCCCCTCCGACCTCTGGATCGAGGAGAGGTAGGCCTCATGGGACCACGACCCGCACCTGCTGCATAGCGTTCCGTAGACCTCCTCGTAGGTCCGATCGCACGCGATGCTGCAGGGGGGCTCCCGCAAGGCAAACGGGGATGTTAACCGCCCTTGCCGAGCAGCCGGAGCTGCTCCGGAGGAAGCCGAGCCTCCCCCCAAGGCGACCGAAGTAAACACGCACTCATCCACCATCGGAACAGCAAACAGGGAATCCTCCCCCAGCTGGTACCTCCGGACAAGCTCAGGCAAGTCGAAACGGAGGCGAGACCCAGACAGGAGGGGGATAAACCACGTCCTGGACCAACGACGGAAGAATACGGAGCAGCGTCTGCGTAGGCTGCCGAGGGGCAAACGCCTCGCCTGGCAGGCGGAACTCAGCCGAGTCCGAGCGGCTGGCAGGCACCGCGGCCTGGGGTAGGAACTCGGCAATGCGTTGCCGGACCTCCCGCAAAGCCGACAAAAAATGGAAGGCACCCTCCTGCTCCTCAACCTCCCCAGTATCCATGGACTTGGCGCCGAGCCCGAGTCTGAGGCTGGGTCTCCTCGCGAAGAGGACCCGAACCCCGACCCGGTGGGCGGCCTAGCACCAGGCACAGAAGAGAGGGAGGAGCAGACAGAGCGCCCCGCGTCAGCACCTGCCAACTCGCACAGACCCCGGTCCCGAGACGCTGGAGGCAGACCAGGCAGAACAGACGGCGCAGGGACCGGAACCCAAGGAATCCTCAACGGACCCTGCGCCAACTCCGAGAGGGGGTTGCCAGACGCAACGGATCTACAGACGCCTCAAGGCCAAGGGCTTGGCGATCCCACCCCCAGACTCTCCGCCCCCCGCGCAGAGTGGGCGAGGAACTCCTGCCGGAGCCCTCCAACCGACTCATGAACGAGGGACTTCATCGAGTCCACGTGCTGCTGGAACAACTGAGTTATTAACGACATATCAAAACCGCTACTAGGAGCGGGAGAAGGCGACTGGCTACGCGACTTTCGGCCCTTACTGCGAGGCTTTTTCGCTTTGGACGGGGGGACCTGGGTCAGTTCCCCACCCGCCTCACGCATTTCTGTGTAAAAGAGAAAATCCGCCGCCCTTCTCTTCTGGGCCCGGGGGGAAAAGCCCATGCAAATCTCACAGGTTTCTGAGACATGATCCGTTTTCTCTAAACACACGATGCATTTATCGTGGCGGTCGGCCCTGGGGATGCTTTGCCCACAGACCGAACAGGAGGAAAACGCCTAAAAGCAAACACGTAAGCATGTAGCTAACAGCGGACCAGCAGCAAAGATACACGTAGAAAACATTGAAAAATACGTGAAGGCTACCACGGGAAGCAATAATTGGTTCAATACGCAATATTACAACACACCGTGGCACACTAAACTTCCGCCATGGCACAGCAACATGTGCGTAAAACCACGGAAAGTGAGCGTAAAAGAATTAATACAAAGTCACAATTATGAAACAACCGATCCGCGTGAAGCTTTACTGTTCCTTTCAAGGACAGAAAATAAAGACCATACATACAGGTGGTGTCTCAGACATATCTCTTTCAAGTTCTCTTGGAGAGTACAGCGCTGCTCTACACATGTAACACGTCTTACACATGTGAGTGACAGCAGAAGGAATGATGATACGGGCCTAGGTGATTACCCAGTTGGTGCGCATGCGTAACGGGAGGTAAAACCACGAGGTGGGGGCCGTATAATAAATAAAAAAGTTTATTTATTGTACAATCTTTTTATTCAAAAACATTGATACAACTGTCACAGGACATTTTCAGCGTGGAAAATGCATAATATGTACCCCAAGGACGATCTCTATGAAGAAGAATGGCACGTCTTGAGGTCACTGGCATTTCTTGAAGTGATTGTCGGGTACTGCCACGTCTTGAAGTCACTGGTGCTTCTTGAAGTCAATGTCAGGTACTGGCACGTCTCGAAGTCACTGGCACTTCTTGAAGTCATTGTCAGGTACTGGCACGTCTTGAAGTCACTGGCACTTCTTGAAGTCATTGTTGGGTACTGGCACGTCTTGAAGTCACTGGCACTTCTTGAAGTCATTGTTGGGTACTGGCACGTCTTGAAGTCACTGGCACGTCTTGAAGTCACTGGCACTTCTTGAAGTCATTTTCGGGTACTGGCACATTTTGAAGTCATTGTTGGGTACTGGCACGTCTTGAAGTCACTGGCACGTCTTGAAGTCATTGTTGGGTACTGGCACGTCTTGAAGTAACTGGCACATCTTGAAGTCATTGTTGGGTACTGGCACGTCTTGAAGTCACTGTCCTTCTTGAAGTCATTGTCGGGTACTGGCATGTCTTGAAGTCACTGGCACTTCTTGAAGTCATTGTCGGGTACTGGCATGTCTTGAAGTCACTGGCACTTCTTGAAGTCATTGTCGAGTACTGGCATGTCTTGAAGTCACTGGCACTTCTTGAAGTCATTGTTGGGTACTGGCACGTCTTGAAGTCACTGGCACTTCTTGAAGACTCTTGAAGTCACTGTCGGCTACTGGCATGTCTTAAAGTCATTGTCGGGTACTGGCACTTCTTGAAGTCATTGTCAGATACTGGTGCTTCTTGAAGTCATTGTCAGATACTGGCACTTCCTGAAGTCATTGTCAGGTACTGTTGCTTCTTGACGTCACTGTCAGCTACTGGCACTTCTTGAAGTCATTGTCGGGTACTGGCAATTCTTGAAGTCACTGTCAGGTCCTAGCACTTCTTGAAGTCACTGTCAGGTCCTAGCACTTCTTGAAGTCATTGTCAGGTATTGGCACTTCTTGAAGTCACTGTCAGGTAATGGCACTTCCTGAAGTCATTGTCAGGTGAGGTGAGGTGAAATTGGGTTTAACGTCGTGCTTGAGAATATTTCGCTCATATGGCGACGTGCATGCGTGTGTATGTGTATGTGCGGCTGCTTGTACTAGCTCAGACTTAAGCTGGTTTTATAGTGCTAGCCCACTGAGATACCATGCCGCAGTGAAACATGAATATCCCACTCAGACACAGTATACTGACTCCGAGCCGACCAGTCCTTGTTGTACCCATAAATGCCGAGAGCCAGGCAGGGACCAACCATTGTCAGGTACTGGCACTACTTGAAGTCATTGTTAGGTACTGGCACTTCCTGAAGTCATTGTCAGGTACTGGCACTTCTTTAAGTCATTGTCAGGCCCTGTCACTTCTTGGGGTGACTTTTGTTTTCCACAACAACTGTGTCCGCGGACTGCCAGTGGAGCTTCTCAGCCTCCAAACAATAGCCATAGCCATATGTTTTGGTACTTCTGTGTGTCATTTGTTTACTAACATGTGGCTTGGCTAAAGACCAGTAAGTGTAATGTCAGTGGAGCTAGTCTGCCACCTTGATGTGTATGAGATAAGCATGTTACAATGCTTACGTGAGGTTTCTGCGGAAAGTGTCTGGGTTATTCCTGAGGAGTGAGTTGACAAGACCAAACAGCTGCATGACCCGCTCATCTTGACGCAAGTCTTCATGGCCCTTCAGCAGGAACTGATAGTCCTTACCATCACTACCTGGAGGACACAACACAGTCGTTATATACACAGGTACCAGCACTTCACTTAAAACATACAATTCCCGTCTATCACTTATCAAAATAATGGCTAAATATAGTTCAGAGATATTAATAACAGAGAAGAAACTGACAGCCATGATTACTGCTATCGTAGTTCATTTTCCAAAACAAAATCTTGTAAGTTACAAACAGCTTGCTGTGTAACGACATACCATATATGGTAAGTTTGCGTGGCCTCTGTTTGGAGGTGATGACCTGTAGGGAGCTGGCAACTCGCTTGATGCGGACGACGGGCTGGTTGGGCTCGTAGGATCCTGGCACGGCCAGCTCCTGGTCCTCACACTTGAGGAGTTTGGGGGACACATACTGCAGCTCCAGGGACGTCAGCTGGGGTCACACAAATACATATAGCAGTGGACAATGGTTACACTTATGGAGTCTGGGGGAAACGTACTGATGTTACATTTTGAGAATAGGCAACTTTGGCAAAATTGTATGAATGAACCACCAACACCGCCATATACTTCTTTTAAGTATGTTGTTAACAGTAACTTGATCTGCTTTCAAATAACCCATTTTGAGTCTGAGAGAGGAGGATGTACCCGTGGAGCAGACTGAACTGTCTGGGTTACCTGTGGAAGCTGCTTGGAGATCCTTCTGAACACATGGTAGTACAGGTCCCAGGCCTGGGTCAGATCCTTCACGTTCCCCGACCGCTGATACTTCCGACACCAGTCCTGAGCCTCCATCAGGTCCCGGCCATATGCCTGAACAAGAACACAAACATGGTCAAACTCATATGTTACTGCATCAGACTGAATCGTCAATAAAATCACTTTCTTTCACATGTTTTACTTGTCACACGACAACAGACAATACGAGCACTGACCTGATTAAATGATGTCTCCTTGAGAGTCTGTGGGCCTCGTTCTATCATGGCATGTAGAGGTTCAAGGGTTGCGAACATGCCCTTGACGTTCCTCTCCCCGAAGTAGAGCCGCGATGCCTCCTCCAGACCCTCATGCCACAGCTCATGCCACAAGATGGCAACTCGGATCAGCTCCTCTGAAACCTACAGGAAACAGATGGGCTGTCTAAGACCCCTGCACTAGTCATTCAGACATCTATGGTCTAACATATATTACTAATTGACAACATCAAAATGATCAGAAAGAAAATGTCAACCCATTAAGAATGCTCATTGATGGTAGCCTATTGGCAAGATGACGTAAACAGTTTGTGATGACATCAACAATGGATGGCGATGTATCATATCTGACACCACATATATCTACTTGGCCAGCATGACACACACATACTGACCAGCATAGCTTGCTGTACCAGGTTGTTGCTTCTCTCACACATGTTCTGCAGGATCTTGTTGGCAGCTGTCTGGCGGGCCACTACATTAGACTTGGCTGCCACTGTCAGCGGGTAGATGAGAGCCTGCAACAGTAACAACACAGTACACATCTCCATCACCCCATCTTCAGTATATCTTAACACAGTCATGTACAGGTACCTGGGTTCCAGCTCACCTGAGGATGATGTTTGCCAATGTCGATGAGCAGCTGATGGATGAGCCGGCCAACCAGGTTCCGGGGAGTGTCAATCCTGGCAATCAGCTGGGGAATCACCTGCAACACAGAACTTGGCATAGCATCATCTCCTCATCAGCTCCTTCACATGTACGTAAACAGCACGTAATTATGCAAACCATATACATGAAAACGTTTTGTCAGGGTATGAACATAAAATCCCCATTTACTGACAACTTCATCGGGGGGCAGTTTGACTGAAACCTTAGCCTCAATGTCCTGTTCAGCTGCTGGCATCATGTTTACATAACTAGTGTTTGAAGAGCATAGGATTGAATTTGATATTGCTCTTGAATAAAGAGATTATCACAACTTAGTTGTCAGGGAAAGAACATATCGCCCCCATTTACTGACAATGTTATCAGGGACAATTTCACTGAAACCTTCTCCTCAGTTTCCTGTTAATGCATGGTTTAGCTTACACACTGAAGTAGCTGGCATGGTTTAGCTTACACACTGAAGTAGCTGGCATGGTTTAGCTTACACACTGAAGTAGCTGGCATGGTGGTTACAGGATCCTGGTTTACAAAGGGGACAGCATTTGATATTGCTCTTGAATAAAGAGATTATCACAACAGAGTAAGTGACACTTCTGTCATAGTCTCCTCCTCTGTGTCAACAAGGATCAACCCGTGAAGATCTGGGTTAGAATTGGTGTTATACAACCCATGCTTGTCGTAAGAGGCGACTAACGGGATCGGGTGGTCAGCCTCGCTGACTTGGTTGACACATTGTATCCCCAATTGCATATATCGATATTCATTGTCTGGTCCAGACTCTGCTATTTCCAGTCTGCCTCCATATAGCTGGAATATTGCTGAGTGCGCCATTAAACAACAAACAATCAACAAGGATCTGTTGCACTACCTGTAGCCAGTTGTCGATCTGGATGGTCTTAATGCCCTCCACCAGCGCCTCATGCACCTCCGGCCACTGCCCGAAGTCAAACCACACCGTCAGCAACCTGAAACACAACATATTAAATTTGGAGGGTATGACATCACTTGAACTGGTAACTCTGTATGAATTTCACAGTCTAAACAAACATTTCATAAACCTTACGAGATGTGTGTGGAGCTCCTGTCAGTCTCACCTGAGAGTATCCTGGAGGCTGTTCTGGGAGTCGAGGGCTATAGACCGGAAGAAGCCTTGTACTGCTGGTACACAGTACTTGTGGATCTTGGCGGAATTCTGAGGGGTACAATTTTCAGCAAATGATCAAAACTTGTCAAACAGATAAGAATTATCTGAAGTTTCTGCTAGATGTTATCAGATTATGCAAATACTAGTAGGTTATGACTACTAGTCTCATCCATTGGTTCATTGCCTAAAGCTGCAGTCAGCTATATTCCAGCTACTTGACAGTATCGAGTCTGGACCAGGCAATCCAGTGATAGATATCATGAGCAATTGCCCACACCACCAGGGTAGGAAGACACCAATCAACCGGTCACTAAGCCCGACCAACTCCCTTGTATGACAAACTTGTATGATACAACTCCCCACACCAACAGGGTAGGCAGACACCAATTAACCGGTCACTAAGCCTGACCAACCCCCTTGTATGACAAACTTGTATGATACAACTCCCCACACCACCAGGGTAGGCAGACACCAATCAACCCGTCACTAAGCCCGACCAACTCCCTTGTATGACAAACTTGTATGATACAACTCCCCACACCAACAGGGTAGGCAGACACCAATCAACCCGTCACTAAGCCCGACCAACTCCCTTGTATGACAAACTTGTATGATACAACTCCCCACACCAACAGGGTAGGAGACACCAATCAACCGGTCACTAAGCCCGACCAACCCCCTTGTATGACAAACTTGTATGATACAACTCCCCACACCAACAGGGTAGGAGACACCAATCAACCGGTCACTAAGCCCGACCAACCCCCTTGTATGACAAACTTGTATGATACAACTCCCCACACCACCAGGGTAGGCAGACACCAATCAACCCGTCACTAAGCCCGACCAACCCCCTTGTATGACAAACTTGTATGATACAACTTCCCCACACCACCAGGGAAGGAGGACACCAATCAACCCGTCACTAAGCCCGACCAACCCCCTTGTATGACAAACTTAACCAAACCTGCAGAGGTTTTCAATTCTTTGAAGAGAGTCGTCCTTGGGGTACATATTATGCATTTTCCGGCTGAAAAATGTCCTGTGACAGTTGTATCAATGTTTTTTGAATAAAAAGATTGTACAATAAATAAACTCTTTTATTTATTATACGGACCCTACCTCACGGAGTTACCTCCCTTAGCGCATGCGCACCAACTGGGTAGGCTCCTAGACCCGTATCATCATTCCTTCTGCTGAATTCTTATCAGTGAACAGAATTGCGGGGAGGTGGGAGGCCCTACCCCAAGGACGACTCTCTTCAAAGAATTGAAAACCTCTGCAGGTTTGGTTAATTCTTTTTCAGAGAGATCGTCCTTGGGGTACATATTATGCATAAACACAGACTCCCAAAGACCGGAGGCCAGGGAGGAGGGAATTCTGTCCAAGCACACTCAAAATATAGCGATCGTGATCATGGAAAAAATTGAACAGACGCCATAACACTCACCTGTCACTGACCCAGTTTCGCTCGCGAGAGGCATTATGGGAGGGGAACTGACAGGGAGGATTTGTGCTCAAAGATCTACCTCTAGCATAATGAGACATTGCACGTAGTGCTAATATCAACGAAAAGTTTCGACCCACTAAGTGGCTTCTTTCATGAGAGCACCGTGAGGGGAAACAAAAATACCACTCACTAACGATACAGTAACTCCAGAGAGAATCGAAAAGGGGTACAGGTTCTCTGAGTGAGCTCACATTAGCAGACATGTCAATAATGGAATCTTATTGTACAGTAGCGCCAAAACAAACCAATAAACCAAGACTCACTCGGTCAGGGTGGCAGGACACTGTCCACTGGAGAGAACAGTACTGACCAAAGTTTGCACGACACGGAATGCGACGAGCTGATAATGGCGATAAACGCGTTTGGCCGGCTCCAAATAGCGGCGAGCAGATCTCTTCAATGGGGAGTGCCGATGCAAAGCTGTTGATGCGGCTACTGCCCTGACCGAGTGAGCCTTCAACCCTCAGGGGAGGCTTGCCCTTAGCCTGATAAGCGGCACAAATACACGATACTAGCCAGCGCAGACAAAGTCTGCTTGCTCGCTGGCAGACCAGCCTTCCCGCCACCAGAATAACAGAACAGCTGGGTACCCGTGACGATCCCCTGCGCTCGCTTGAGATAGACTTTGAGCGCCTTCACGGACATCCAACGGGTGAGTGTCAGAGGAGTGGTCCCCGATGTGGAAGGCTGGGTAAGAGTAGGAAGTTCGATAGAGCTGTCACATGGAGCGTGGATCGACCTTCGGTCGGTAAGTATCTGGGAGGCGAATACTGACACGATCCGCAGTGAAACACAGTCAGCCGGGTCGGACGACATAGCATGTAAATCGCCGACCCTTCGACCAGATGTTACCGCCACCAGAAAACAGCTTTCCAGGTCAACAACTGAATGGAAATAGCCGATAGGTGTGAGAAAGTGGGACCGACAGCCAATCGAGCACGATCGACAAATCCTAAGGTGGACTGGTTAAGCCTGAGAGCAGGTCGAACCGCCGCGCCAGCCAGCGAAAGCGCCAGACGAGAGGGTGCTGCCCCAGAAGAGCACCATCGACAGGGTGTGAAAAGTGGAAATAGCGGTGGAGTAGCCGCGAATGGTCGGCCGCCAGGCCTTCTTCCAAACGAGCTTGCAAAACTCCAATACGGACTAAATCCGCAGAAAAGGGATCTGCAATCCCCTTATCTGAACACCAGCCGCATAGCGGGACCACCTATCCTCGCACTCGAACGCTTGTCTAATCCCACCGAAGCCAGAATTGTGTCTGCAACTGCTGCAGGAATTCAGCGTGCCTCGAGGTTAGACCTGACAGAGGCCAAGCCACCCACTGAACTGCGGATTTGGGTGGGCCCGCTCTGAGTGAGAATGTCCGGTCGCCAAGGTAATAGAACAGGAGGCTGAGCCAGAAACCTGAGAATTACCGAAACCAGCTCTGTGACGCCAAAGCGGTGCCAGTAGCACAAGTAGCCGAGCTGGCTGGGTGGACAGCTGTGAAAGGACACGGGGAATGAGTGGTAATGGCGGAACGCCCAGAGCACTTTGCCCGCCCAATCCAGCAGGAAGGCGCCGGCAGCCAACGCTTCTGGGTCCGTATCCGAGAGCAGAACACGGGTGTCTGATGCGTCCCGCCGGACGCAAACAGATCCACCTCGAATCCACCCGCATAACTGGGAGATTACTGTGAATATCTGCCTGTCGAGCATCCACTGCGGCGGGCCAGGATCCGCGAGAGAGCGCATCTGCTCGCGACGCTCTCCAGCCCCGGAGATAAACAGGGAGTACCTGACAATCGCACTGGTCGCCCAGAGGAGAAAGTCCCACGCCCGGAGGAGCGCTGGGGACACCGTGCCTCCCTGCTTCAGGATGTACCGACATGGCCGTCTGGTTGTCTAACTGAAGACGGACTACCTGGCCACGGACATGCTCTCTGAAGCGCTCGAATACCAACCGCACAGCTCTCAGTTCCAACACGTTGATGTGAAGGTGAGCTTCGGCTTCGGACCAGAGTCCGGAAGCCGACAGACTGCCCAGAACGCCCCCCCAGCCCGTGAGGGACGCATCTGTCTGAACTGTGAGAGCTGGCGTCCGGATTTCCAAGGGGAACCCCCTGGTGAGATTCCCGACATTTGTCCACCACTGAAGGTGAGGTGTCAACCACTCGGGGACCAGACAAGAGGGGATCGACCACGTCCGAGACCAACGATGGCAGAATGCGGAGCTGCGTCTGTGAGGGTTGCCTAGGGGCAAACGCCTCGCCAGGCAAGCGGAACTCAGTCGAGTCCACGCAACCAGCAGGCACCGCGGCCTGGGGTAGGCCCTCGGCAATTCTCTGCCGGACCTCCCGCAAGGCCGAAGCAAAACGGAAGCCGCCGTCATGCTCCTCGACCTCCCCAAGCTCCATTGCCTCGGCGTCCGAGCCCGAGTCAGAGGCTGGGTCTCCTCCGTAAGAGGACCCTAACCCCGACCCGGTGGACTGCCTAACGCTAGGAACCACAGGAAGGGAAGAACAGACAGACTGCTCCACGCCGCCAGCGCCGTCTCCGAGACGCTGGAGGCAGGCCAGGCAGAACTGGTGCCTCCGCTCATGGGGGGGTGCGCAAGGACCGAATACCAGGAATACTCAACGGCCCTCGCTAGCCCAGCCGAGAGGGGACTGGGAGCACCTCCTCTCCGAGCAGCCGAAGCGCCCGGATCCGGCCAGAGGCAACGGATCTACAGACGCCTCAAGGCTGAGGGATCGAGCCGAGCCCGGCGATCCCACCTCGACTCTCCGCCTTCGGCCCGAGTGGGTGAGGAACTCCTGCCGGAGACCTCCAACCGACTACACTAACGAAGGACTTCATCGAGTCCATCTGCTGCTGAAACATAGACTCCATCAGTGACATGTCAAAACCACCGGGTGGCAGGAGAGGGGAAGGGCCACGGGATTTTTTCTTTTTTTGACACACGCTTGGACTTAGACGGGGAACCCGCGCCAGGTCCCCTCCCGCCCACGATTTCTCAAGCGATAGAACAAGGTGTCGGCAGCCCCCTCTTCTGGGCCCGGGGAAAAGGCCAGACAAATAGGGCAGGAGTCAGCCTCATGGCCTGTCTTCTCCAGACAGGCCACGAATAGGTATGACTGTCGGCCCGGGATACTCCCTCACAGACCGAACAGCATGAAAAGGCCTGAAACAAACACGCAAACATGTTAGTTAACGCGCCAGCAGCATATAAACACGAGAAAACATTGAAAAACTACGTGAAGGTTACCACGGAAAGTAATAGTTGGTTTTAATACGCAATATTACGACCACATGGCACGCTAAACTTCCCGCCATGGCAGAGCAACACGGCGTAACCACGGAAAGTTCAAGCGATTTTGTATTAATACAAAGTCACAATTATGAAACAACCAACTGTAAAGCTTTACTGTTCTTGTTTTAGACAAATAAAGACCATACATACAGGTGGTGTCTCAGACATAGTCTCTTTTAACAGCGCCGTACGGCTCATGAATGGGTTATTTCAAAACACGTCTGTTCACGGCCGTGACAGCAGAAGGAATGATGATACGGGTCTAGGAGCCTACCCAGTTGGTGCGCATGCGCTAAGGGAGGTAACTCCGTGAGGTAGGGTCCGTATAATAAATAAAAGAGTTTATTTATTGTACAATCTTTTTATTCAAAAAACATTGATACAACTGTCACAGGACATTTTTCAGCCGGAAAATGCATAATATGTACCCCAAGGACGATCTCTCTGAAAAAGAATTGTATGATACAACTCCCCACACCACCAGGGTAGGAGGACACCAATCAACCGGTCACTAAGCCCGACCAACCCCCTTGTATGACAAACTTGTATGATACAACTCCCCACACTATCCGAGTAGGTAGATACCAATCAATCCCTCGTATGACAAGCTTGTATGATACATACTGATTCTGGTTTCGGTGAGATGACTAGTTCCATAACCGGGCCTGGCTATGGCTCCCTTATCCCCAGAGGGTGTGGTGCTGGAGGAATTCTGCTCCTTCTGCTTGTAGAACAACACAGCCTCGTAGTTCATCAGTGCCCACGCATGCCAGGCCTGGAACACACACACTCCAATAAACATCTGCAGACACTGTTACAGGAGGTTACCAACTCCAGTAAACATCTGCAGACACTGTTAGAGGGGGTTACCTACTCCAGTAAACATCTGCAGACACTGTTACAGGAGGTTACCTACTCCATTACACATCTGCAGACACTGTTAGAGGAGGCTACCTACTCCATTACACATCTGCAGACACTGTTACAGGAGGTTACAAACTCCAGTAAACATCTGAAGACACTGTTAGAGGAAGTTACTTACTCCATTACACATCTGCAGACACTGTTACAGGAGGTTACCAACTCCATTACACATCTGCAGACACTGTTAGAGGAAGTTACCTACTCCATTACACATCTGCAGACACTGTTAGAGGAAGTTACCTACTCCATTACACATCTGCAGACACTGTTAGAGGAAGTTACCTACTCCAGTAAACATCTGCAGACACTGTTACAGGAGGTTACCTACTCCATTACACATCTGCAGACACTGTTAGAGGAGGTTACCTACTCCATTACACATCTGCAGACACTGTTACAGGAGGTTACCAACTCCAGTAAACATCTGCAGACACTGTTAGAGGAGGTTACCAACTCCAGTAAACATCTGCAGACACTGTTAGAGGAGGTTACCTACTCCATTACACATCTGCAGACACTGTTAGAGGAAGTTACCTACTCCATTACACATCTGCAGACACTGTTACAGGAGGTTACCAACTCCATTACACATCTGCAGACACTGTTAGAGGAAGTTACCTACTCCATTACACATCTGCAGACACTGTTACAGGAGGTTACCAACTCCAGTAAACATCTGCAGACACTGTTAGAGGAGGTTACCTACTCCATTACACATCTGCAGACACTGTTAGAGGAAGTTACCAACTCCAGTAAACATCTTCAGACACTGTTAGAGGAAGTTACCAACTCCAGTAAACATCTGCAGACACTGTTAGAGGAAGTTACCAACTCCAGTAAACATCTGCAGACACTGTTACAGGAGGTTACCAACTCCAGTAAACATCTGCAGACACTGTTAGAGGAAGTTACCTACTCCATTCATGTTACTGGTTCTTGTCCAAGTTAAACTGCCTGTGTTGGGCTTTACAATTTTCTAGATCTTTAATAGTGAAGGAGGTATGGTGTTATGCCGTTTTCAGCAATATTCCAGCAATATCATGGTGGGGAACACCAGAAATGGGCTTCACACATTGTACCCATGTAGGGAATCGAACCTGGGTCTTTGGTGTGATGAGCAAATGCTTTAACCACCGGGCTACCCTGCCACTCCTAGATCGTTAACAAAGCTCAGTATACCAGTAACCTCTTTTACAAAAGAGAAAGTTCAAACTACACACGACATGTAATGCCTCTCATTTCTATGCAGGCTTTGTGTGGTGGGGAGATTACAACGCCTTTTACTCTTGTCCAAAGCATTTTGAAAAATACATGTTAATAAGATGATCTCTCTAATGACTTGCAGTTGGTAGATGTACAAATGGGCTTGTCAAAATCAAAAACCAAAATGGTAAAAAGGTCATTTATGTCATTCTAAAAAAACACATGTAACATAGATAATCTTGTTCTATTATTGCTTCAACACCATCATGTACAATTACAGACTTACATTCTATAAATGTCATAAAATTGGCAAAGATTTCCAAAAGATTTGATGAGACGCACCACAGTGTATTTCAAACAACACGTACCCTGTACCAGTTCTTGTCATGCTGAGTAGCCAGACTGTAATACTCCAACACTTGGGGGATAGAATCCTCCGATATACCGTTCAACTCCTCCGCCCAGCCTCCCAGACAACGATAACATCTGTACACAGAAACACAGGGTAACTCACACAGGACAATGTGTCGGGTGAGGGACGTCATCAGGATTTACGAGGAATTGTCACCTTCACTTGATGCATTGACGTATGTGAATATATATATGCAAAGTCTCACAAAAATACAAACACATCCAGTTCTTCTAAGTTCCCAAATTTTAATACCCCATCATGAATTTCAAGTCAGAAAACATTACTTCAAGACATCCTCTTTAACTGCAACAGAACTGTAAATGTGCAACACTAACTAACAATGAACAATACAACCATATTTCACAAGAACCCTAAAATGACCTTGGCCTTTTTCAGACATACCAACATTTCAGGTTTGTTAGATGCGTTTTTTATGTCTGGAGAGGTAGCCATATATCAGACACCATGTTCTAGAAAACCCTACAAGTTGACCTTGACCTTTGAGTAATCTTGAGCAAAAGGTTTCTTTAGTATAAATACATTCTAACAAAGGGTAAATCCAATCAATTAGTAGATCAGTATGTTCAGCGTAACTTATGGAACTGAGTGAACACAATGTGTACCTGGCCAGCAGCTTGTTGAGCTCCAGTCTCTGTGGAGCATCCTCTGGAGCCATGAGTTGGAGTGACTTGGTCTGGAGCGACTGACGTACAAAGTACTGCAACATGCTGAAGGCATTTTCCTGCAAAACACACCAGCATTTGAGTGCCTTCCTCAACAAGAAGAGTAAGCCCTGCTCCACAAAGTAATCTTACCTCTACGACAATCATAGGTCTAGTGAGGAACATCCCACTGGGACATGTATCAATACTGACAATACAGTCATGGTGGGATCTGCTCAAGAAGCGTCCAACCCCTTGGCTATCATCTTCTACAATCGAGACTACTGTAACAGGCTAACAGTGTGCAAACATAACAGAAGTGGTTTTTGAATCTTGGCTGCACTGATAATTTAAAGGTAAAGATTGAGTTTGGTGATTTTCCGGATGGAATCTGACCTTCTGATTGCTGCCCGTCTGCCACATATGTTTGAGGTAGGCGAAGGTGACCTGTGGATGCGTGGTAGGGATGTGCTTATCCTTGTTCTTTTCAGGGTCCATCCCCAGTAGAGTGACCAGAGTCTTGTGAGACAGGGCCTGCAACACAAACATCATGATTCATTAACAATGGCAGAAGTCATGTATCATGTGGTGGGATGAGTGTCCAGTCAGGTGAAGTTATCTGTGGATGGTAGTGGTTGTGTTTGACAGCTTCATCCCTTTCAAAGGTTTACAGACCTTTGTCCAAGCCCACACTGAAGCTATTGTAGCACCTGTGGTTTCAACTTAGACAAGTGGAACTTCAGCATGTCTGGCAATAGGCTTTTTCATCTCTGACTAGTCTCTTAACTCAATTTTATGAAGTTATCAATGCTCATGCTGTTGATCACTGAACTGTCTGGTCCAGACTCGATTATTTACAGACCGCCGCCATATAGCTGGTATATTGCTGAGTGTGGCGTACAACTAAACTCACTCACTCACTCACTCACTATTTTATGAAGCATAGTTGTTCTTTTCTGTCTGTAAAACAGTTCCATGACAGATTTTAATGTACTTACCAGCCGCTCACTCTTGCGACACAGGCTGGCGTACTTGAGCCAGGTCTTCATGTCATCCGCAGGGGAGATAACCAGGGACCTCACTTGCAGGATCCGCTGCCAGTCTTCCACCACCCGCTGACAGCCCTGCAACATGGCAACATGACAACATGGCAACATAGATTTACTACTTGGCTACAAATGAACCTCAGTCTTATTAAAACCTGGCTTCATTGTGAATAAGTGTGAGCGAACCATCTAAACAAGCAAACCGGAGCTTTGTATCTCGAGGTTATCTGCCCTGACTGTATTCTTAATTATTTTTCCCTAAGGTTTGTTTGTTGTTTGACATCTCAGTCAGCCATATCACAGCTATATGATGGTTACCTGTAACTAATCCAATCTGAGCCTGACAAAGAAGTGGTACTGTTGCAATGTGACCACCCTGCCTGACTGCCAAATGCTATTGACCCCTGAAGATCCAGCAACCCATGTTTGTTGTATGAGGTGACTAACGGGATAGAGTGGTCAGGCTTGCTGACTTGGTTAAAACATATCACCATACCCCTCATACATCCATGTTCAACATATTGATCACTGGCTTGTCTGGTCCACACTTGATCATTTACAGACCGCAGCCAAATAGCTGGAATATTGCTGAGTGTGGTGTTCAACATCAAACAAAAACCAAATGCAATTAGTAGTACTTGTCTGTAATGATAAGGAGATCAGACTGTTATGTGTGATTGAAACAAACTGATGCGGCATTGATAAGTCACAGGACGGAGGTGGAAGGTGCCTACCTTGAGTCTGTCCCACCACATGGTCTTGATGGCGTCCTGTCTCTCGGGAATCAGCTTGTACTTAATGATCTCCTCCAGCTCGGACAACATCTGGACATTGACCATCGCCTGGGGGACAGAACGAAGTCTTCAGAGTGTGCGCATGTTAGCAATCACACACACTGCTGATGTTTTATACAAGGACCATGCCCCTAACAGTGTTGAGAAAATATAAAACAGCTGAAAAAGTATCAAACTTATCTCGTCTGGGTAAAGTCAGGACATAAATACTTATATTATTAAATTGTTTCCTCACCCCATAGGCTCTGTTGTAACTCTCCCCAGCCATAGCTGTCAGGTCTGTGTCCAGGATGTCCCGGGCCTTGTCGATACACTGAAACATGTGGCATTACACTAAAACATGTGGCATTACACTGAAACATGTGGCATTATACTGAAACATGTGGCATTACACTGAAACATGTGGCATTACACTGAAACATGTGGCATTACACTGAAACATGTGGCATTACACTGAAACATGAGACATTACACTGAAACATGTGGCCTTACACTGAAACATGTGGCATTACACTGAAACATGTGGCCTTATACTGAAACATGTGGCATTACACTGAAACATGTGGCATTACACTGAAACATGTGGCATTACACTGAAACATGTGGCATTACACTGAAACATGTGGCATTACACTGAAACATGTGGCATTATACTGAAACATGTGGCATTATACTGACTAAAACACATGTGGCATTACACTGAAACATGTGGCATTACACTGAAACATGTGGCATTATACTGAAACATGTGGCATTACACTGAAACATGTGGCATTACACTGAAACATGTGGCATTATACTGAAACATGTGGCATTACACTGAAACATGTGGCATTATACTGAAACATGTGGCCTTATACTGAAACATGTGGCATTACACTGAAACATGTGGCATTACACTGAAACATGTGGCATTATACTGAAACATGTGGCATTACACTGAAACATGTGGCATTACACTGAAACATGTGGCCTTACACTGAAACATGTGGCATTACACTGAAACATGTGGCATTACACTGAAACATGTGGCATTATACTGAAACATGTGGCAACTGAAACATGTGGCATTTACACTGAAACACATGTGGCATTACACTGAAACATGTGGCATTACACTGAAACATGTGGCATTACACTGAAACATGTGGCATGTGGCATTATACTGAAACATGTGGCCTTACACTGAAACATGTGGCATTACACTGAAACATGTGGCATTACACTGAAACATGTGGCATTACACTGAAACATGTGGCATTATACTGAAACATGTGGCATTACACTGAAACATGTGGCCTTACACTGAAACATGTGGCATTACACTGAAACATGTGGCATTACACTGAAACATGTGGCATTACACTGAAACATGTGGCATTACACTGAAACATGTGGCATTATACTGAAACATGTGGCATTACACTGAAACATGTGGCATTACACTGGAAACATGTGGCATTACACTGAAACATGTGGCATTACACTGAAACATGTGGCATTACACTGAAACATGTGGCATTATACTGAAACATGTGGCATTACACTGAAACATATGGCATTACACTGAAACATGTGGCATTACACTGAAACATGTGGCATTATGATGAAACATGTGGCATTATACTGAAACATGTGGCATTACACTGAAACACATGGCATTATACTGAAACATGTGGCATTACACTGAAATATGTGGCATTATGATGAAACATGTGGCATTATACTGAAACATGTGGCATTACACTGAAACACATGGCATTATACTGAAACATGTGGCATTATACTGAAACATATGGCGTTATACTGAAACATGTGGCATTATGCTTAAAGCAAACAGGACACTTTGCAGGATGAGAAGCCATAACAAGGAGGCAGGACACTAGTACTTAATGAAAAGCCATATAACACAGCAGGCTGGAGAGAAGTACTTGGTGAGAAGTCAAACTGAAAGCCAGACAGGAAACCAGTACTTGATGGGAAGCCACACAAGAAGGAAGACAGGAAACAAGATCTAGGTCAGAAGCTACAATGGAATGCTTACAGAAACGGAATACATGATGAGATGCCACACAGGAGACAAGTACATAATGAGAAGCCACACAAGAAGCCTGGCAGAAGACAAGTACTTGAGGAGAAACCAGGCAAAAAGACAAGTACTCGATAAGAAGCCAAACAGGAGACAAGTACTTTATGAGAAGCCACAAGACAAGGCGAACTGTAACTAAATTGTCAAAGTAAACTTACCACACCATAGACCCTAGGTGGCAAGAACTCATGCACTATGTTTTCACACATTCTCACCTGTTGGGCCAGCTGGAAGTTCTCCGAGTGAAGAGCAAAGATGGCTCTGTAGAAAGCTCCATCGTAGCTGGTGCGTGGGATGAGACACATGTACTCCTCCATACTCTCCCACTGGCCTGCAAACACAGAACACCATCAACAAACTCTCACCTAGCACAATGCACAGATAGATAATACTGAAACCTGTCCCGAGTATTCTTTTGGTGATATCTGTTTATCTTGCCTCACACATAAATGTCGTTTTCTGATTGGCTGAGCTCTCTTCTATTATTTTCAGTGTACAGCGGGTGGCCATATTATTACGTACAAACATGGCGGGCCGATTGTTGACAACAAATTTACGCGGGAGTTCAAAGTGTCATAACTCGTTAAATATAAACAGTCTTACCTCAATATTTTGTGATGTGTCCCTTGTTCCTTATTATTTTCAACATCCGCCTTGGAATCGATGAATAAAGATTTCTGATGAAATCGAGGGGATTATTTTCCCAGATGTCCCGCACTTCGCATTCCAAGTCGGCAGTCGACTGAATGTTTCGATGGCATCCCTGAAGTCTATTCTTCAGGTAGAGCCAAGAGTTCTCAATAATATTTGTGTCTGGACTCTGTGCAGGCAACAACATTCCAGTAATGTCATTTTGTCGCTTGTAATCCTGAACGACACGGGCCCGATGTACAGGGGCGTTGTCATCTTGGAAGATGTACCGGTTTCCCGGAAAATGTCTGGCTATAACAGGCCAAAGCATATCATCGAGGATTTCTGTGTATTTCTGAGCATTTATGTTGCCATTAACAACACAAATGGTACCAACACCATGCCAGGTGTTACAACCCCACACCATCAAACTGACGCATGGCTGTCGTCCCGGACAAAGACATTGCGGGAGGTATTCTTCACCGGGCTGTCGCCAAACAAAAACATGATTGTGTTCCCCAATGATAATTTTACATTCGTCAGAGAAGATTACTGGATTCCAGTAATTATTCACTGTACGATATCGTTGCCCCCTTGCCCAGGCCAAACGACTTCTGACATTATAATCACGAATTCGGATTTTCTTTCTACCAAAACGTCTATGAAATTTATTTCATATAATCGTCTCCTTACAGTCCTCACCGATACACGTGTAGCCCTATTGTTGTTCAAATTCTCAGTTATTTCACCCAAAGGTGAAATCCTATTGTCTCTGACCAGCCTCAAAAGTTGTTGATTGTCCCGAGGAGTCTCGACTGATCCATGCTGATTAAACCGCTTTACCACCCAATATACGCTGCTTCGAGGCATTCCAAAGAATCTTGCAATATTTCGCCACTTTGAAACTTTTTTTACAATTAAGTTCTTAAGTGGCTCAGCCAATTTCCCCATTGTTGCCATAAATAGCCAGAATACAGAGCAGACGACAAATAGATTAAAAATAGAGTCACGTGACAGACACGTGACATCATGGTCGATCATGTGACAAAATATCACAATGATACGAGGTGTCGTTTTTGAGTAGCAGTATTTTAAAAACAGACATCGCTATACACGATATCAACGTCATTACAATTGTACGTAATGATATGGCCACGCGCTGTACCCCGCTTACAAGCAAGTAACATTTTCTATGTACCCCGCTGGGAATGCCGAAGTCATTTGGTACTTCGTAGTAGAAATTCTTTATCTCAAATAACATCTAATCACGTATGATGTACGGAAATTACCGATGTTTTGCGAATGCAAATTGATGGAAGGGCGATAACTCTAAATTTGTTTCTCTTGTCGTCTTGTTCTCCATATTATGATCCTATACCCGTGCTTCAAACAGTTCAGAATTACCATCGAGGTGATTGGTAGGATAAATACGATGTTTACTGGTCCCTTGGGGCCCATGGGTTGATGTACCCTTCGGGCTCAGGGAACATAAACAAACATCGAGGGTACATCATCTCATGTCCCCCTTGAGATCAGTGAACAACTGATAATATATTGTGAGTACATTGATATATGCCCACATTTGTTAATCATGAAGTCTGCTAAACTGGATGAAGTCACTGGAAATGGTAACAAGCAGATCACTAGTTTCACTGTATTACTTTAGCCTTTCTGTTACATAAACAGGAATGTTCATACCCACCAAGTCTATTAAGAAAATAATCAGGATCTGTACAAAAATGTAGAAGTTTTATCTTACCTAGACCCCATGCGGCAGCTGAAGCCATTCTCGCCATCTTGGTTCGAACGTCATCACTGGCTGTTGGCCACTTGTCACAAGCCAGGGCATGTAGCTGACCCCTAGGTGGCACCATAGATTTGGTTCATTAAATATGTGCAAGATAAATGGCAACCTGTCACACTAAAGCAATCGCTAAAGGGTTGCAGCACTCAGCAATATTCCAGCTATATGGCGGCAGTCAGTAAATATTCGAGTCTGGACTAGACAATCCGGTGATTAACAGCATGAGCATCGATCTATGCAATTGGGATGCGACAACACGTGTCAATCAAATCAGTGAGCCTGACCACCCTATCCCGTTAGTTACAAGCATGGGTTGCTGAAGACCATTCTAACCCGGATCTTCACAGGTTTTTGCCATCCTCTATATAGTACTTAAGGTGTGTGTATTGGGTAGAGAGCCTGAGTCAAGGAGGCCAGTTGCCCGTGTGATGCAACCAGGTCCTGGCAGGGCATGAAGTGCTTTGTCCCATTCATGAAGTTTTTCATACCAAGTTTCTCCTGGATTTTCCTGGATTTTCTGGAGACAAAGTAAACCATATCCTCAGTTGCTTTTTTAGCTAAAAAACAAAGCTGCAAAGCCCAATTACGAACATAAAAATATATGTTTTCATCTCTGACATTTTGAAAACTATCTCCATTAATGTTTGTCAAAGACGTGGCAATGTGTAGGATGTGATTCTGGCAATGAGTAGGATGTGAGCTTGGCAGTGTGTAGGATGTGAAAGTGCCAGTGTGTAGGATGTGAGTCTGGCAATGTGTAGGATGTGAGCTTGGCATTGTGTAGGATGTGAAAGTGCCAGTGTGTAGGATGTGAGTCTGGCAATGTGTAGGATGTGAGCTTGGCAGTGTGTAGGATGTGAAAGTGCCAGTGTGTAGGATGTGAGTCTGGCAATGTGTAGGATGTGAGCTTGGCAGTGTGTAGGATGTGAAAGTGCCAGTGCATAGGATGTGAGTCTGGCAATGTGTAGGATGTGAGCTTGGCAGTGTGTAGTGATGTGAAGGATGTGCCAGTGAGCTTGGCAATGTAGGATGTGAGGAGTGTGTAGGAAAGAAAGTGCCAGTGTGTAGGATGTGAGTCTGGCAATGTGTAGGATGTGAGCTTGGCAGTGTGTAGGAAGTGAAAGTGCCAGTGTGTAGGATGTAGGATGGCAGTGTGTAGGAGTCTGGCAATGTGTAGGATGTGAGCTTGGCAGTGTGTAGGATGTGAAAGTGCCAGTGTGTAGGATGTGAGTCTGGCAATGTGTAGGATGTGAGCTTGGCAGTGTGTAGGAAGTGAAAGTGCCAAGGATGTGAGTCTGGCAATGTGTAGGATGTGAGCTTGGCTGAAAGTGCAGGATGTGAGTCTGGCAAGTGTAGGCTGTGAGCTTGGCAGTGTGTAGGAAGTGAAAGTGCCAGTGCATAGGATGTGAGTCTGGCAATGTGTAGGATGTGAGCTTGGCAGTGTGTAGGAAGTGAAAGTGCCAGTGTGTAGGATGTGAGTCTGGCAATGTGTAGGATGTGAGCTTGGCAGTGTGTAGGATGTGAAAGTGCCAGTGTGTAGGATGTGAGTCTGGCAATGTGTAGGATGTGAGCTTGGCAGTGTGTAGGATGTGAAAGTGCCAGTGTGTAGGATGTGAGTCTGGCAATGTGTAGGATGTGAGCTTGGCAGTGTGTAGGATGTGAAAGTGCCAGTGTGTAGGATGTGAGTCTGGCAATGTGTAGGATGTGAGCTTGGCAGTGTGTAGGATGTGAAAGTGCCAGTGTGTAGGATGTGAGCTTGGCAGTGTGTAGGATGTGAAAGTGCCAGTGTGTAGGATGTGAACTAGTCTAACCAGATCTGCCCGATGATGCTTCATGGCGTAGTCCAGGACACCAGCTGCTGCCTCAGGTTGTTGCAGCTTGTTGTTGATGCTGATGAGTGCCTCCAGAGTGTCGGTTGTGGGGCCTCGGTGGAACTCCTCTTCCTTGTAGTGGAGTGCCTTGGCATAAGCCTGGCACCTCATAGCCCTCTGACCTAGGATGTTACTAGCAAGAGGCAGGGGACCCTACAGAAATAACAAAGAACATTGATCAACACTTACCAGCACTTTTGCAGCAGAAAGAGACATATAAGTCTTGCAAGTGCTGAATGACAGTAGGACAACTGAATGCAGTACAAAGCGGGGTCTCTTTACCAGAAATCGAGTCAAATAGCAAGGTTTCATTTCCTCTTAAGACCAAACACTTCATACAAATGATGCCCTGGGCTTAAATATGGAAAATATGCAAAATAAACTCCACTCCATTTCATTCAATTTTATGGAATGAACTAATTTGAAATTAAAAAATACACTAAAACACTAAAGCTCCTGAGCCCTCTAATTATCCAGTTTCCGTTGGTCCGTGTTACCTCACCTTGTCACAGTGCTCCATGAACTCGGCCAGGTTGAGCAGGGTCTGGGTGATCTCGGGGATCTCCTGGGATGTGAGGGCCTGCTCCAGACTGTGGATCAACTCATCCTGCTGGGTCTCTGTCAGCTCCGTCCAGCACGACACAAACACAGCATTGAACAAGTCCCTGGATACAAAAGTAGTGATTGTCAGAATACACACAGGACTGAGTCCCAAGACAAAACAATGGGTTGTGTGTGATATACTCACCTGGCCAGGGGGTTGTATGTCAGCTATCTACTGATCTGAGCTTGGGGGTTTGTGCTATGTGATCTACTCACCTGAGCTAGTGGGGTTGTATCTCAGTGATCTACTCACCTGGCCAGGTGGTTGTGTTATGCAATCTATTCAGCTGGATAGGGGGCTGTGTTATGCAATCTACTCACCTGGCCAGGGGGTTGTGTTATGCAATCTACTCGCCTGGCCAGGGGTGTTGCATTATGCAATTATGCAATGGCTATTCAGCAATCCACTCTCACCTGGCCAGGTGGTTGTGTTATGCAATCTACTCACCTGGCCAGGGGGTTGTGTTATGCAATCTACTCACCTGGCCAGGGGGTTGTGTTATGCAATCTACTCACCTGGCCAGGGGTGTTGCATTATGCAATCTATTCAGCTGGCTAGGGGCTGTGTTATGCAATCTACTCACCTGGCCAGGTGGCTGTGTTATTCAATCTACTCACCTGGCCAGGGGTGTTGCATTATGCAATCTATTCAGCTGGCTAGGGGGCTGTGTTATGCAATCTACTCACCTGGCCAGGGGGTTGTGTTATGCAATCTACTAACCTGGCCCGGTGGTTGTGTTATGCAATCTACTCACCTGGCCAGGGGTGTTGCATTATGCAATCTACTCACCTGGCCAGGGGTGTTGCATTATGCAATCTATTCAGCTGGCTAGGGGGCTGTGTTATGCAATCTACTCACCTGGCCAGGTGGTTGTGTTATGTAATCTACTCACCTGGCCAGGGGTGTTGCATTATGCAATCTATTCAGCTGGCTAGGGGGCTGTGTTATGCAATCTACTCACCTGGCCAGGGGGTTGTGTTATGTAATCTACTCACCTGGCCAGGGGTGTTGCATTATGCAATTTATTCACCTGGCTAGGTGGTTGTGTTATGCAATCTACTCACCTGGCCCGGTGGTTGTGTTATGCAATCTACTCACCTGGCCAGGGGTGTTGCATTATGCAATCTACTCACCTGGCCAGGGGTGTTGCATTATGCAATCTATTCAGCTGGCTAGGGGGCTGTGTTATGCAATCTACTCACCTGGCCAGGTGGTTGTGTTATGCAATCTACTCACCTGGCCAGGGGTGTTGCATTATGCAATCTATTCAGCTGGCTAGGGGGCTGTGTTATGCAATCTACTCACCTGGCCAGGTGGTTGTGTTATGTAATCTACTCACCTGGCCAGGGGTGTTGCATTATGCAATTTATTCAGCTGGCTAGGTGGTTGTGTTATGCAATCTACTCACCTGGCCAGGTGGTTGTGTTATGCAATCTACTCACCTGGCCAGGGGTGTTGCATTATGCAATCTATTCAGCTGGCTAGGGGGCTGTGTTATGCAATCTACTCACCTGGTCAGGTGGTTGTGCTATGCAATCTACTCACCTGGCCAGGGGTGTTGCATTATGCAATGTATTCACCTGGCCAGGGGCTTGTGTGATGTGATCTACTCACCTGGCCAGGGGGCTGTATGATGTGATCTACTCACCTGGCCAGGGGGCTGTGTGATGTGATCTACTTCACCTGGCCAGGGGGCTGTGTGATGTGATCTACTCACCTGGCCAGGGGGCTGTGTGATGTGATCTACTCACCTGGCCAGGGGGTTGTGTGATGTGATCTACTCACCTGGCCAGGGGGCTGTGTGATGTGATCTACTCACCTGGCCAGGGGGTTGTGTGATGTCATCTACTCACCTGGCCAGGGGGCTGTGTGATGTGATCTACTCACCTGGCCAGGGGGTTGTATGTCTGGGCCAGGGTCCAGCAGGACCGCAGTGCTGGGGAGGGGGTCGTGTGATGTGATCTACTCACCTGGCCAGGGGGTCGTGTGATGTGATCTACTCACCTGGGCAGGGGGTTGTGTGATGTGATCTACTCACCTGGCCAGGGGGCTGTGTGATGTGATCTACTCACCTGGCCAGGGGGTTGTGTGATGTGATCTACTCACCTGGCCAGGGGGTTGTGTGATGTGATCTACTCACCTGGCCAGGGGGCTGTGTGATGTGATCTACCTCACCTGGCCAGGGGCTGTGTGATGTGATCTACTCACCTGGCCAGGGGGCTGTGTGATGTGATCTACTCACCTGGCCAGGGGGCTGTGTGATGTGATCTACTCACCTGGCCAGGGGGTTGTATGTCTGGGCCAGGGTCCAGCAGGACCCCAGTGCTTGGGAGGGGTTATGTGATCTACTCACCTGGCCAGGGGCTGTGTGATGTGATCTCACCACCTGGCCAGGGGATGTGATGTGATCTACTCACCTGGCCAGGGGCTGTGTGATGTGATCTACTCACCTGGCCAGGGGTTGTGTGATGTGATCTACTCACCTGGCCAGGGGGTTGTGTGATGTGATCTACTCACCTGGCCAGGGGGCTGTGTGATGTGATCTACTCACCTGGCCAGGGGGTTGTATGTCTGGGCCAGGGTCCAGCAGGACCGCAGTGCTGGGGAGGTGGCTGTGTGATGTGATCTACTCACCTGGCCAGGGGGTTGTATGTCTGGGCCAGGGTCCAGCAGGCCTGCAGTGCTGGGGAGGGGGTCGTGTGATGTGATCTACTCACCTGGCCAGGGGATTGTGTGATGTGATCTACTCACCTGGCCAGGGGGCTGTGTAATGTGATCTACTCACCTGGCCAGGGGGCTATGTGATGTGATCTACTCACCTGGCCAGGGGTTGTGTGATGTCATCTACTCACCTGGCCAGGGGTTGTGTGATGTCATCTACTCACCACCTGGCCAGGGGTTGTATGTCTGGGCCAGGGTCTAGCAGGACCAGGAAGTGCTGGGGAGGTGATGTGATGTGATCACCTGGCCAGGGGCTTGTGATGTGATCTACTCACCTGGCCTGGGCCAGGGGCCAGGGGGTTGTGTGATGTGATCTACTCACCTGGCAGTGCTGGGCCAGGGAGGGGCAGTGCGTGTGATGTGATCTACTCACCTGGCCAGGGGGCGTGTGATGTGATCTACTCACCTGGCCAGGGGTTGTGTGATGGGCAGGGGGCTGTATGATGTGATCTGATCACCTGGCTCACTGGGCCAGGGCCAGGACGCAGGCTGGGGGAGGGTCGTGTGATGTGATCTACTCACCTGGCCAGGGGGTTGTGTGATGTGATCTACTCACCTGGCCAGGGGTTGTGTGATGTGATCTACTCACCTGGCCAGGGGGTTGTATGTCTGGGCCAGGGTCCCGCAGGACCGCAGTGCTGGGGAGGGGGTCGTGTGATGTGATCTACTCACCTGGCCAGGGGGTCGTGTGATGTGATCTACTCACCTGGCCAGGGGGTTGTGTGATGTCATCTACTTACCTGGCGAGGGGACTGTATGATGTGATCTACTCACCTGGCCAGGGGGTTGTATGTCTGGGCCAAGGTCCAGCAGGACCGCAGTGCTGGGGAGGGGGATTCCTTCAGCAGCTCAATACTCAGCTTCCGCAGCCACTCCATCCAGTCTTCTTTGGACACTCGCCTCCCTGCCCCCAGCGCCTGTACAAACATTTACACCCACAGTAGTGGTGAGCTGCAGCCGACTTAGGCACAAGCAAGGTGCCAACTGTCCAAGCATAAATAAGTGAGGTGAGACTGAGAGTCAGAAGCTCACAAAGAGATGGGAAATTGACAGTCAAATGCTGAATGGCTACAAAACCATGCTAACCCATTCTTATGACAAGGGAACCTACAGCAGCTGGTGTAGGAATCATACATCAATAGACTAACACAGTAGCTGCTCCTTACAAACTTTATTGTGCAATATTGGGGGTAGTGTAGTGGTAGAAGCATTCCTTCATTAAGTTCAATTCCCCACATGGCTACAAGGTATGATGCCCACTTCTCGTGTCTCCTGCCATGTTATTGCTGGAATATTGTTAAAAGCGATGTAAAACCAGAGTCACTCTGGGGAATATTGTATATATATATATATACTACCCATCATAAGTTTCGACTCACCAGTGTAAATGTAGCCACTTACTTCAGTCAACTGTCCTAAACTAGATTTTGCAAAATATTCCACACTGCTTGAAGGTGCTTGTTTACACATGAACTGATGTATTGTAAAACGAATTAGTAACGTTGAAAAAATTATTGTCATGAGTTCAATAAATGATGACACTGGCGAATTCTTAACAAAACTTTACACCAAAATGCAGCTGTTCACATGCACGATAATCACACATGCTTTTCAGCAATTTGATGCATGATACTCGTGCAGCTCACCAGCATAAATTTTTCAGATGGTTCCACCAAGGTAGTGGAGAAATTCATCTTCGATGTAACCATATATATATTCATAACATATAGGGAGTGCTTTCAGTGAGTCTAAACTTTTGATGGGTAGTATATATGAACTTCAAAATACAGAACACTTACTCTCTGCATGTGGTTAAAGTTGACATGTAACTTCTTGATGGTGGCTGTTTCTGTTGTTTGATCTGAAGACTGTGGCGCCTTGAGCCTATTCTTCTTGTGTTTGATTAAGACGGGGTCATCCTCTTCTTCAGCTATGGTAGTGCCCTGGAACAGAACAACACAAGCTGATGCCCTGTCTGAACAGTACAACACGAACGGATGGCCTGTCTGAACAGTACAACACAAACGGATGGCCTGTCTGAACAGTACAACACAAACTGATGGCCTGTCTGAACAGTACAACACAAACTGATGCCCTGTCTGAACAGTACAACACAAACGGATGGCCTGTCTGAACAGTACAACACAAACTGATGGCCTGTCTGAACAGTACAACACAAACTGATGCCCTGTCTGAACAGTACAACACAAACGGATGGCCTGTCTGAACAGTACAACACAAACGGATGGCCTGTCTGAACAGTACAACACAAACTGATGCCCTGTCTGAACAGTACAACACAAGCTGATGCCCTGTCTGAACAGTACAACACAAACTGATGGCCTGTCTGAACAGTACACCTCAAGCTGTTGGCCTGTCTGAACAGTACAACACAAACTGATGCCCTGTCTGAACAGTACAACACAAACACAAACTGATGCCCTGTCTGAACAGTACAACACGAACGGATGGCCTGTCTGAACAGTACAACACAAACTGATGGCCTGTCTGAACAGTACAACACAAACGGATGGCCTGTCTGAACAGTACAACACAAACTGATGGCCTGTCTGCACAGTACAACACAAACGGATGCCCTGTCTGAACAGTACAACACAAACGGATGGCCTGTCTGAACAGTACAACACAAACGGATGGCCTGTCTGAACAGTACAACACAAACGGATGGCCTGTCTGAACAGTACAACACAAACGGATGCCCTGTCTGAACAGTACAACACAAACGGATGCCCTGTCTGAACAGTACAACACAAACGGATGGCCTGTCTGAACAGTACAACACACGCTGATGCCCTGTCTGAACAGTACAACACAAACTGTGCCTGAACAGACAGAACAAAACAAACAGCTCATACTTGAGTTGCAGAACGCCATCCTAAGAATCCGACACAGCAGTCAACATGTCACAATAGTATAAATACAGAACAATTCACATCTCACATTTTTACATATTTTCATAAAAGTATGGAGAGATATTCTTGAAGAAGTTGCAGCCATCATGACTGATTCCTGTGACTCTACCTTAAGTAGCCTGCACATAAGGATGTTGTAGAGCTGATGTGTGATCCTGTTCTTGGTCATCACCTTGTTGACCATGGAGACGAAGATGGTGAACTTGTGTCCAAGTTGCAGCACCAAGGCACAGAGCGTGTCCATGACGGTGGTTTGCAGCATGGAGCAGGTATCCAGTGTTCTCACCAGTGGGTGGATGATCCGGGACGCATAGTCTGTCAGGTCCAGACTATCGGTCAACCGGTCAATAGTCTCCAGGGCCATTCTGTCAGAAAAGAGAGGAATAAGTGACATGACTAACAGTGCATGGGAGACAATAGGTCTAAGTACTGTCACACCCATGACAAGGCAGGGAACACAGGTATAGTAAAGCGGAGGCAGGAAGCTAGACATATGTACTGGTGTGGTTACAGGAGAGGACTTACTTTCTGACAGGGATAGGAATATCAGCAGAGTCAAACAGTTTCACGACTGGTGGCAGGAGGAGGTGGAGATAGTCATCAAGGTTGGCACCAAACAGCTGGAGTGCATTCAGGAGCTAGAACGACAGAGCCTCATCATTATCAACAGATACACAGAGATGGTGTCCAACTATTCTCAACTTGAAGCACACCATAACAAAATCTCATATCAGGATGGAGAATTGTACCATGGAACTAGATCTAGAGTTGTGGTGACCCTACCTTGGCTGTGACGACTCGGTCCTGGCTGGTGTCATGCATGAACACTCGTAGTATTTGGGGCACAATCTGGGGCAGGTACACCTTGAACTCCGTGCCCAGAGCATTGACGATCTGCTCGATGAGCAGGATGATGGTGCTCTGCATGGAGCTGTTGGGCGTCCAGAATTCCTGCAGGAAGATGTGGTACACACAATAAAGTAAGTCACAGATACACAGCAGAATAACCTCTTGCATTATCAGGCTTCAGTAACACAACACAATAGTTTAGAGCAATGATCCACTCCATCAAGGTATTAAAACACACTTTCAACCTGATCACAAACTGAAACCTCTAGATGATGACTAATGTGCTCCACAGACAAGCTTGGGTGCTTGGGTAAATAACATTTCTGCCAGAGGTGAGGTGAAATTGGGTTTTAAGTGGTGCTTGAGAATATTTCGCTCATATGACGACGTGCATGCGTGTGTATGTGTATCTGCTTGTACTAGCCCAGTCTTAAGCTGGTTTTATAGTGCTAGCCCACTGAGATACCATGCCGCAGTGAAGCATGAATACCCCACTCAGACACATTATACTGACTCCGAGCCGACCAGTCCTTGTTGTACTCATTAATGCCGAGAGCCAGGCAGGGACCAACAAGTACCATATTTTAACGTCTTTTGGTATGACGGAGTCAGGGATCAAACCCGCGACCTTCCGCTCTCCAGGCGTGCCTTTCACAAGCCACAGGGAAAGAAAGCCAACTCTTCCATAGTGTTCATATGGAAGATAACAACAGAAGTGAGTGAGTACCAATTTTTTTTAGTTTCATTTCAGTAATTTGGAAGTACAATATTGAAATAAAAGAAGTTGTTCTCCATAAAGTTTGTCCATATTGTACCGACCTTGATGAGACAGAAGATGTCCTCCAGGTAGTTCTTGATGTGCTGCTTGACAATGGCAATGATGACACCCAGTTGTTGAAACAGGAACTAGTTCAGAGTGAGAAAGAGATTAAAGAATCATTTAATGAATGCTTTAACTATCAAATAACATTCTCCTCATAAAACTACATCTACTGAAACATATGTTCAGCTTAATGAAACTATTAACAGATTTAAATGAGTAAGATATGGTCATGCATTTCGGTTCAAGAATTTGGTTCAAACCATTGCTATGAAACATGAAACAGCATTCAGTTTATGTCATAAGTTACAGTGTAGCAGTTTATGCCTCCCACATCCTCTGAGTCATGAAAGAATACAGTTGCCAGCTGACTACAATACAATACTCCTTTGCCAGCCCTAAACTGTGGAACTCTCTTCTAAATGAAATCAGGAACACTTCATCGAAAGAAACTTTTAAATGTCTGCCAAAGGCCCATCTATTCACTGCTGCCTTTCTGTAAAGTTATATGAACTATTTCCTTCCCCAATATTGTCACAGCGCCACTGAGCATCTCTATGGTGGATATTAGGCGCGCTTTATAAATACATTATTATTATTATTATTAATCCTCAAACAGAGCCATATCTCAGCACAATGACTCTGATGAACAAGCCAACTCACCTCCCTGAAGTTGGGATCAGCAGACCTGATGACTGTGAGGTATGCCGGTATGACCTGCTGAATGTACGGGACACACTTGATACCCAGACTCTTGAAGATGAACGTGATGGCCTGAACCACCATTGTGTGGTGCTGAGACAGCGACGGGTCTCGGATAATCTTCATTAGTGTTGCTATGGCGATGGCTGGATAGAACTCTTCCAGAGTTGTGGTGGCACTCATGTTAGCCAGCATTTCACTGGTGTTAAGTTCTGTGCAGGCAAGAAACAATACCATGTCATGCATCAGATAAAACATTTGTTTATGAACACTTCTTGACACAAACTGTGCAAGGCAGCCCCTGACCAACCTGGAGCAAGGAAACCCCTGACCAACCTGGAGCAAGGAAACCCCTGACCCACCTGGAGCAAGGAAACCCCTGACCCACCTGTAGCACGGAAAACCCTGACCCACCTGTAGCACGGAAAACCCTGACCCACCTGTAGCACGGAAAACCCTGACCCATCTGAGGCAAGGAAACCCTGAGCCACCTGGAGTAAGGAAATCCCTGACCAACCTGGAGTAAGGAAATCCCTGACCAACCTGCAGCAAGGCAGCCCCTGATTCACCTGTAGCAAGAAACTCCTGACCGATATGTAGCAAGGAATCCCTTGACCCACCTGGAGCGAAGAACCCCAGACCAACCTGGAGCAAGGAAATCACTGACCCATCTGGAGCAAGGAAATCCCTGACTCACCTGGAGTATGGAAACCCCTGACCCACATGGAGCAAAGAAATCCCTGACCCATCTGGAGCAAAGAATCTCTGACCCACATGGAGCAAAGAAATTCCTGACCCATCTGGAGTATGGAAACCCCTGACCCATCTGGAGTATGGAAACCCCTGACCCACATGGAACAAGGAAATCCCTGACCCACATGGAGCAAGGAAATCCCTGACCCATCTGGACTATGGAAACCCCTGACGCACATGGAGCAAGGAAATCCCTGACCCATCTGGAGAATGGAAACCCCTGACCCATCTGGAGCAAGGAAATCCCTGACCCATCTGGGGCAAAGAAACCCCTGAACCATCTGGAGCAAGGAAATCCCTGACCCATCTGGAGTATGGAATCCCCTGACACACCTGGAGCAAGGCAACCCCTGACCCACATGGAGCAAGGAAACCCCTGACCCATCTGGAGTAAGGAACCCCTGACACATCTGGAGTAAGGAAACCCCTGACCCATCTGGAGTAAGGCACCCCTGACACATCTGGAGTAAGGAAACCCCTGACCCACATGGAGCAAAGAAATCCCTGACCCATCTGGAGCAAAGAATCTCTGACCCACATGGAGCAAAGAAATTCCTGACCCATCTGGAGTATGGAAACCCCTGACCCATCTGGAGTATGGAAACCCCTGACCCAAATGGAACAAGGAAATCCCTGACCCACATGGAGCAAGGAAATCCCTGACCCATCTGGACTATGGAAACCCCTGACGCACATGGAGCAAGGAAATCCCTGACCCATCTGGAGAATGGAAACCCCTGACCCATCTGGAGCAAGGAAATCCCTGACCCATCTGGGGCAAAGAAACCCCTGAACCATCTGGAGCAAGGAAATCCCTCACCCATCTGGAGTATGGAATCCCCTGACACAGCTGGAGCAAGGCAACCCCTGACCCACATGGAGCAAGGAAACCCCTGACCCATCTGGAGTAAGGAACCCCTGACACATCTGGAGTAAGGAAACCCCTGACCCATCTGGAGTAAGGAACCCCTGACACATCTGGAGTAAGGAAACCCCTGACCCACATGGAGCAAGGAAATCCCTGACCCATCTGGAGAATGGAAACCCCTGACCCACATGGAACAAGGAAATCCCTGACCCATCTGGAGCAAAGAAACCCCTGAACCATCTGGAGCAAGGAAATCCCTGACCCATCTGGAGTATGGAAACCCCTGACCCACATGGAGCAAAGAAATCCCTGACCCATCTGGAGTATGGAAACCCCTGACCCATCTGGAGTATGGAAACCCCTGACCCACATGGAACAAGGAAATCCCTGACCCACATGGAGCAAGGAAATCCCTGACCCATCTGGACTATGGAAACCCCTGACTTACATGGAGCAAGGAAATCCCTGACCCATCTGGAGAATTGAAACCCCTGACCCATCTGGAGCAAGGAAATCCCTGACCCATCTGGAGCAAAGAAACCCCTGAACCATCTGGAGCAAGGAAATCCCTGACCCATCTGGAGTATGGAATCCCCTGACACACCTGGAGCAAGGAAACCCCTGACCCACATGGAGCAAGGAAACCCCTGACCCATCTGGAGTAAGGAACCCCTGACACATCTGGAGTAAGGAAACCCCTGACCCATCTGGAGTAAGGAACCCCTGACACATCTGGAGTAAGGAAACCCCTGACCCATCTGGAGAATGGAAACCCCTGACCCACATGGAACAAGGAAATCCCTGACCCATCTGGAGTATGGAATCCCCTGACACACCTGGAGCAAGGAAACCCCTGACCCACATGGAGCTAGGAAACCCCTGACCCATCTGGAGCAAGGAAACCCCTGACCAACCTGGAGCAAGGAAACTCCTTACCGACATGTAGCAAGGAAACCCCTGACCAACCTGGAGCAAGGAAACCCCTGATCTACCTGGAGGCAAGAAACCCCTGAACCACCTGGAGTAAGGAAGTCCCTGACCCATCTGGAGTATGGAAACCCCTGACCCACATGTAGCAAGGAAACCCCTGACCCATTTGGAGCAAGGAAACCCCTGACCCATCTGGAGCAAGGAAACCCCTGACCCATCTGGAGCAAGGAAACCGCCGACTCACCTGGAGTAAGGAAACCCCTGACCCATCTGGAGTAAGGAACCCCTGACACATCTGGAGCAAGGAAACCCCTGACCCACATGGGGCAAGGAAATCCCTGATTCACCTGGAGTATGGAAACCCCTGACCAATCTGGAGTTAGGAACCCCTGACACATCTGGAGCAAGGAAGCCCCTGACCCACATTGAGTAAGGAAATCCCTGATTCACCTGGAGCAAGGAAACCCCTGACCCATCTGGAGTAAGGAACCCCTGACACATCTGGAGTAAGGAAACCCCTGACCCACATGGAGTAAGGAAATCCCTGACTCACCTGGAGTATGGAAACCCCTGACCCATCTGGACCAAGGAAACCTCTGACAGATCTGGATCAAGGAAACCCCTGACCTATCTGGAGCAAGGAAACCCCTGACCCACCTGGAGCAATGAAACCCCTGACTCACCTGGAGTATGGAAACCCCTGACCCATCTGGACCAAGGAAACCTCTGACAGATCTGGATCAAGGAAACCCCTGACCCATCTGGAGCAAGGAAACCCCTGACCCATCTGGAGCAAGGAAACCCCTGACTCACCTGGAGTATGGAAACCCCTGACCCATCTGGAGTCAGGAAACCCTGACACATCTGGAGCAAGGAAACCCCTGACCCACATGGAGCAAGGAAATCCCTGATTCACCTGGAGTATGGAACCCCTGACCCATCTGGAGTAAGGAACCCCTGACACATCTGGAGCAAGGAAACCCCTGACCCACATGGAGTAAGGAAATCCCTGACTCACCTGGAGTATGGAAACCCCTGACCCATCTGGAGTAAGGAACCCCTGACACATCTGGAGTAAGGAAACCCCTGACCCACCTGGAGCAAAGAAGCCCCTTACCCACCTGGAGTAAAGAAACCCCTGACCCATCTGGATCAAAGAAACCCCTGACCAACCTGGAGCAAAGAAGCCCCTGACCCATCTGGAGCAAGGAAACCCCTGACCCACCTGTAGCAAGGAAGCCCCTGACCCACCTGGAGTAAGGAAACCCCTGACCGACATGTAGCAAGGAAGCCCCTGACCCACCTGGAGTAAGGAAACCCCTGACCGTCATGTAGCAAGGAAGCCCCTGACCCACCTGGAGTAAGGAAACCCCTGACCGTCATGTAGCAAGGAAGCCCCTGACCCACCTGGAGTATGGAAACCCCTGACCCATCTGGAGCAAAGAAACCCCAGACCCATCTGGAGCAAAACCCCTGAACCACCTGGAGTAGGGAAGCCCCTGACCCACCTGGAGCAAAGAAACCCCTGACCCACCTGGAGTAAGGAAGCCCCTGACCCACCTGGAGCAAAGAAACCCTTGACCCACCTGGAGTAAGGAAGCCCCTGACCCACCTGGAGCAAAGAAACCTCTAACCCACCTGGAGTAAGGAAGCCCCTGACCCACCTGGAGCAAAGAAACCTCTAACCCACCTGGAGTAAGGAAACCCCTGACCCACCTGGAGCAAAGAAACCTCTAACCCACCTGGAGTAAGGAAGCCCCTGACCCACCTGGAGCAAAGAAACCTCTAACCCACCTGGAGTAAGGAAACCCCTGACCCACCTGGAGCAAGGAAACCCCTGACCCAACCTACCTGTGTTGCTGGCATCCTTCTCGGCTTTGGTGTGGTCTGACTTGCTGACTGCAGCCTCACTCTCCGAGATTAGACCCAGGTTTAGCTTGTGCTTGTGGGGGTCCAGAGCTCCAAGCAGTCCCAGGACTCGAATCACCTATGGACAGATTTGACTGGTACAGTGTGAGCCTGTCAGTGATGGCAACCAGGTGATCACCATACAGGAGAGAAGTGCAGGACATGCTTACTAAACACTAAGAATCTTTGATTGTTATATGATGTGTACATATGGAAAACGATTGACTGAATTCCAACATATTTTGTTCTTGATGATTTGTTGTGTTCTTTTGCAAACTCTGATATTATAAAGCTAATAGGGACATTATATGTTCCACAATTTTTTGAAATTGGCAGCAATATTGAGAAACAGAATAATACACAATATATGTTTGCTAAAAACATACTGCAATGCTTATCAGCATGATCATAATATGGTAAAATGTTTGGTAATACAGCACCAAGTTCAATTAAATATTGAATATAACAGAGAGCAAGGGAGCAGATATCACAGTGTAGAAATGAAGCAGGCTTACCTCTCTCCGGATGCCTGGCGCGCCTGTTCTGTTTTGAGGAAGTTGAGGAGAACCTCCAGGAGAGTGGGGTACTTCTTGTAGGGTTCCACCACGGACCCTGTGCTCTCCACTATCTGACCCAGGGTCCACAGAGCCACCTACAATACACCACCATACAGTGTCACAACTTTGTACGACCCGTGAAGATCCGGGTTAGAATTGATCTTCAGTAACCCATGCTTGTTGTAAGAGGTAACAAACAGGATTGGGTGGTCACACTCACTGACTTGGATGACACATGTCATCGTATCCCAATTGCATAGATTGATGATGATGCTGTTGATCACTGGATTGTCATATACAGACTGCCGCCATATAGATGGATTATTGCTGAGTGCTGCGTAAAACTAAATTCACAACTTTTGGCCAAGGCTATTGCTTCCATAAAATGGAACATTACAAGATGTACATAATTCATAAACACATGTTCATGTGACAAAATATATGTAGGTGTTGTCTTGAACAATAGTACCCATGAAGATCCGGGTTAGAATGAATCTTCAGTAACCCATGCTTGTCGTAAGAGGCGACTAACGGGATCGGGTGGTCAGGCTCGCTGACTTGGTTGACACATGTCATCGGTTCCCAATTGTGAAGATCGATGCTTATACTGTTGATCACTGGATTGTCTGGTCCAGACTTGATTATTTGAAGACTGCTGCCATATAGCTGGAATATTGCTGAGTGCGGCGTAAAAGTAAACTCACTCACTCACTTGAACAATAGGTCTTGACATGACATATTTTAAGTCCTGGCAACAAAAGGAAGAAAGGCAATTACTGACTGACATGTGCTAACATGTATAGCACTGATGATCAACTGACCTCTCTCTTCTGCAGGGATGACGAGTCCTGCAGCATGTCCAGAATGATGGGGAGCAACTCATCCATCCACTTCTTCATCTCAGTGCCGCTCACCTGAGAGAAGACAGACAACAATGTCATCTTACTAGAGCTGGAGCCTTCATAACACACCCCAAGCTGACATCATAAAAACATACCCATGCTGATATCTTCACAACATACCCATGCTGATATCTTCATAACATACCCAAGCTGACATCATCATAACATACCCAAGCTGATGTCATCACAACATACCCATGCTGAGATCTTCATAACATACCCAAGCTGATATCATCACAACATACCCATGCTGATATCTTCACAACATACCCAAGCTGATATCCTCATAACATACCCAAGCTGATATCATCACAACATACCCATGCTGATATCATCACAACATACCCAAGCTGATATCTTCATAACATACCCAAGCTGATATCTTTACAACATACCCAAGCTGATATCTTCATAACATACCAAAGCTGATATCTTCACAACATACCCAAGCTGACATCATCACAACATACCCAAGCTGACATCATCACAACATACCCAAGCTGACATCATCACAACATACCCAAGCTGATATCTTCACAACATACCCAAGCTGATATCTTCATAACATACCCAAGCTGATATCTTCATAACATATCCAAGCTGATATCCTCACAACATACCCAAGCTGATATCTTCACAACATACCAATGCTGATATCTTCACAACATACCCAAGCTGATATCATCACAACATACCCAAGCTGACATCATCACAACATACCCAAGCTGACATCATCACAACATACCCAAGCTGACATCATCACAACATACCCAAGCTGATATCTTCACAACATACCAATGCTGATATCTTCACAACATACCCAAGCTGATATCATCACAACATACCCAAGCTGATATCTTCACAACATACCCAAGCTGACATCTTCACAACATACCCAAGCTGATATCCTCATAACATACCCAAGCTGATATCATCACAACATACCCATGCTGATATCTTCACAACATACCCAAGCTGATATCTTCATAACATACCAAAGCTGATATCTTCACAACATACCCAAGCTGACATCATCACAACATACCCAAGCTGACATCATCACAACATACCCAAGCTGACATCATCACAACATACCCAAGCTGATATCTTCACAACATACCCAAGCTGATATCTTCATAACATATCCAAGCTGATATCCTCACAACATACCCAAGCTGATATCTTCACAACATACCCATGCTGATATCTTCACAACATACCCAAGCTGACATCATCACAACATACCCAAGCTGACATCATCACAACATACCCAAGCTGACATCATCATAACATACCCAAGCTGATATCTTCACAACATACCCAAGCTGATATCTTCACAACATACCCAAGCTGATATCTTCATAACATATCCAAGCTGATATCCTCATAACATACCCAAGCTGACATCATCACAACATACCCAAGCTGATATCTTCACAACATACCAATGCTGATATCTTCACAACATACCCAAGCTGATATCTTCATAACATCCAAGCTGATATCCTCATAACATACCCAAGCTGACATCATCACAACATACCCAAGCTGATATCTTCACCACATACCCAAGCTGATATCTTCATAACATACCCAAGCTGATATCGTCATAACATACCCAAGCTGATATCCTCATAACATACCCAAGCTGACATCATCACAAAATACCCAAGCTGATATCATCAAAACATACCCAAGCTGATATCTTCACCACATACCCAAGCTGATATCACAACATACCCAAGCTGATATCTTCATAACATACCCAAGCTGATATCATCATAACATACCCAAGCTGATATCTTCACAACATACCCAAGCTGATATCTGACACAAGGCTTGTTTAACCATGCCTACTAATGGCTAGTAAGACTGTTCCATGTACAGTGGTTTATGTACACAGGGTTTGTATATTGTTGTCTGTCATGGTTTACTTGTATGAAGAATGCCCAGTATTTACCTGTGCCTGTTCTCCAATGGCAGCCAGCACACTGATGGTCACACTTGGATTGGGGTCAGTTTCCTTCAGTTTGGGGATGAGTACCTAGCAAACAAAATACATCATACTTTAAACAGCAATAGCATTTTCTTATCACATTATCCAGTTAATACTTGCAACAAGATCAACACTGATGACGGTTGGTTTATTTTAACACCGCCATCAGCAGTATTTCAGCTATATGGCAGCAGTCTGTAAATAATCGAGTCTGGACCAGACAATCCAGTGATCAACAGCATCAGCATCGACCTGTGTAATTGGGATATGATGACATGTGTCAACCAAGTCTGCGAGCCTGACCACCTGATCCCGTTAGTTGCTTCTTATGACTAGCATGGGTTACTGAAGATCAATATTCTACCCCGGATCTTCACAGGTCCCCACACCAATGAAGTAGGGCATATTTTCAATACTCTGACAACAGAAACCAGTAACTGTGGGTTCAGATTCTGGTTTGTCCTGGTCACCTTTCCAGGTTTGTTAATAGATGTACAATACCATTGGTCACTGATATCAACAAAATGGTAAACATAGATATCATTTCGGGCATTCTGGTAAATGTTAGGCCAGGATGAGAAAATAGCCTTGTTTCTCATAATTCTGTACAAATCAGTCTGGGTTAGGAGCATCTTATTTGTATTTCAAAAGTGAACATGATTCCAGTGTACCACATGGACTCATTCCGCAGCTGCTTAGAGTGTGGGGAGACAGCTCCAAGGCCAGGACTAAGTTCTGTGAAGATAATTGATTGAATGAGTTTGGTTTTATGCCGCTTTTAGCAATATTCCAGCAATATTAAGGCAGGTGACACCAGAAATGGGCTTCACGCATTGTATCCATGTGGGGAATCGAACCCTGGGTCTTCGGTGTGATGAGCAAACGCTTTAACCATTGGGCTACCCCTCAGTGAATATGTGAAACTGTGGATGGCATAGTATGTATGAGTTGGAGTTTGACTATAAATGGCCTGTTTTTTTAAACCATTGTAAAAGGTCTGTACCAAAAATATATCTAAAGGAGCAGGGAGGTTTTTGGTTTAACAGATCATAGCAGACAAGACAAGCATTGTAAAACTCCTGGAAGAACTTGACAGTGCAAGAACACTGACTCTGGGGAGTCAACCACTAAACTTGAAAATTTTAACTATAAATTGTATATTTATATACTTATCCTATCTCACGACTTGCACCTCTCTCTCTTCATTCGACCATGAGTGGAAACGAATTAAAACTTTGCTCCAAGGCCTACCTTGCCCCTCTCTCCCGCTGTGCGTGCCTTCTGTCAGTCGTGGCTCACTAGTCCATGACAGCACGAGGCATGCGCAGTCCTCACCCACGTGATCACTTCACATACTCATTCTCGATCTTGGAGCCATAAAAGGACAAAACCGAACGGTGGTAATCTATGTAGTGGGGAGGTAGGGAGGGATTTTATCGCTGAGATAGGATAAGTATATAAATATACAATTTATAGTTAAAATTTTCAAATTTTTAAACTTATCCTATCTCACGACTTGCACTTATCCCACGGTAGGAAGGTGGGTCATAGATTACCCAAATTCAAGCGATAACAGCTAAGTGTTATGCCCAAACAACCGTGAGGGAAGCAACTACAAGGTAGGCCAATAACTACCAAGTTACTACGCATGCAGGGTTAGTTCGAACCCATTGACTTATTTAAGCACAATTGCTCCCAGGACCGGATTCCCGAAAGCAATGTGGTGTTCAGTCACTACCTTCACAAAGTGAAAGGACGAGCTTAACGAAAGTGTAATCAGTCGCATCGCCACGATTTCCAAGGTACCCTCGTAATAAAAGTCTAACGACTAGTATCGGGCCAGCCCCTGCTTCAAACAACCCCACAGACACCGGCCCCGAGGAGGGTGAAAGAGAAATTGAATCGGTAAAACTCACAATTTTAACGCTCAGTACCACAACATCATCTTATGACTTCCATTACTTACCACAATAAGATCACATAGATGTGTATAGGCACTTAGGAGCATGAACGCCACGGCGTAACACGGGAAGGACTCACTTCACTGACTTAATTACTCCGCGGAGCAGAGGACAGTAAGTGAGGTGGCGATTCTCTGTAGTCTCAAACAAATGAGAGGAGAAATCTAAATCCCGAAGACGAAATCAGAAAAAGTATTTCAGATTTATTCAGACTGTACACAAGCAGAAACGATCGCGACTTGGGATCAACTGCACAGTGGGATCCATATAGCATCGGAGCACAAGGAAGTTCATTATCTGCTATGTTGTGCCGCTGATAACTGCTGGGCAAGGACTTAATGGTCCAAACTGATGAAGGCCTTGAATATCCCGCCACCGACACATCTCTGAGGTAATGAGACGAAAATACTGTGTCAGATCGCCAAAACAACCCTCCATTATGGCAGTTAACGAGCAGTTGCTATGCAACGCCATAGTAGAAGCCAATGCCCTGGTTTCATGAGGGTTGACTGTCGAGGTGGTGGCAAACCGCAAAAGTGTAGGCTCAGAGTATTGTAGCTCAGAGCCAATATGAGAGTGTTAGCAGCAGAGACTTCCGCCTTGGAAGCAGTAGACAAGGGTATAAACAGTCTCTTACGCAGACGGGCGGCGCCTTTGGCGATGCTTTGTTGTAACGCCACGGGCGTAACACTTCGAATGACTCACTTTACTGACGAATAAACTGCGGAGCAGAGGACAGTAAGTGAGGTGGCGACCCTCCAGCCGCCTCAAAAGCCAGACCTGCAATGGTCAGTTCGAACTCCATTGACTTACTAAACACAAGTGCTCCAGGGACCGGATTCCCGAAAGCAATGTGGTGTTCAGTCACTACCTTCATGAAAGTGAAAGGACGAGCTTAGCGAAAGTGTAAACAGTCGATTACCACGATTTCCAAGGTCTGACGACCAGTATCGGGCCAGCCCCTGCTTCGATTAACAACCCCCACAGACACCGGCCCCGCGGAGAGTGAAAGGGTAATTGAATCGAAACTCACAAGTCCCAGAAGAATCGAAGACACAAATCAGAAACAAAATTCAGAATTTTATTCAGATTGTACACAAAGCAGAAACGATCGCGAACTGGTGATCATCTGCGCTGAAGCTGATGGTTGTCCCAAGCGCCTAACAGGCTTATAATGACAATGCTGAATGCCAATTGCTAGATGAAGGGCCCTTTCTCCTGATGACCACTGCTAGGCCACTTGATGGAGAAAGTGAGCTTCCAGCTTGCAAGATGTGCCAACTAATAGGTGTTGAGTCGGTATGAAGGGCACCCTAGAGACTCCAACACAAACATTCCACTTGTTGAGCCACCAACTAAAGACTGAATGTAGTTGTGCGGAAGATCTAATCAACTCCCTGGGGTTGTCGCCCCGATGTATGGGCACAGAACCATCTGAAGAGGGCAAGCTGCAGCTGGCCCCTGTCAGTCAGCACTTGTGCCGACGCCAACCACCCTAGTAACTTCTGCCACTGGCTTAAAAGGTGTGGGTTGGACCAACACTAGTGGTGCGCTGCACTGAATCTTGTCCCACCTCCTAGGGCACAAACATCATGACCTGGCGGTTGAATATTGTCCCAATAAGAAGAAACAGCTGGTCGGTGTTACCCCTGATTGTTCAATTTAGCAGCCATCCTAATTGCGCGGAGCAACTTGATGATGAACTGTCTGTGGAAAGGAAGGACGACTGATCCTGCTGGGCTTGAACACAGTCGCCGATATTGTTGTCAATTGTCACGCTCGACAATGCAGGTAGCTGGTTAACAGAATGGCTATCTGAGTAAAACCCACGGGCGCGATATGCCCATACAGCAGGATCCTCCATTGGTATCAAGGACGCTTCCATAAAGTAAATCGAAGATACTTCCAATAGTCTGGATGTATCCGATGTGAAGGTAGGCGCCTCACAGGTCGAGGGACTGACTGACTGACTGAGTTTAGTTTTACACCGCCTTTAGCAATAATCCAGCAAAATCACGGGCGGGGCACCAGAAATGGGCTGAACACATTGTGCCCATGTGGGGATCGAACCGGGTCTTGGGCTGACGAGTCAACGCTTTAACCACTAGGCTACCCCACGGCCATCGCAGAGGTCGAGGGAAATGAGAGGTCTAACCACTCTTGCCTCTGACAAAAGATATCTCCTGATATAAGAACGCTCAATAAGTCGAACAACTACGCCAGTTCTGACGGAGTGCTCAATGTAGTATGTTCGGGCGATGGAGATTGTCAGTCAATCTACAGGAACGCTCACATTATAAACAAATTGTAGAAATTGTGAGGATCGGTGACCTCAGGAACGCTTTCTTTGGCCAACAAATAATTGTGCGCCAGGTGGAGTGATATAGGTAGTAGATCGCTGCCTGGTGACAATCCTTGCATAATGCAGTGACCTCTGAACTCGGTGCTTGACTAGGCAAACCGCTCACGGGTGTTTCTGTCCGCCACCCTCAATAAGCAGTCTCTCTCGACTGGCTGTCAAAACTCCGACACAGTCACTCTTATCGGAATGGCAGCGCTCGTTGTTACTTGCATTTATAGGCTGGACTTGGTATCCGATTCGTGGGACCAAGAGAATTCTGCAAGGGCACTTCATAGTCACTCTAATCATCAAAATTCGTAAACAAACAGTAGTCCGCCATTTGCAAACGCTACACACGAAAGTGACAAAAATAATGGACAACCTGGTCTTTGGTTAACCGGGCGAAGTCGCAACCCATAAATTCGGCTGAGCTATGCTGGCTATTTGACAAAACAGTGCCGGTACCATGCGCAAGAACTTCATCCATTTGTGATCTGTCCAGAAACTTGCTTAACATGTAAAACAAAGGGAGCTGAAGATGACGAGCCGCCTGCAACAATTGCACCAAGGATACACAAACACGCTGTTACGAAAGTAGTCTGTAGTAACAAGACTCATCGGAGCGTCAGAGAGTATTCCTGGCTCGCAAGTTTATCTAGTTATGCCATATCGGTGGTTGCAGAACTGATATCTACACCGGAAGGGTAGAATCGCTGAACCGAATCATTCATCAAAAGTGAAGATCGGATGGTAGATTAAATCTGAATGAGATGAGCTCCGTCACGGAGGACTCTTGAGAACTGGGATCGCCAGGCCGCCTGGCGCCGAAGCGTGATATCTCTAGATGACTGGCGCTACTAACAACACATGTAAATCAAATCGGCATGGTGAAGCACATAGCTACTACCTCTGTACATTGATCTTGAACGCCAGGTGAACTGGTTCGACGATAGGGAGCTTTCGACCTGGTGAAACGATACGAGCCGGCTGGTAAATCAGTTCAGGGTGGTGAGCCGGAAAGTTGACGGATCTGAATCAGTCCGATGTGATCTGAATCGCGGACTGATCTGGATCGGTTCGGTAATCCGAACCGGTTAAATGATCTCAGCTGATGGAGAGATCTAGAACGCCAGATGAACCAGTGAGGCGAGGTGAAATGTTCCGCCGAGGTGAATCGCTTCGCTGCTGTGAATTGAATCGATGATGTGAACTGTTTCGCGATAAGAAACAGTCTTAATATTATGGCAAACTGAGTCAATGTCGATTCACATACGGCGCATTAAACGGTTCGGTCTGGTGAATCCATTTCGTATGGCTTAACCGATTCGGTGTGGTTAATCGGTTCGGTCTGGTGAATCCATTTGGTATGGCTTAACCGATTCGGCGTGGTGAACCGGTTTGGCAATTTGATGGTACGGGTCTGGTGAAACCATTCGGTATGGCGAGCCGATTGGTGGTGTGGTGAATCCATTCGTATGGCTTAACCGATTGGGTGTGGTGAATCCCTTCGTATGGCTTAACCGATTGGGTGTGGTGAATCCATTCGGTATGGCTAAACGGTCGGTCTGGTGAATCCATTCGATTCGGTGTGGCTTAATCGATTCGGACGATTTGAGTAGATCGATGTGTGAGTCAACTGGCAACACAGAGCGCTTTGATGAGGCGGAACCACGAGAAGACATCTAATGATGCTTCCATAAAATTATCACCGCTCGACATGGGAAACTGCGGACGACGAAAGCAGTTAATACCGGGTCGCTAAAAACGGGGTTTGTCGGGTGATCAACTGTTGAAGTGTAACGAGCTCTGTCTGCCAGCCATCGGGAGCAAGTATGTCTACATGCTCTAAAAACGCCCTTAATAAGGGAGCACATTCCCGACAACGCTTGCTCCAGGAACATGACGATTGGGGATCCGAGGAAGTAAATATTGTTACAGTGTGCGCAAAATTACGCTTACTGAGTCTAGACTGACAAGACGGATATCCTGATTCACCTAAAGTGAATGAGACCGACTTCGAGAATCACTCTGACGAAAACACACCTTACGGCTAGGTGAACCGGATCGAAATGGCCAACCACCTCGACCAGGCGTAGACTGAACGACTCACGGAATCAAAACGCTGATGGTGTGTCGAACTGAAACCTATGTTGAGGTGAACTGAGTCGGAATGTGAACCCGCTCGTCCTGGTGAACCCTTCGAAAGTAACGCGGAATCAGTTCGGTCAGGTGAACCCATTTGATTACTTGAATCAGTTCGGTCAGGTGAACCCATTCAAGATGTATTGGTGAGCCGCTCGGCCGCGGTGAGCCGGTTCGGCTGTGTGAGCCGCTCGCCATGTGAGCCGGTTCGCTGTGTGAGCCGGCTCGGCCGCGGTGAGCCGGTTCGGGCTGTGTGAATCAAAACGCTGTGGTGAGTCGAACGGAAACACCTGTTGAGGTGAATTGAGTCGGAATGTGAAGCGGTTCGTCCTGGTGAACCTATTTGAGTACGCGGAAACAGTACGCCAGAGGAACCCATTCGACTACGTGAATCAGTTCGATCAACTGAACTCATTCGAGGATGTTCTGGTGAGCCGTCAGCCGCCGCGGTGAGCCGGCTCGGCGATGTGAGTCGGTTCGGCAGGGTGAGCCGGTTCGGTAAGGTGAGCCGGTTCGGCTATGTGAGTCGGCTCGGCTGTGTGAGCCGGCTCGGCGATGTGAGTCGGTTCGGCAAGGTGAGCCGGTTCGGCTATGTGAGTCGGTTCGGCTGAGTGTCGCTGTGAGCCGGCTCGGCGATGTGAGTCGGTTCGGCAGGCTCGGCGGGTGAGCCGCTCGAAAGTGAACGAGACCTAGAACGACTCTTGCCAGCCGTGGAAGAACGATTCAACCTTTCGCACCAGATGGTGATTCAACTCGCGGTGGGTGAATTGTTCCGTTAGATGAAACCGTGGAATTAGGAGAACGGGTACGATCCAACCGCTACCGATCCCCGCTTTGACGATGAATGCTTAGAAGTTCTCAAGTCTGTGATCGCTTCAAGAAACAGACCTACGAGATAATGTAGATCGCAGGTCTGGCGAGAAGAAATATCGGTCATTACCACCCTGGTACGCTTCCTGAGAACGTGAACTGGGTGAGGGAACCCTCCCCTAAAAGCCGCCTCACGCTCTCAGATAAATAGGAATCTGACGAAGGCCCATAAAATCTTCGCCAGGCGAGACGGCCGATTGAGAACGGTGAGCAGTGAGGGTGGGGTGATCTAAGCATTGTTTCTTAGCGGAGATGGACCAGACCCCGCAGAAATAGTCCTAGCCCTATCTGCCAAACGCCTGGCACAAGCACGCTTGTAAGATTTAAACGCTTCATTAGACAGACCTGAACACTTAGGACAGCTGCGGTGTCCCAGTCACAAACACCACACAATCAACACACGATGTGTGAGGGTCCCATGCTGAAAATACTTTATTACAACGGACGAAAACTTCCGCTTACTGGCCTTAACAGGCTTAACCATTTTGAGCAATTCTCAGATCTAAAATTTTTCACGCCCACCAGTGGAGCCGACAAGAAAGAGAATGAGTATGTGAGGTGATCACGGGTGAGGACTGCGCGATGCCTCGCGGCTGTCATGGACTAGTGAGCACGACTGACAGAAGGCACGCACAGCACGGGAGAGGGCAAGGTAGGCCTTGGAGCAAAGTTTTAATTCGCTTCCACTCATGGTCGAATGAAGAGAGAGAGGTGCAAGTCGTGAGATAGGATAAGTTTAAAAATTCAGTGCACTAAGATTCTCGGCCTGTGCTAGATGGGGGTCAAACCTCTCGTCCAGGGCAGCCAGAACACAGTACCGGATGTCGGCATCTACGTAAGTAATTTAAAATGGATTTATTAGGTTTTATGTATGGATAACAGTTGCTAACATGTGGAAATACTGTACAATCAGCATGTTCCAGCTGGAATTCTATCTTAAATCAAGGAAATGTTGTTTATGTGTCTTGAATCTTGCATGTTTATGAGATGTAACTCTGGCCCAGTCCTCATAGTTCCCTCTAGCCCTCGTGGTCAGATTCCATTGTATGTCAGTTGTTCTGTGTGTGAACACTTACCTGAGTCTGTGATGCCCACCACCAGTAACTTGTTGAGGACATAGGCTACGGTTGTCATGGCAGACATGCTGATCTGACCCTGGCTGGTGGCCAGGAGCTGAAACATCACACGACAGGAGAACAATACAACATTCAATGAGTCACAACACAGCCTGACAGAGTGTAGTTGCAGGAACATGCAAAGCATGACATTATTGATAGAAAGAGTATGTAGGTAATGTGATATAGAGTAACTACAGGTAGAGTAATTACAGGCTACTGACACATGGCATTACTGATAGGGGCAATATACAGGATGGTAGAGCCCTGATATAGAGTAATTACAGGTTATTGACACACATGGTATTACTGATAGGGGCGATATACAGTGAGTGAGTATGATTTTACATCGCTTTAAGCAATATTCCAGCAATATCACGGCGGGGGACACCAGAAATAGGCTTCACACATTGTGCCCATGTGGGGATTTCGAACCCGGGTCTTTGGCGGGACGAGCGGACGCTTTAACCACTACGCTACCCCACCGGCCCGGCGATATACAGGATGGTAGAGCCCTGATATACAGTAATTACAGCATACCGACACACATGGCATTACTGATGGGTAATAGGCACAATGGTAGAGCCCTGATATATAGTAAATACAGGCTACTGACACATTTATGACAACTGGCATTATGAGTGAGGTACACTACTCACCGTGAGTAGAGGTGACAGAAGCCGGGCACAGGTCTGTACTGCCTCCATGCGGATCTCCTTGTGTTCGCTGTTCAGGTAGTGGTCAGCACAGTGCTGGACAAACTGGGTCAAGGAGTGACCTGTACACACAGACAGGTAAGCAACACTTTATTCCATAATATTCACAATCACACATACTTTGCAGAACATCATATTCATCCTCCTTTTCCAGTAATGTTCACAATTCACGTTTACAAGATTTTCTTCATGAACTTATGGATATTCCTTACCTTCAAAGTCAAAGCTGCCCAGTGTCCGCAGTGCCAATGTGATGCTTGTAGCATCGTGGGACTCGGGCAAGTTGGCCACAGATGCTGAAACAGCCATGTGTTATTGTATCTGATGACTTGTTCAGTTATCATAATCAACCAGTGGAGGGACATTCGGCCAGACAGTCTTACTATTCACACATTAACAGTGAGAGAATTTACTTTTACGCTGCTTTTTGCAATATTCTTGCAATATCACAGTGGGGACACCAGAAATAGGTTTCACACAAAGTACCCATGTGGGGGGATTGATGTCGGGTCTTTGGCATGACAAATGAATGCTTTAACCACTAGGCTACCCCACCCCACCTGTACTACAACAACTGGACTCTGCTAACACTACAAACACCTCTACTCCAGACATGTACAAGATCTTCCCCACTGTCCAACTGACTAATGTTATCACTGGAAATGGCAAATGTGCTGCGTTTAGTTACCTGATGGAGGAAGAGCGGATGAGGGACTCTTTGGTGCTCCTGGGTGTTTCAGGGGCCGTCCCATCAGGATTAGAGAGAGATTTTTGAGGAGGCCATCTTGAATGTCTTTCTTGAGCTGTGGGATCTGTGTGGCTAGGTCCCTCAGTGCAGCAGTCAGAGCAGGACTGCAGCAACAGATTGGCACCATGGTTACAAGATGACAGTTATACCATGCTCATATAACTTAGATGGGTTTTACAATAGGGTGGGAAGCATCATATCTAGTCAAACATTGTTATCCACAAATTAACTTTATCATTTTTGTTTTTAAAATCCAAAGAACATCTGCTTTTATTAGTTTCAACAGACAAGACTTTAACTCTATTTACTCAACTGTAACCTTGCTAAGATTTATCTCCCCGTACCTCAAGCCCGTGGCCAGCATGGAGTCGAGTAGTTCTCGGATGTCGCGGGTCATCTGTGGGCCCATGGCCTTGGCCAGCATGCTGATACAGGTAAACACAGCTGGGTCCACCGCGAAGTTACGATGTTTCCTGACATGTGTAACAACAAATATAACAGCTGATTCTTTATGGTCTTTGAATGGCGCATAGAAGCGATAAACATACATTGTCCCTCTTAGTGTCTTTCTGAATTTTCAGAACTACAAGGAAGTCTTGGTTTCAAATGTCCAATGCCATAAATGGTTATGGGAGAGGGTTTTTCTCTTCAGAGAATAAATTTAACTAAACCTGAAGACATGAATTATCCTGTTTTGTGTTTAAAGAAAGGATGACCTGTCATGACTATGTTTCACATGGCGATATGCACGTCTGAAATATGTTCAAAGTTTATTGTCAGTTATAGTCTGCTGGGAAGAGACATATAGATGAACTTACTTAGCAGAGTAGTCTTTAGGTGGGAGAGATGCTCTAATGACCTCCATGATGCGAGGCAGGTGTTGACTAATCTCCCCTTGAACGGAGATAGCAAGAAGCCCAACCGCCTGGAAGGCCTGCGTACGGTCTCGCTCACGCTTCAACGTCCCCAGCAGGAAGTTGATGGTGTCATGCAAATATCTGATAAACAGCCCTTAGGATTAATTAAAGTTCTCTTAAATATACAGAAACAAAAATTTTAATGAGTTCAAACTTACTAATGTTTCATCATGTTCTGACACTATGTATAAAATCATAAGGTTTTTATAGTTTTCACTTGTATAATGCAAGTTGATATAATTTTCCAATGATAACATTTTTGTGTGTTTGCTAAGCAGGCCTAAATTTTATCTATGTAGATTCTTGCGATGAGCAGGCTGCAGTTTTAGATAGTGCCTAGAACACCTGTACTCACGTTTTAGAGAAGAACTGTGAGTTGAATGCTGCCAGTCGTGGCAGGACCATGAGAAGGGACTGTTGCACATAGACGCTGCGACTTGTCCGGTGCTTCAGAATGAGGTGACATACCTGCCATAGAAATGGTCATATTGTTACTGCCCATGGATAACGTATGACAAGTTTTCTATCCAGGACACATATTTGAAGAAAATAGGATTCTGATCAACTAATCATGACTTTTGGTGGGAAATATCTCCTGGGAAGGAGAAATTACTTAATCTCACTCTAGTGATATATCAAAGGAAGAAGAGATTACTTAATCTCACCAAATTGATATCTCCCAGGAAGGAGAGATTACATATCTCCTGCAAGAAGGAGATTACATAATCTCACCAAATTGATATCTCCCAAAAAGGAGAGATTACTTAATCTCACCAAATTGATATCTCCCAGGAAGGAGAGATTACTTAATCTCACCAAATTGATATCTCCCAGGAAGGAGAGAATGCTTAATCTCACCAAATTGATATCTCCCAGGAAGGAGAGATTACATAATCTCACCAAATTGATATCTCCCAAAAAGGAGAGATTACTTAATCTCACCCAATTGATATCTCCCAGGAAGGAGAGATTGCTTAATCTCACCCAAGGGATATCTCCCAGGAAGGAGAGATTACTTAATCTCATCCAATTGATATCTCCCAGGAAGGAGAGATTACTTAATCTCACCCAAGTGATATCTCCCCAGGAAGAGGACATTGCTTAATCTCACCCAAATGATATCTCCCAGGAAGACAAGATTGCTTAATCTCACCCAAGGGATATCTCCCAGGAAGAAGAGATTGCTTATTCTCACCCAACTGATATCTTCCAGGAAGGAGAGAGTGCTTCATCTCACCCAAGTGATATCTCCCAGGAAGGAGAGATTGCTTAATCTCACCCAAGGGATATCTCCCCGGAAGGAGAGATTGCTTCATCTTATCTAAGTAATATCTCCCAGGAAGGAGAGAGTGCTTCATCTCACCCAAGTGATATCTCCCAGGAAGGAGAGATTGCTAAATCTCACCCAATTGATATCTCCCCGGAAGGAGAGATTGCTTCATCTTATCTAAGTAATATCTCCCAGGAAGGAGAGATTGCTTCATCTTATCTAAGTGATATCCCCAGGAGAAGACAATGCATGGGGATAAAATTATATTACAATTTGTAACCAACCAACACACAGTTCAGGAGAGTGGCCTTTCCTTCTGATGGTGCTTCACGTGGTCACACAAACCTGAATACTGTTTGTTGTTTAATGCCACACTCAACAATATTCCAGCTATATGGTGGCATTCTGTAAATAAGCTGAATCTGGACCATGCTATCCAGTGATCAACATCATGAGCATCAATCTATGCAATTGGGATACAATGGCATATGACATCCACATCAGTGAGTACGACCACTCGATCGTGTTAGTTGCCTCTTATGACAAGCAGAACACCAATTTAGGTTGCAGAAGACCAATTCTAATCCAGATCTTCATGGGAAGCACCATTTAAAATTTAACTCCAGTACACTAGAGCTGACAATGGCAACCACAGAGCATCCAAGCCAGTGAGAATGCTGTTGTACAGACACAACAAACCTGTAAGACAAAAGAATCAATACGAAAAAACAACAGAATCAAGGAATGATTGAGTTTACTCACATTGTCAAAGTTGGCCGACATCAACTCTTTACATGTATGACTCTCAAAGAATGTCGGCTTCTGCTGTGCTGGACGGCCGCCAAGGCCAAATATCATCAGAGGCGACATCTTCTGCTGCAACTGCTGCAGCGCGGAGATACTGCCCTGGGGTTTGGACTTGGACGACAACTCCTAGTCATAGATAGTAATAAGCAAAGTAAGTCCAAAAGGTACAAACAAAATAGAACAGATGACTGCTACAAAACCTCCATAATTAACCTTGTTCAAATAACTGCATGGCTTGACTCAATGATCAAAACAATTTCCGCAAACAACTACCGCAAAACTAAATACCAGACAAAAGTTCAGTGAGCAGTTATGGTTTTATGCTTTAAGTGATATTCCTCCAGCAATATTATCACACTGCAACCATTTCGGGAATTGAACTCAGGACTTCAGAGTGCCAAATTAAATTAATACTCTGACCACTAATCTAACATTTCATATAACCTTTAGCTAACAATATTGACAAATTAATTCTACCAGTCATTTTGGTAGATGTGTTCTACCTTCACAGTTTTGTCATGGAGGTTCTGCTGAGCTGTGATTTCCTCCATTTCCATTCTCTGTCTCTGGAAAGTTACAAGAGTAACATTACATATAGAATAACAAACAGCTTTTCAAATGATCATAAACTCCTGTGGGTATAAAACGTAGGTATATAGGAATCTCCATGAGATATTGGCAGATTTCACCTTGACCTGTGTTTTCATATATAATGTCTAGAAACTGAATTGGTTCTAAATCCATCCTTTCTTGTTTAAGTTGTCAACTTGAAATCAATTTCTTCAACACTGACGACATTGATACAGACAAGTGCCATTCTGTCATGATTCAAGTGATTGAATGTTAAAAGTATAATAAGTGAGGTGAACTTGGGTTTAACGTCGTGCTCGAGAATATTTCGCTCATATGACGACGTGCATGCGTGTGTACGTGAATGTGCCACTGCTTGTACTAGCCCAGACGTAAGCTGGTTTTACAGTGCTAGCCCACTGAGATACCATGCCGCAGTAAAGCATGAATACCCCACTCAGACACATTATACTGACTCCGAGCCGACCAGTCCTTGTTGTACCCATTAATGCCGAGCACCAGGCAGGGACCAACAAGTACCATATTTTAACGTCTTTTGGTATGAAGCGGTCGAGAATCGAACCCGCGACCTTCCGCTCTCCGGGCGGACGCTCTAACCACTACACCACGGAGGTGTAGTAGAATGGTATCCAATACTTCAAACATAGGAATATTACAGAGGACAAACACAACATTTCAACTAGTATCATGGAGAAGTACCTCTCCCTCCACGTTGCTGCATCTCAGTAGCTCATTGATGATGAGCAGCGAGCCGTGTGTCCAGTCCTCTCGTGTCATCTTCTTCTCCCGCATCTGGCTCTCGTCAAATGGCTTCTGGGTCTCGTCAAAACATTGCTGAAACAGCAGGTTGATGATGTTATACATCTTCTAACTTGCGTAGGTGTATATCTCAAATTATCGGATTACATAAAAAAAAAACATAAATTCTGAAGAAGGGAAAACTCACCCTGTACCACTGTGACCTTTGAGAGTCCTTGGTCTCCCTCTGAGAGGTCACGGTCAAGGCTGCTCTCAGTGCTGCCACAGCACCTTCTCTTATCGATGGCTACAAAATTACACATGGTGACTATAATAGTGATACAAGCAGAAGTAGATCAAACAAGAGGTCAAATATATTTACAAACAAGAAGACAAAGTCATCAATATCCCCCGCAATGGCAAAATACTCGTCATGATTATGTCTGCGAGTTATGATTATGTCAAATATTTAGGTTTGTATATAGAAAAGTGGAAGGAGAGTATTGAAAGGTTTTTAAAGTTCTGCTCCAGAAAGGAGCACTATCATCACTTTCAGTCTAAGTCGATCTTTTCGCCATTGAAACGCCAAAAATATTTTATTCAGAATTCCAAAACTACCAAAAGGCACCAGTACACCACCAGATCTATCTATGTGACAAGTTTGGTAAAGAAATATTGAACGGTTTTAGAGTTCTACTCCGGAAAAGAGCACAACCACCAATTTCAGTCTAAGTCGAACTTGTTGCCATGGAAACGCCAAAAATATTTGATTCAGAATTCCAAAACTACCAAAAGGCACCAGTACACCACCAGATCTATCTATGTGCCAAGTGAAGACATATTTAACGGTCTTAGAATTCTGCTCCAGAAAAGAGCACTTCAACTAATTTCAGTCAAAGTCGAACTTGTTGCCATGGAAACGCCAAATATATTTAATTCAGAATTCCAAAACTACCAAAAGGCACCAGTACACCACCAGATCTATCTATGTGACAAGTTTGGTAAAGAAATATTGAAAGGTTTTAGAGTTCTGCTCCGGAAAAGAGCACAACCACCAATTTCAGTCTATGTCGAACTTGTTGCCATGGAAACACCAAAAATATTTGATTCAGAATTCCAAAACTACCAAAAGGCACCAGTACACCACCAGATCTATCTATGTGCCAAGTTTGGTAAAGCAATATTGAACGGTTTTAGAGTTCTGCTCCGGAAAAGAGCACAACCACCAATTTCAGTCTATGTCGAACTTGTTGCCATGGAAACGCCAAAAATATTTGATTCAGAATTCCAAAACTACCAAAAGGCACCAGTACACCACCAGATCTATCTATGTGCCAAGTTTGGTGAAGAAATATTGAACGGTTTTAGAGTTCTGCTCCGGAAAAGAGCACTACCATTAATTTCAGTCAAAGTCGAACTTGTTTCCATGGAAACGCCAAACATATTTTATTCAGAATTCCAAAACTACCAAAAGGCACCAGTACACCACCAGATCTATCTATGTGCCAAGTTTGGTAAAGAAATATTGAAAGGTTTTAGAGTTCTGCTCCGGAAAAGAGCACAACCACCAATTTCAGTCTATGTCGAACTTGTTGCCATGGAAACGCCAAAAATATTTGATTCAGAATTCCAAAACTACCAAAAGGCACCAGTACACCACCAGATCTATCTATGTGCCAAGTTTGGTGAAGAAATATTGAACGGTTTTAGAGTTCTGCTCCGGAAAAGAGCACTACCATTAATTTCAGTCAAAGTCGAACTTGTTTCCATGGAAACGCCAAACATATTTTATTCAGAATTCCAAAACTACCAAAAGGCACCAGTACACCACCAGATCTATCTATGTGCCAAGTTTGGTAAAGAAATATTGAAAGGTTTTAGAGTTCTGCTCCGGAAAAGAGCACAACCACCAATTTCAGTCTATGTCGAACTTGTTGCCATGGAAACGCCAAAAATATTTGATTCAGAATTCCAAAACTACCAAAAGGCACCAGTACACCACCAGATCTATCTATGTGCCAAGTTTGGTAAAGAAATATTGAACGGTTTTAGAGTTCTGCTCCGGAAAAGACAAATGTGCACGGACGGACGGACGGACGCATGCACGCACGCACGACGGACGGAGTCCATTTTAATACCCCCCGAAAAACGCGTTGCGGGGGATAATAAGCATATCATCCCTTAACATCAACATGTCTTGAGATTTGTTGTATAACAATTTATCAAATGATCACTCAGTGAATGGGAACCTGGTTGGATGAAATATTGACATGAATGTAAAAACACTATAACACCATAAATGCAAAATTGGGTTGTATACCACCCAGGAAGCTGAGAATGCCATTTGAGAGCTACCCCAAAACCCTCCAATATGTCCTTATTTTATGTCATCTTGATGAATGTCAACATGAGGACCTGGTTGAGGGTGTAGAGAATCCCCAGCATACCTTTACGTCTCTGATAGCATTGAAAACTGAGTCAAAGAACTGCTGAACTTGTTGGAAGAAAAATGTGGGAGTGTTATCGGCAAGCTCTTTCAGCACAAGAACCTGAAATACAAGTTGGAAAATCTCGTTTCAACAGATTGAGAAAGTCAACACATCATATAATACTAGATGATTCATTCACTACAGGAATTGACAACCAGTAATTTGAAATGTAAGAAACTACTCATAAGAAATGGCCACCAGTTTCTCTCTTCTAAAACACATAAATCTTGGTTGGATAGCCTGTGAGACATTATGTTACTCTCCCCAGTCAGCTTGTATACACTCCTTGAGACTCCATCACATGGTGGTACACCCCTAGTCATCTTGTATACACCCCTTGACTCTCCATCACATGGTGGTACACCCCTAGTCATCTTGTATACAGACTCCCCTTGACTCTCCATCACATCACATGGTGGTAAACCCCTAGTCATCTTGTATACACTCCTTGAGACTCCATCACATGGTGGTACACCCCAGTCATCTTGTATACACCCCTTGACTCTCCATCACATGGTGGTACACCCCTAGTCATCTTGTATACACTCCTTGAGACTCCATCACATGGTGGTACACCCCCAGTCATCTTGTATACACCCCTTGACTCTCCATCACATGGTGGTACACCCCCAGTCATCTTGTATACACCCCTTGACTCTCCATCACATGGTGGTACACCCCCAGTCAGCTTGTATAATCCAAAGCACCACACAAGTGGCATCTGACTCACAGTGCATATATCAGAGTATTGAGGCAGTGGTCCCAAACTGTGTCAGGGTGGGATCAAACTAGTCTTTGCCATGATGTGTGAATGCCGTAGCCACTAGGCTTGCTCAATGTGACTAACAGTTCATATAATCAAGACTGTAATTCACTGTCACCAATTTACGTCCACTCAACATATAATAGTATATGATCACATTTGTTACATCTGAACACACTGTCCAGTGTCCACCTACCGCAGCTTGCCTCCTCCCTTCAATCCTGTCTCCAGTCAGCCATTCCAGTGCTCGCTTCACCTCGAACTCGACATACTCCGCAGCATACGTGCCTGATGCAAGAGCCAGGATCCCAACAGCCTTCGCCGCCATTTCCATCACCACAACATCATTTGATGGCAGAAGATTGCGCAGATAGCTTGCAAATCTACTCATTCTTGTTGATGTATTGCCAACATCTACACCAATCAAACTCACTGAAACAAATAACACTGACAATGAGCATACAGATGGAGCCTTCGGTTTAATTATTATTGTTATTCCTGTCGGGCTGATCCGATCTGTCAGAACTTGTTTGCCTACATGCATCTGGAAATTTATCTTTTCCCTATCAACATGGTGACAGAATGAATTGCTTCGAGAGTGTACCAAGGATGCAACTCTACAAAACAAATAGCGTCAACTTTGTTGACTGAACCCCCATGTTCCCAATTTCAACATGCACAATCAAGATATGCCAATAGGCTGGGTAAAAATATCCCCTACATGGTCACTATTAGCAACATACATCATAAACATGCATTCTAATTATGGTAGATATTAATCAAACATACTGAAATATATCTTGACTTTACATTGACAATCATTGACACCCTTAAACTGAACCATTGATTCTCTACTGACAATCATTGACACCCTTAAACTGAACCATTGATTCTCTACTGACAATCATTGACACCCTTAAACTGAACCATTGATTCTCTACTGACAATCATTGTCATCCTTAAACTGAACCATTGATTCTCTACTGAACCATTGATTCTCTACTGACACTCATTGACACCCTTAAACTGAACCATTGATTCTCTACTGACAATCATTGACACCCTTAAACTGAACCATTGATTCTCTTCTGACAATCATTGACACCTTTAAACTGAACCATTGATTCTCTTCTGACAATCATTGACTCATTGCAAGCACTTTTGTCGGGACGATTTTCCTCAAAATTATTTACACATTTGTGACCTTTAATTTCCATAAATGGCTATACAGAAATCACAGATGTCTGAACCGCCAGATGTCCTGTTGATCACGAACCTATAGCTAAGATTCCGCCCTTCCTGTCATTCAGATCTGTGCTAGACACCATCTCGAAGATATGATGGTTGAACTCATCCATGAAGGTTGTGTGTTCTTCCACCGGCATTTCACGTAGCTCAGTGCTGACAAAATGGTGGAGGTCATTGGCTGTCTTGATGCGGACCTCTTCATTTCGATTCTTCAAGCCAGATATGAACTGGCGCATGACAATTCCAGTTGACATGGTTGAAGCAAGGTTCAGATTATCCTGTAAGTGATAAAGGAACCATACACCATGATACACATGACAATAAGGATTTACTTGTTTGTTTGGAAGACGTTTCAATGTAAAATACAAATGTGACAATGAAGCTTATCTTATAGGACATAATACTTTCAACATTAATAAAATGTGCAATATCTATTTATTCACCAAACCTTGATCATAATACATTAATATTATGAATAAACCTAAAAAAATGAATAGTAAAGTGTAAGGTCTTCAGGCCCACATAACATTCAACACAGATATACAAACACAAGACGTTTACTGGACAAAGACAAAGACGAAACTGATTACAATCGAGATACAATCACGCATCACAGCTGATGATTCCACGTGCAGGCGCACGCTATTGTTGATGATGGTTGCGTATGTGCGATGCTGTCCAATACCGGGAACAACCTCACAAAAGCATGGCACAGTTTTTTTACTCTTTTAGAAGAGGGCATGTTTTCAGAGATCTTTTTCAGCAATTGGTGTAGAAGTCAAGTGATTGTGGAGATGGTATATGGTCAACAAACAATTGCTATTGGATTCGAGACCTTTAATTGCTGATACTCTTGTATGCATGGATCTGCCTTGCAAATCAAACAAGGGCATGATCCAAATTGCAACACTTATAGCAATGCTATATCCTTGGCCTCGACTTTTTTACTTGTCTTCTTCTTGACCTAAACAGTTCTGTCATGTGCAGAGAGATCATACAGGGTGAACAAAACATACTGTTTGGCATACTGATAACTTGTAGTTAGAATATCTTATTCTAGATATTTGCTGTTTGTGATTCCTAACGTCTAGCTATAGGTTAGTTCTCCAGCATCCCACACAACTTGATGGATCTTGAGGTCAGGCTCGGCAACTTCAGGCATGTCATCGTACGAAATAAGCATAGGAAGATGTTCATAAATGTAATGAATTTAATGTTGGCTAGTCAAGACTCCTGCCATTGACATATTTTCAGGCCATCGTCACAAAGCATTTTGGAGCGTGACGTTAAACAACAAACATTGATTAATCATTGTGAATGTTGGAAGTCAATGGTCTGTTAGTTTTGGCCTTGTGTCAGATTTTTTTGGTGACTATTTACCCTAGATTAATGCCCCGCCCAATGTCCATGACAAAATTATTCAACTCTAATCATTGGAAAACTGCTATTTCATATGTTTATAGGGGAGATTTTTCGATTATGCATGGCATGTATAGAGCATAAATCTGTTGTTTTACCTCCTGAACTTAGAAATAATTCATTGTATGATGAATTATAAGGTTACGAGGTCTTGTCACTAGAACAGATGAGGCAATCAGAGCACTTGCTCTCATCGCCATGTTGATTTGACTGGCTCCTGTCTATAAAAAACTGGACTAGCAGCGCGTGTTTACACTGTGACCAGTTTGTTAATAAACTGGTTTCATTCTTAGTTCGCGCAGCAATCTTACCGATTTACTTGTTACGTAGACAGGACCCCAGTCAATTATGGTCAGGCGTTACCGGATAAATCAGAGACGTGATATTTCCATAGAAATGGTGTTTTCAGAGGATTATTGCATATATATGCCGAATACACTGATAAACTAAATCCCATTACTAATGCATTGTTCATATTGACACATATATATAACATTTACGCACTTCCGGTGAATACGCAACATGGCCGGTTGTTGCAGATGCGAAATGTGTTTTGTTTCACGATCAACCCCATATTTGCGTTTATTGCGAGACTGATATGTAATTCGCTGAGACTACACCAGGTAAAATGACAAAGAAGGGCGTTAATGGCGTTCATACGCCCATAGTAAAGAATGGGAGGATAAATATTCCACAAAGTTTCCAAAGCCAGCTGTCTCAGTACTTCGCTGCCCTTCGCCCCTGGTCTTTTACCGCATCCTTCACCCCGGTGGCACTGGGTTCTACGCTGGCATTCAAGACATCGGGCACCTACGATCTGACTATATTTCTTGTAACATGTCTTACTGCGCTGTCTGTTCACGCAGCTGGTAATCTTGTCAACACTTACTTTGATTACACAAGAGGAATTGACAGTAAGAAAAGTGACGATCGAACATTGGTTGACCGTTTGCTGTCCCCAGCAGACGTTGCCTTTCTGGGAGGAGTATTTTATGTGATGGGATGTGTGGGGTTTTTGTTGCTTGCATTCCTGTCACCAGCCAAGATGGAACACATAGCCCTGATATACTTTGGTGGCTTGTCAAGTAGTTTTCTGTACACTGGAGGAATGGGACTGAAATATTTTGCCATGGGTGATTTAGTGATTTTTCTCACCTTTGGACCTTTGACAGTGATGTTTTCATTTTTATGCCAGGCAGGACAGTTATCCCTCAGTCCATTTTTATATGCGATCCCTCTAGCTTTGAACACTGTTGGAATTCTACATAGCAACAACACAAGGGATATGGAATTGGACAAGTCAGCAGGTATAATGACAATGGCAATTTTGCTTGGACGCACTGGATCCTATCTACTATTTGCAGCTCTGTTATTTGTGCCTTACATCGTCTTCATAATGATGAGCTTGCATTGTACAAAATGGATGCTCCTGCCAGTACTTTCAGTATTTCTTGCTTTTAGATATGAAAGAGAATTCAGAAGTGGAAATCTTCATGGGATGCCTAAAAAGATGGCTTTGTTGAATCTGTTTATGGGAGTGATGTATGTTTGTGCTTGCTACCTGGCTGACAAATCAACTTTACCGAATCTCTTATAGCATGTTCATTTTGTAAGGTTACGTTCAGAGTTGAGAATAAGAAAAAGGACTATCAAGAAAAAACTAGTCTTGACCACTTTATATGTTGCCAGCCAGGCCCATCAAGTGTTTGAGCTCACATGGCTCAAACAGATGAGACTGACTGCCATCGCGCTTCTGTTGCACTGGAACAGAGTTATGTGAATGTTTAAGCATGCAGAGACCTTGAAAGATAATTGGTTGGCCACTCTTCAACCAGAGTACAGTGACTTGAAACACTCAACATATAATGGGCTTATTAGTGATGAAAAACACTCCAGCTGAACAAATCTGTAATGAATTATGAAACTTTATCTGGACATGTCGAAGTTGCAGCCAGTCTTGGGATAAATAATTGTTCATTATCTGTATCCATTTGTCATAAAATCAACCTTCTGGAAGAGAGCACATTTCCAGACAGTTCACAAGTTGTGTCAAACTCACACTTAAGATGGTGTCTTTTTTATTACAATCTCATGCTGACATGATCATTCAGAACATCCAAGTTGTAACTATTACTGTACTGTTTACAACTGGTTTTCATTCATCATCAATGTACATGAGTAACTTATGTTATGGATATGTTTTTGAAAGAAATTGTAGGTTGGAGTTTTATATTGTTAGCATGGCTTGTGATATGTCTGACTACGTCAGTGAATGTTTGTATTGTCAGTAATGTGAAAGAAAAAAATACAAATATTGTTGTTTAAGATTATTTATTTTTTTCATGTTTAGTGAATTGATAGTTGTGTCCTGTGTACACATTTGACAATAGTTTCATGGTGAAACCAGGTGCTAGGGAGCAGTAGTCTCTGGATGGGAGACCACAAGAGAAGGTGCATTTGCTGCCTTCCCTCCTCCATTCATCCTCAGAACCTTGAACATCTGGGTTAGAATTGGTCTTCAGCAACCCATGTTTGTCGTAAGAAGCGGCTAATGGGATTGAGTGGTCAGGCTCGCTGACTTGGTAGACATGTGTCATCATATCCCAATTGAGTAGATCAATGCTTATGATGTTGATCACTGGATCGTCTGGTCCAGCCTCGTCTACTATATGACTGTCGCCGTATAGCTGTAATATTGCTGAGTGCAGTGTTAAGCAACCAACTATTCATCCTCTCATCTTTGCTGTACATTCTACACATATACAGACCTTTTGAACTGATTGTTATGCAGCTCTAGAAGTGACATGAAAGAGAGCTCACTATAAAGAAAGACTGGATGAGGAAGCTGCAACTACCTTGTGACTATCAAGTTGTGGCATGTGCTGCGTGCATCAGTTGGATGGTTGTACAATTTCTGAATGACTTCAGTAGATTTTAGTGTAGCTGTCTGATCGATTATTGATTTATTTCTGTTCTAAAAGCTTACTAAAGCAGTGAACATTCAGGTTACTTTTGTTACCATGGTAACATGGCTGACTTTTGCTCTGAGAACTAAAGGAAACATTAGCTTAATTTATATGTTTGTTGCTAAGCATTTTGTTTAGGATACAAGTCACAATGCATTCTAGTCATATGTTTTTAACATATTAAAAGGCTTGTCAGCATGATCAAATTTAATATTATAGTTTTGAACAAAATAGACTGAAGATGCAAAAGTTTATTGTTGGAAATGGGATCTTTTCTTTTATCAACAGCATGGGACTAGAAAAAATGCAGCAATTCCATTAGTCATTATCAATAGAAGATATCATGTACTATCATCATCACCTAGACATTTATACAAGATCCCAGGCATGTCTTGATTCCATGCACAAGAAATATTTGGCTCTATACAATGCTTTTTCTGAAAAGAACATTGTTCTTTCTTTGATGTTTTAACAAACCATGATACAGGTGACCATAAAATTGCATCAGTTAAATTGCATGAATGGCATCATATGGTCATGTAACCATGGTTACCATTCATGACTTATAGAATATTTGTCTGTCATAAGCACAAAACAAACTTGATGTAAAACAGGTGCTGATTCTGGCAGGCAAATATTTAACCTCTGGGCTAATTTTTGTTGTTATTGTGTTATTTTAATATCATGATAACAGGCAGTCTTGGGCATGATAACCTACAACAGGACCCGAGTGTGCAGTGATGGACAACTGGTGTGATATTTAGGTTGTTGAGTGAAGCCAAGTGCCCCTCACCCCGGCTATCGTGGGTGTGTAGCATGCTGCGAGTGACTATACCACTAGGATATGAATGTTGTATTGTGGCATTGTGTGTATGTTTTCTTCATGTGCAGTGACATGATATTGTGCCAATTTAAGTTATTCTGTCTAATAAAATCTGAAGAACCTATTTCTATTGTTGTCCAATTCACATAAACATTGTCATAAACATTTCAAAGAAAAGAATAAGCTGTGGCAATTCTTCAATTATCTTCTTTTCTGAAACTACACGGCCTCAGTATCTGACTCACATTGTTCCTGATCTGTGGTGAAAGGCAACTGAAGGATCAGGTTTGATCAGGTTGATGAAATGCTTGTTTATGTCATCGTATCTCAACTGTGTTGATAGATGTTCATAATGTCAATCACTGGATTGTCTGCTGCTGACTCAATTACGTGAATATTGCCATGAAACTGCCAAATAGCTTGAATATTGCCGAGTGTGGCAGTTAGAGACCGTTCATAATTTATGGCTAGGGGGTTGATGATGATTATTATGGAGAAGCATGTACAATGTGAATGACCCCCCATAAAATTTATGTACAAAATAAGTGACCCCCCCTGCATGTCATGTACAAAATCAATGCCCCAATTTTCTAAGCATAATTTTAAACATATTTTTATGTACAAAATATTGATGACCCCAAGCACGTGTGAACAAAATTGATGACCCCAGCTCCCCAGAACAAAATGGGTGAACCCCAGCCATAAATTATATGAACGGTCCCTTAACAAACAATCAACAATGAAATGACAAGTTGGTTGGTTTGTTGTTTAATGCTGCTCTCAGCAATATTCCAGCTACTAGTATATGGTGGCTGTCTGTAAATAATCAAGTCTGAACCAGACAGTCCAGTGATAAACAGCATGAGCACTGATCTACACAATTGGGATACGATGACGTGTCAGCGAGCCTGACCACCCGATCCCGTCAGTTGCCTCTTAGGACAAGCATGGGCTGCTGAAGATCAATTCTAACCAGATCATCACGGGTTAAAATGACAAGCTGTGACAAGCTACAACAGTAGCAAGGCCGTTGGTGACGTACTAATCTCAGTTCCTCCTTTCAGGGGTCCAACAGTGAAATCCTTATGAAAGTTAAAACAGTAACAAAACTTCAGAAAAAAAGAGTTTATTTCCAAGCAATGGGCACTTCATTTGAAAGCACTGTCCACAGTGTGGAGACATTTATCTGTCAATACAAGCTTCGGCAGATAAGGTTAGTGCGTAGAATATCCTGTCAAATGACTGGACAAAATTGACATTTCCAGAAGTGGAACAGCCATGAGTGGGAACTACAACTGTACCAGGTGACAAGACAAGATAAAAATGTTATATATCAACAAAAGCTGCTATTTTATGTTGTATTTGCTCACATTTACATTGATTTCAAGCAGTGACAGTTGATTTCATGAAAATGTATTTTTCTAATCACTAAAACATAAATCATGATATTTACTATGAGAATGATTAAATATTTCACCATAAATATAAAGAATTTCTAATTCTATCAGTGAATTTATATTTTTTTATTGTTTCTTCACATAGCACCAGCAATGGGGATTCCTAAAAACTATTAAATGATTGGTATCTCTTTGAGCGCTTCTTCATCAGGATGTGTTCAATAGCTTTGTGTTTTACATGGAGATGAGCTGAGATTAAAATGCAGTGTGACCCACTAATTCCATGCTTATATTCATGTGACTAGATGATTCTATCATGCAACTCCCAGGAACTGACAAGACCACATATAGAACATTGATTCTACTGAAGATATATTGTCAATGTTCATTATGCTATATATTGTCCTGGCTGAACAACTGATGCATCTACGCATTGCATAATATCAGTAGAGAATATATTTGAACAAAAACCAGAACCATTTCTATAAGAATTATGATCATGTTTAAACAAGAGTTATGTTCCTTGGACTACTGTGAGCGATTTGGGAAGGTATTCCATTATAACACAGCGTGTCACCTAATACAGGAAGAAAGTCCGAAGTGATGCAGGTTTCAGATGTTTACCATTTTGGTGTGACAGAACTCTGGAAAGTAAATTTAGCACCCTAGACGACTGGGCACAGAATGATATCAAAGACAATGTCATACATATATACCCCACCATGGTAGAAACACCAGATCTACATGCCCCAAAATATTTTATCGGACATTTATCATCATTACACCTCAAACATAATCAGTTGTCTCTTTTCCGTTGGTAGTTTATGTTGTTTGAGACAAAGATGAAACAAGATATTACTCAAATTCAAAACATGAGATTGCAAAACATGTACCATAATCTTATTGAAGAAGAAACATTTCATTCAAAATGACCAGTGACATCTGAAGAGGACATAGACCATGAGTATTTCATTACTTACAACCTAAGATGCATCAGTTATTCAAAAAGAAGCTCTTTGGCTACAGAAAAATGAAGGGTTTATCATGTATGGAAATGTGAGACAAGCAATGTCAGCTACTTCACACACTGCTCTCAATGGCCCTGTACCCTATGATGTGCCTTGTTGAGAATACACAACTCGCCATCAGCATCCCTTCACTGAATCAATCAGTCATTTGGTGCTGGAAAACATGGATTCATGTACTATGCAGGGGTGGATCCAGAGTAGGGTGCAGGTGTGCCCCAATTTCCCTGAGGAGCATCTCCCTCTAACCTTTGGACTTCATGATAAATGTGTACCCCCACTTCTCCAAAATCCTGGATCCACCCCTTCTATGTATTTCAGTTGTGGTAACTGATATTCCCTGTTATCTTACCTCCACATCAGAATGTTGAGATCTGATTGTTTCCAATGATCTAAATTAAATACTATGAGAGGGAAATCACTTTCTGTGTCAGACAATATATCCATTTTACCCTGCCATGAAGAAAACAGATAACACATTGGCCTCTAAGTGGGCACAATAAATCACTTGCACCCAGCTACGAAGCAAAAAGCTGCATGTTATTTTACATGTCACTGAAAGTCATGTGACACAACACAAATCTATCATGTTTCAGTTGGATTTAAGTCACTTACAATATCAGACTGAAACAAGTCAGGAAGATACATTTCTGGGTATATTCTAAGCCTCTCGTGCTTGGTTTTATACAATGAGCTGTAAGAGAGTGACATAAAACCTATTGAAGGACATATAAAGCCACATATACTAGGGCTGGGACAGGTACAAATTTTCTACCAGGGTACCCCACCCCCTATTCCCCTACCCCACCCGGATACCCATTATATTAAGTCCTGACATCAAATTTGTAAGAAATGGCAATATATTCTTCAGCTCGAAGGCTAAAATTTCGAGTTTTGCAATATCTTAACCATGTATTATATTCAAAACAGGTGACTGTAAATTATGACTAAATCTTCAAAGAAAATACAACTTTTTAATCATGAAGGAATAACATATCACATTGTTTCATCTATTAGTCACATGATCATAACAGGTCTGGGTATTGAGATGGGTACCCGGGTCCAACTGCTTACTCACCTGTACTGGGTATCCGAGTTACCCGTCCCAGCCCTAACATATACCCCTCATGATACTGCTATAATTTTCCACAGACGCCATGACTTGTGATCTAGAACACAGACGAGATGTGTTCATCCTACGATGTGATAATACTGAATGTCTCTAACTCCTAACTAGTATCTCACTGGGCCAGATTTCACTGCAGAAACCATTCACCCAATTTCATTCAAGACATGGCTACACATTATGTACAAAAGCCAATATATCCTACTGCTCAAAAGAAATTAAGGTCAGGACTTCCTTCATATTACCTATACTTTATCTGTCATGTCATGTTAATATGAAAGAATTCAGTGGTCCTTAACTTGTTTTGAGTAGTATATGCATAAAAGAGGCAACAATTTTATTGGTTTGCCTGTACAAACAATATACATGATATACACTGATATACACACTCATCTAAGTTCAACTGTTTATTTCCCATCCCATCCCATCCCATCCCACCTCAACAATCCATCTTTGATTAAATTTGTTAAAAACTTATTTACACCTGTAAAACAAAAATAAAAGTCACTAAGTAAGCTTTTTGAAGAGAATTTATCATCTACATTCTTGGGTCCCTCCAAACCTCTTATCACAAGATTACAAGATCTGAGCATTCTCTAAGGGTAAGAAATGGAAATGCTAAAATATAAATATAATTGTAATATACTTTCATTTATTGACATGTACAAAACAGACTGACAAAAACTATGTTAAAAACATTATATTAAACATTTGACAATGCAAATGTATTTCTGTTTTCATTTCAACTCAGACCAAAATTTGTAACCATAAAGAATACAGCGTGCAACCATTTTTCTATACATACACAAGCGAAGCACTAGGCCATGATAGGGCTCGCTACAGTACAACCACAATGACAGCGTTGCCAGATCCAGTCAGTGACAGACATGATGTAGATTATAGTGATAAAACAGACTGCACCAGTGCAACTCAAAGTACATAGAAATACATGACTCACATTTTATCAAAATAAAAAGTCTATCAAATTAAAATCAGATGTTATATTCTAGCACAAACTGTCACTGTGAGAAAATCTGATGGAAGACACGTTCATAGATAGTCACAACATGTGAACCCTGAGTGACCTCTAACTCCCCAAACATGTGGTTTCATCAGCCAATGAGATGCCACCTTCCAGAATGATTCAGCTGCATATATTTACACTGCCTTGATTCTGATACTACTGGCACATTGCTGACAGACTCTCTTCGACACTTTCTCCTCACAACATTTGATTCTCAAGCAGTCTACCCTTCAAATTTCGCTCTCTTGATGAATTAGCTCCTCCACAACCAAGGGATGCAACTCTGTACAGCTATACCCTGTAGTTTAATGAGCCATATGGCACTCCATTATGATAATAATAATTTTTCAGTGTACAAAACATTAGTACTTGACTTGGTAAGTTTTGATGATAGCAGTATTCAGTGTGTGAAATAGTTTCCAGATTTTGCTAGCCAGTCTGGCTAGCTAAGCCTGAAAGTTAGTAACCCACTAAGTAATTCACTAGCCCGAAATGTGAATGTAGAAACTAAGCAAAAGATTACAAACATAGATGCGAATAGGATATTGTCGG